TATGCAATTCTTGGTATACACATATAAATTTTCAAAATTGTTTTTCTGCACTTTTTTGGGGTACGTGGGCTAAAAGTCGTAGGAAATCTCTGTTTCACTGAATTAGCTTTTAGTGTTTTATTGAGGGATGATAATTCAATACAACACCAACGCAAACGATTTTATGCTCAAAAACATTTTCCTCTGGCTTGTTTTGATGTTTGAACGGCAAATCAAAAAAAGTTTTTCTTTGTAGAATTAAAGTGAAGAAATCAAACATTTCCTCCTCTAATTAATGCAAATGGGAAATGGTGACACATTTACCTAGTTTTATATTCAATGAAAATTTAACTGAAGAGCCCTGGGCATCAGACTATCACAGTTTGATTTCAGACAAAATTGAAGCATTCAGAAAATAATAACCTAAAAAGATTACAAAGACTATAAATATTCATATATTAATCAGGATCTTCTTCAAGCCATTGGAGCCTTCCATTTTCAGTTGAAATACCAAAAATAATAATAAACAAGATGTGTTTGTGAAACACTGATGCCCCCGTATGGCAACATAGCGAAGGTTAAGCTTTCTCTAATGCTGATCAAATAGGTTGGTACCTTAATTAATTAGTAAGGCCTTTTCAGAAGAAATACATATGTGAAATAAAAAACCCTAGCACCACCTGTTCAAGGGTTATGACCAAGGTTAACATTTTTAAAGGAAGGACAAACTCTGGGTCAGGTCAAAGGGTCAAGGTTGTTGGTTTCTAAAGAGAGGCCTAGTCTCAAAGATTATATATGGTAAGTATGAAAGCGCTGGCCCTTACTGTTCAAAAGTTATGGTCAAGGTTAAAGTTTGTAAAAAGAAGATCAAACTCCAAGGTCAAGGTCAAAGTTGTTGATATCCAATGAAAAGTCTTCTCACAAGGATTACATATTTGAAGTATGAAAGTCCTACCCCTTACCGTTCAAAAGTTATGACCAAGGTTAAAGTTTTTTCGTAAGTACGGAAATCTCCAAGGTCAAGGTCAAATTCTTGGTTTCAAATGAAAGGTGTTGCCAAAAAGAAGTGATATTAGAAAAATGAAATTCCTAGTATCTACCGTTTAAAAATTAGAGCCAAAGTAAAAGTTTGCAATTTTTTGTGTAAAAGTGGGTCTAACTCCAAGGTCAAGGTCAAAAGGTCAAGGTTTTTGGTATCAAATGAGAGGTCTTGTCACAAGGATTAAATATGTGAAGTATGAAAGCCCTAGTACTAACCCTTTAAAAATTATGGTCAAGGTTATATTTTTAAAGTAAGTCAAACTCCAAGGTTAAGGTCAAAGGGTCAAGATTCTTGATATCCAATAAAGCGACTTTTCACAAGGATTACATCTGTGAAGTATAAAAGCCTTAGCACTTTCTGTTCAAAAGTTATAGTCAAGGTTGAAGTTTTTTTATAAGTACAGAAATCTCTAGGGTCAAGGTCAAAAGGTCGAGGTTGTTGGTATCCAATGAAAGGTCTTCTCACAAAAAACACACATGTCAAGTATAAATGCCCTGGTATCTACTGTTCAAAAGATATGGCCAATTCAAAAATTTTGTGTAAAAGTGGTTCAAACTCCAAGGTCAAGGTCAAAAATTCAAATTTGGTGGTACCCAAAGAAAGGTCATGTCACAAGGAATACACATGTGAAATGTGAATGCCATAGCTCCACTAAATCAAAAGTCATGGGCAAGGTTAAAGTTTTTGCGGACAAACAGACAAACAGAGAGACAGACAGAGAGACAGACAGACAGACGGAAACGACAAAAACTATATACATGTACCCCCGAAACTTCGTTTACGGGGGCATAAAAAACCAAGAGACGGTGAGAAAATACATGTAAATATTATTTGAACTAGGCCTATAGTATGAAATAACAAGATGTGTTTGTGAAACACTATGCGCCCGACGGCAACAAAGTTCAAAAAAAATATTTTTAGCAGATAAATCACAGTCAGGGTCACAAGGTAATTGACCTTGGTGTCATTTGGAAGAGCTTAATTAGTGAAGTAAGCATACCAAATATGAAGTCTCTATCTCTCATGTTTCAAAATTTATGGTGAAAGTTCTAAAAAGCTATTTTTAGCATATAGGTCAGTCAAGGTCACAAGGTCATGATCTTGATGTCATTTGAAAGAGCTTTATTAGTAATGTATGCATACCAATTATAAACTCCTTACCTCTAATGGTTCAAAAATTATGGCGAAAGTTCGAAAAAGCTATTTTTAGCATATAGGTCACAGTCAAGGTCACACGGTCATTTGAAAGAACTTTATTGGTGGAGTACGCATACCAAATATGAAGTCTGTATCTCTCATGGTTCAAAAGTTATGGCGAAGGTTAAAGTTGACAGGAGACAGACAGACAAGCAGATAAACAGACAAACAGATAAGAGACAAACAGACAGGACAAAAACAATATACGCCTCGGATCTATCGATCAGGCCGCATAAAAATCTTTTTAAACAAGAATAGATATGGGTTACCCCATATCCAAAGATATTCGACTTTTAGATTTAATATGTTTAACAGTGTTTATAATGACGTTAATAAAAAAAAATGCACTGTCTAATTATGGAACTGTTGTAAATTTCGTGAGTCCATAGCAATACGGTCACCCAGTCTCCTAACAAACAGTACACATAGGCCTACATGTACCTGTGTCCGCAAGACCAACATTAGCCTTGGTCTACACACGTGCGATGGAGCTGTCAAACGCATCCAGCGAGCTCGGAGAAACACGTTTTGTTTTGCCGAGAAGTTACGATGGCAGACAAAACTTTTCTTTTCTTATAATTAGATCATATGAATACGAATTATGATTAATAAAAATTATACAATCCCTGTTGAACTATATATAGTTTGTTCTAACATTTGCCTCTGCAACAACTTGTGTTTAAAATGGCCGGGTTAGGAAAATCAGGACCGGGTCAGAAAATTCTAAACTGAAAACCTTTTTTGTTTTGAAAATTACTGAAATATACTAATGTATTCGTCGCAGAAATTACTTACATTATTCAAGTTCTATACAAGAATAGATATGGGTTACCCCATATCCAAAGATATTCGACTGTTAGATTTAATATGTTTAACAGTGTTTATAATGACGTTAATAAAAAAAACTGCACTGTCTAATTATGGAACTGTTGTAAATATCGTGATTCCATAGCATTACGGTCACCCAGTCTCCTAACAAACAGTACACATAGGCCTACATGTACCTGTAGCCTTGGTCTACACACGTGCAATGGAGCTGTCACACGCATCCAGCGAGCTCGGAGAAACACGTTTTGTTTTGCCGAGAAGTTACGGTGTCAGACAAAACTTTTCTTTTCTTAATTAGATCATATAAATACGAATTCTGATTAATAAAAATTATACAATCCCTGTTGAACTTTATATAGGGCCTAGTTTGTTCTAACATTTGCATCTGCAACAACTTGTGTTTAAAATGGCCGGGTTGGGAAAATCAGGACCGGGTCGGAAAATTCTAAACTGAAAACATGGAAAACCTTTTTTGTTTTGAAAATAACTGAAATATACTAATATATTTGTCGCAGAAATTACTTACATTATTCAAGTTCTATATATAATGGTATGCTGAACTTCAACACGAACCCGAATCTCCAACCCATGCAGTTCTCGTTTTGCCACACATACCCTACAGTTTACAAAGTGTACACACGAGCAGGCCAGGGATTGAAAATTCCGTCATTTAATAATACACACACACAGCTGCTATAATGATTAATTTTTTCTTTAAGAACAAATTGTATGATAATTAACGGACTATAAACATGTACTTAATACAATTGTTGATATAGTATTATCAATTCATTGGTGAAAAGATATGAATCGAAGAATGACCTAATTATTCTCTGTTATCAAACACGTAAAAAAAAAAAGGCTGAGGAGGGAGCGAGCGTAGGAATATTGATATTTTTTATTTGCATTTCGGGGGGAAAGTAACTTTCTAATGATATTTTGACGTTATTTTTGATTTCTTTAACGTATGACATACACAACTTTACTCTTATCATGAACAATAATGTTGTATCTACTTATCATGATGGAATTATTTTGGTCGGACCAATATGTGTGAGCTGCCGCTGAATACAGTTATATATCTTGCAAAGATAGTATGCATTGATCGAATATATAGATAAAATGGTATGCTGAACTTCAACACGAACCCGAATCTCCAACCCAGTTCTCGTTTTGCCACACATACCCTACAGTTTACAAAGTGTACACACAAGCAGAATTCGGCCAGGGATTGAAAATTCCGTCATTTAATAATACACACACACAAAATGATTAATTTTTTCTTTAAGAAGAAATTGTATGATAATTAACGGACTATAAACATGTACTTAATACAATTGTTGATATAGTATTATCAATTCATCGGTGAAAAGATATGAATCGAAGAATGGCCTAAATATTCTCTGTTATCAAACATGTAAAAAAAAAAAAAAGGCTGAGGAGGGAGCGAGCGTAGGAATATTGATATTTTTTATTTGCATTTCGGGGGGAAAGTGACTTTCTAATAATATTTTGACGTTATTTTTGATTTCTTTAACGTATGACATACACAACTTTACTCTAATCATGAACAATAATGTTGTATCTACTTATCATGATGGAACTATTTTGGTCGGACCAATTTGTGTGAGCCGCCGCTGAATACAGTAATATATCTTGCATAAATAATATGCACTGATCGAATATATTAAAAAGAGTCCAAAATTTCAGTTACTGAGTAGGGACCTCTATAATTTCCTGCAAATACAAAATCTTTGTGTTGTGATGCACAAATTAAAATATTTGTTTCAACATAGTCATTTACGCTTATATGTCTATGAAAGTGTTGTGATGTTGAATTTTTTTTTTTTTTTTTTTTTTTTTTTTTTGTTCAGGCTTGATGCGTGCTTATACAGATATCCGGATTTTTTTAAGTCAACCGTTTCCAGTTTTTTAACGAGCGGAAGTTGGACTGTTTTTTCAAGAAATGATAAAAATCGTAGAAAACATTTTGATTTTCTAAGTATTTGCTAAAAAAGGATGCATGGTCGTTGAAAGAGGTATAAATTTAGTCTATTTTAAAGCAATGTTTAAGTTTATGCATTTAGAAATTTACAATTGTATATTCAGCATTAATTTTCGGACTTTTCCACGAGGAAGATAAAGCGCCATGTGGTTGAATGCTGTTATTGCGAATGATTATATTTTATTCTGATGCTACTTTTCAGTCTAAAACACGAAAGAAAAATATTGAAAATCTACTCCTTAGAGCTTTTCATATTTGAAAAGTGACTGCAATGTTGAATGCATGATCTTTTAATCTATAGTTACAAAGTAATGCTGCAGAGCTGGGGAGAAACTTGATACCATACCTGATACTAAAACTTGTAACAAAAAGGAGGAAAATGCTTTCGACCAGAGCTGGATTCAAATCAGTGTCTAGTCCTCAATAGTAATTAGTAGGTTGCATTTAGGGTTTGATATTAATTTAAAGGCACCTCCAATCGACCCAATCTAGTAAATGTGTGGTCCGGTTGTGTAAAATTGTACTTGAACTAGACCGACTGGTCGTGAGGAGGAAATAAATAGTAATTCTTATTTCAGTTTTTTAAATAAAAATTTTCAACACTTTAAAAGAAATATTCTTATTTGTCCGATTGTAAGCACAACCATTTGTAAAAGAAAAACTTCCCCACAAGACACAATCACTATTTTTAGCCACGCTGTAATAGACAAGTTGTGTCGAAGCAAGCTTCATTCTGTATCAGCTGGCATAAATCAATACTGAATCATGTATTCTTTAATTGATTTATTTGCATTAAAGTTAATTATTTTCATCAATAAAAGTTCCTTAAATTTCTTTTAAAACTTCCGTAATATGGGCAATTGCACTACTCGATTAACCACACTCAATTGGCTGCAACCTATCGAACCGTCTGTCAAAATGTCTGTCAAAATAAATTTTGATATGTGTTAGAGTTGTATTTTTTCATTTACTCGATTAGATTTGTTCAAGATAAAACTTAAAATATGAAAATAACTTCAGTTCATTATAAAGCTGTTGTTTCATCATTAGGCATACGCATGGTTAAAAAATCACATGCAGAGCGGGTGAGTCACTGAGTGAGAGAGAGAAAAGGGCGGCAGGGGATGTACATGTACATGCAGCTCTATTTACAGAATCAAGTTAAAATAAGGAATAACTGATCACAGAATGTGGATTTTTATGAAGCACCATTGTGTGATAATTTTATGTAAAATGTCTTCCGCATCTGAGCAAATTATTACCTGAGCAAATTGCTCACACCATAAAATCAAAAGCCATTCTTTTCAAAAGTTACGGCTGTAAGATGTAAATTTGCAACTTTGGTCAAAGCTAGTGATTTTATGGTCAGAGCTAGTAAAATTATAGAAAGTAACCCGACTAATCCAGTACTCAAAAAAGTTAATGTCAAACCCTGGCACACAGTGAAGTCAAAAGACGGGATTGTTTTCATTTGTGATCTCGAATCAATCAGGTACGTACAGATTGTGTCATCGACAGAAAAAAGACGCGTGTTTAAAAAAATTAAATCAAAGTTTTTTTTCAAGAATATTTAAGAAGCAATAATTTAGTTACGTTTATTTATTATTTATAGTACAAATCGGAAGCTTCAATATAGATTCTTAATCACATATTTAGAAGATATTTGATGACACCATATCTATTCATAGAATCGCATGTTATCTTGAGGATAGTTGCTTACTTGCGTTTTTCATTTCCGAAATTAAAGAGTCGAGAAGTATCCCGAACGCAAATATCGTCATTTACAAAAAACAATTGCTGATTGGTCAACCGATCGAGAAAAAAAAACCCCAACTTCGATGAACACCGTATGCCAAGGGTTCATGAGGAAAGTAGCGTATAGGAAACCCTTGGCTAGCGAAGATGTTCCATTTGTTGTAACAACCATGTCATGACAGACCTATCAGGGAATAGCATGGGTTGTTGTTTTTTGGGACTGAAGAATCATATGCCTTGTTCACTTGGGAAGTTTAATTTGTGGTAAATTAAATGTAAAGTAAAATAATGTATATTTTGGGATATAGAAATGTATCAATTCATGATCTGGAATTTGATTTTAATCGGATGATGTAAACAACATACTTGGTATCAAATGAAATGACTATATTACTGAATTGGATTGGCAGCAGGCTATACCTATCGTGGTCATCTTCATGAAACATGTTTCCAAGCATGAACAGGAAGCATTTCTTAACATGAGTGTTTCTAACCAGGAAATTCTCATTATTATCAAAAATTTATCTATGTCTTCAAGCATTGAAATCCAAAGACCAAATCAAATATATTTTTGACATCTGACATAGAATTTTACTTATAGTGATAAATGTCTTATTTGGGTAATTTTTATTGTTAATGTTTTGGGTACTTGGAGCAACTTTAAAAAATAGTTGCAATGATTACTTTTCCAAAGGTATGAGCTACATATTGAGTTAATTCACAAGTATTATAGTACATGTATTATACTTTATAGAACATGTATTGACACTTTGTTTCTACTGACTCTTGTATAGGATGTCAACTTCACACAATCACTTTATCATTTTGACAGGTCAAGAGGATGGACCTCCCCTGGTCTGATGGGATTTACCCTAGTGATGTCCCCCGGGATTTTGAAGAGGTCAGGAACAGGGAGGAGAGAAAAGAGAGGATTTCCCTGTATTGGGAGTCCATGGTGTAAGTAATCAGAGGAAATTGTTTTGTACAGAGAGTCATCAACTAGAAAAAGATGTCAAGAAATTTCCTGATATTGAGAGTTCATTATACTACTTATCAAAGGAAACCTTTCCTTCTCTAAAATTGTTCTACGGGATCCATGGTGTAGGTCTGAGATATTTTTAGTATTATTTGAGTAATCTGGGAAACCCCTCATCTGTCCCTACCCAATCTATCCCAACCCACCCACCTGCCTTGTCCTCAGAGTGTATGGTATCAATTAAAGGGAATCTTTGATTATACCAAGGTATCTGTGAAATATTTCATTTAACTAAGTGTACATTTGCAGTTTGTTTATCTTTGTTTCTTTAATTTTGTATGAGATTACCAATAATTGGAATATTAACTTTGCAGCAGATTTAATTTCTTTTGTGCTTTTAATTTCTTTCAGAAATGACAAAGAACCAAAAGTCCATAAGGTACATATTTGTTTTGTTTGCTTTGTTGTTTTGTAAACTGTTTTTTTCCCCAATATTCCTATGTTTAGCAGCTTTGATTATTTGATGTTTCAGAATGCTCTACTCCATTTGATGCAAGACCTGAAGGATGAGGGGAATGACCTGTTTAAGGAGGGGGACTTTGATAACTCCTGGATGCACTATCGTAATGCCCTCTTCATCGCCCGCATCCTGGAAGTGCGTTTTTATCACACAGTGGATAAGGAGTTTATGTCAACTCTCTTCTCTAACAGAGCATTCTGCTGTCTTAAAAAGGTAAATAAATTAAAAGGGAGAATCCTTGTAGTTTGAAGAAAAAAAAAATATATCCTGATTTAAAATTTTGAAAATGTTGGCACCACAAAGCATAAATAGTTCATGTGTCTGGAATAGTTACATATTGCTACGTGAGTTAATCTGTATAATCATATTTTATATTTGAACTATTTTAACAACAGGACTCATGATTTACTAATGTAATGAACCTCATGTGTTTATTTATTTTAGGAGATGTACATAGAGGCTATACATGATTGTGATTCAGGTTAGTCTTCCTATTACATTGACTTGATTAATCATAAAATCTGAGCCTTTGAATGGCTCTGATATATTTTTTTATTTAGATTTTAATGACACAGGTAACAAACATAGAAATGTAATTTTTGTTTATCCTTTCAGCGATACAGATTTTCCCTGGGAACATAAAGGCCTACTACAGACAGGTGCTTGCCCTGAAGGCCCAGAAGAGACTGACGGATGCTCTCCGAGTGGCAGAGAAAGGCATGGAGACCAAGCCGGGGGTTAGTCTCACGTTTTCCATTAGCTTCATGGCTTACATTAAAAATAGTACATGCAGAGAAATCTGTTTGTGGGACCGGGAAGAAAAAATTATAAGCATATAGGAAAAAAAATCATAATAACAACTTCATTGACTTTATGATTAAGGAAGAAAAAAAACAGCATTGCTGCGTATCATATAGGATACATGGAATCATTAATTTCCTTGATAATTAAATTGAAAATCAACTGATACCCTGAGATACCTTTCCTTTTTTTCAAATAAGTTAAGAATATACTACATGTTTATGGACACTTTACACACATACCAAAAAGTGTATACATGTATTTGGGAAAATTATGAATGATTCCATTTCATAGAGTTTAAAGAAGAAAAAATTACAGAGTGATATTTAAGTTCTATAAGGGTCCTATCTTAATGACTTGATGGTATTCTACATAATTATCATATGCTGTGATTACCCAGGAATAATCACCATTATTCACCATTTTAGCCTGTTTTTTAACCCCCCCCTCCCTTTGTTGGACAGAGGCTAATATTTCAGCTTCTGTTACAATATGACTATACTGTATATTCTGCAATATAGGAGATTAGCATTATACATGTACCAGGATGAACCATGATGTACATGTTGAATCAATTACTGTACGTGTACATAATTTGCTTATTCAAAATTTAGCGTAATCACTTGGTCTGGAGTTGTTGGTGTAAACATAAATTAGCGCTACACATGTCTGATCAGTGTTTTGTAAATGTAAATGATTTCTTTGCAGTATTCATGAAGTAGTGCATTGTTGTCTGCGCCAAAGCTGCTAAAATATGAAGCCCGCTTTTTAAAGTACACATACAGTATATTGCAAATGGGTTATGATCTTTGTAGAAAACACAACTAAATACAATACTGTTAATGATGACTATGGAATGGCATGATTTATACTCATTTTTTATGCCCTAGATTGAAAGATTCCAGGTGTTTGTTGTTTTTGTCCTGTCTGTTTTCTGTTTGTCTGTTGTCAACTTTAACCTAGCCAATAACTATTGATTGGGTGGGACTATGGTTTTCATATTCCACAGGTGTATTCTATGTGACAAGATCTTTCTTTGGATTTGGGTAGCACCAAATTTGACTTTTTGACCTTTGAGTTTTACCTACTTTTACAAAAAATACCACACTTTAACCTTGGCCATAACTTTTGAACAGTTGGGGCTATACTTCACTTGTGTATTTGTTGTGACAAGATCTTTCAGCTGGCATAAATATTTTTGACCTTGACCTAAGAATTTGACCCACTTTTTAAAATACAGTAAAACTCGTTTAGTACGAACACGGATATTGCGTATTCACGGATATAGCGAAGTCATCTTGGATCCCTAGCTGAATAAATGTAATGAATTTCTTATACGGTTATAATGAATTACGGATATAGCAAAGTAACTTCATAGATCCAAGCGACTTCGTTATAACCAAGTTTTGCTGTACTTCAACCTTGGTCATAATTATTGAACAGTTAGAACTAGGGCAGTCATATTTCACAGGTGTATTCCTTGTAACAAGACCTTCCTTTGGGTACTAACACCTTTGATCTTTCAACCTTGAACTTTGGAGTATTTGCATTTTGAATATTCAACCCTTGCCATAAGCAAGGTCGCTTTCAACCAATATTGTTTTAATCAGTAAATCATGATGCAAAAACTTACACGACTTGCAGACGTCAATGTAAACAACTTCACTATACGGAGTGTAGCAAATCCCAATCAAATAAGAATTGATAACAGTTAGATTCATACTTTTCAATATATATCGGTATAATAAAACAATTGATTACCCCTTGTGAGTTCAACATGGTGAAATAAGGACCCTCGACCTGGCCCACTCGATGACCTGCCCTGACCTCGGCCGCTAGGCGGCCTAGGTCAGGTCAGGTCACCTCGTGGGCCAGGTCTCGGGTACTTATTTCACCATGTTGACCTCAAAAGGGGTAATTAATTGTATAATAAAAACGACATTATATGATCACCTGGCGCTGTCTAGTTTCGTGACGTCCGACGTCTTTGTTTTTCAATGTCCGCTTCTTCTACCTCATGCTCTTATCTAGTTACAATTCCCTGGAGCTGAGTAAGGACTTAAACCTGTCTTGTTTATATGACTTTACAATGTCAGGAACCGTAGCTTTCAATACATATAATATTGCAAATGGATATATTCATTTGGAGAGATCCTCGCTTGATTTTGCCAGCATATTTTGCTTTTTGGACATTAATATGTACAACACATGATCAACTTCATTTTTTGACGTGATTGATTTCACACCTTGTGTACAAATCGACATTAACTGTGCATCAATTTTCTCTCTGAATCTCTTTTGGCATCTAAAACAAGTATACTCTGGATGCATTTTATTTCTCCGTAGCCAGTTTAAACATTTCCTCGGTCTATTCAGGTTTTTTCAGGGGCAATACTTGATAGAATGTTGGAAAAGAAATCACTCCCCCCCTTTTGACGTCATTTTCAAGGCCTTATTTGTTTGGACACTCCATGTAAAATTTACCATAAATTTTCATAGAACTTCCAAAATGAGGTAAAAATTCCATATTATAAGGAACAATAGCGTCCCAACACATACCTGAATTAACAGGATTTTTGGATGTCAAATATTCATATCAAAAGAGTTTATCTCAGTTACATTTACGTTGAAAAAAAAATGTTGTGTTCAAGGTTGCGCCACCTGGACATACCATTGCTTACAAAAACACTACTAATTTATTAAAAAATAAAATTCATGATTTGTGATTTATTCTATAGATAGAAAGGATGATTGCTAACCAGATATTTTAAAATTCATTGATGTACCTAAAGCGGTTTTAATTTTATAGCACTAGTCCATGAACTTTTTGATACCCCCACATATTTCAGTGCGAGTGTTTTTAGCTCACCTCAACGAAGTTGGGGGAGCTTATGTAATACCCTCGGCATCCCAGGTTAAGGTTAAGTTTTTTGGAGCAGTTTTCTTTTTAAGTACTTCTATGTCCTATATTGATTAGACATGCATGGACGATGTTTCTAGTGTGTTTCATTGTACCAGTCAAAGTTTCAGATGCTGCAGTTTCAGTAAAGGAATGATCAGGTTAATGTTTTTGGTGCAGTTTTTGGTGTAGGTCTCATTTCCGAGTAATATAAGCCCTATTTTGACCAAACTTGCACGAATGATACATCTAAGGATGAAAACTACCAGACTTGCTTCGGATGCTGAATCTGACCTACATTTTCCGGTTGAGTGAACAGGTTAAGGTTTTTGTTGCAGGTTTCATTTCAAAGATATTATGAGCCCTATAATGACCAAACTTGGATGGTACATCTTAGGATGCATACTACCAGACTTGCTTTGGATGCTGAATCTGACCTACATTTTCTGGTTGAGTGAACAGGTTAAAGTTTTTGGTGCAGGTTTCATTTCCAAATTTCTATGAGCCCTATAATGACCAAACTTGCGTGGATGGTACATCTTAGGATGCATACTACCAGATTTGCTTTGGATGCTGAATCTGACCTACATTTTCTGGATTAGTGAAAAGGTTAGTTTTTTATACAGGTTTTATTTCCAAGTAACTTTGAGCTCTATGTTGAGCAAACTTGCATGGATGATACATCTTAGGATGCACACTAAAGGACTTACTTCAGATGCTGAATTCGACATACATTATCCAGATAATGGACCTCATAAAAGTTATGGGTGCAGGTCTATTACCAAGAAACTATAAAGTTTATATAAACCAAACTTGCACAAATGATGCATCAAGGGATGAAAACTCTCAAACTTGCTTCAGATGCTGGATTTTAATTATGTTTTCATGATGAAGAACTAGTTTGAAGTTTTTATATAGGTCTATTCCAAAGTTTCAAATCAAAATTGCATAAATTTTGGATGTACACTTTTTGTTGGTTAATTGTGTGACTTTGCCTTACTTAAAGACAACATTCGTTGAGGTGAGCTCTGTAATCTCTGATTACCTATGTCAGTGGTCTATAAATCATCGTACATGTACTGTGTTACATTTATTTGAAAATGCTCAAAACAGTTGCTGTTTTTGTTGATTTACTTAAAAAAGAAATAAAAACTTAACCCAGAACAGATTAATCCAGTTTGCTGCATTTGAATTTGTAATTAATTGTTGCTCTATATGTTATGACAGCATGACAAGTGTTTGAAGATGCAACATTTACTTGTTTTATCATTATTGATAAATTACGTATGGCAGTTATTTTGGTTGTGTATCATTATTGAGCTATTTTATGAAATCCTTGTTAAGTATTGGATGTCACAAGAATGAAAAGAGAACATGTATGATTTTATTGATCTGCCCTTTGATTAATATTTGCTTATAAGTCAAAGTGAATGGGAGTTGAAGTAGGAGTGACATCTTTTAATGATACAGAAATAGCAAGAAAGGATGAGGTGACATATAACTGCTATCAGGGGCCCCTTTTTCCACGACAAATTATGTTTAATGTTTAACGATTTTGATAGTTTTTCAAACATGAGTGAATAAATATGATGCCTTTTGAATGGTTTCAATAGTTTTGACATACTGTAGATTTTTTTTTCCACAGGGTTATAATTCCGCAGAAACTCAATATCTGTTTAATCCGCATGTAGAAAATTACGCGGTTTCTAAGACTGTGACTATTTGCCTCATATTTATATTAAGTACGCTTTGACAAATTTCCGCGGAAAATTTGTGACCGTGTACATAGTGTAAATTAATACAACATGGGAAAAAGTACTTCTACAGTATTTTAATTGTAAGGAATACTGCATTATCTATGATTTTTTAGACCCATTCACAACAAAATTCAGCCTGGTTTGTGACAACGTATTCTTTTATGAAAGAGAATGGGCGGGTCACAGTACAAATAAAGGATATGGATGTCTGAGGAGTCTACCTTATATGGCAATGTTATTATTTCGCACATAGTCGCTTACCAAAAACAATTGTCCAATCCAATGACAGAACTACAAAACATGCTGGTTTACTACATATTTACATTTTATCACAGACACATGGTTAGGTCAATTTACCTTGTAATTCCTCTTCTAGATTTCAGGCTTTTAATAGTCAGCTAAGGGTGTTTATACTTAATAATACACATGGGTTCTCTGTGTTTACGGTTTATGGTAAAAAAATGCACATGAAACTTGTATTCAATTATACTCTGAAATACATGTAGGTCTACGGCTAGCGAATTACCCATCAAACACTTTACAAAACTTTAAACTATATATTTATCAATCGTTTACAACTGTGATCTCGGAAATGGTACATATGTAGATCTGTGTCTAATCTGTGGCTCAAATCCATAAAAAATATTTATCAGAAACCAGGTAAAATAAGTCTTTTTCCAAGCATGGAATTTACTTAGTATTTTTGTGGTACTCACTCATAACGCATCTCATTTTTCTGATTGGTCTTTTAGAAAGTATCGTTAATGCCTTGATTAGAATATGAATTTATTCTTACGTCAGAAAATCCAGTTTTGTTGATCTGTTCATAAAGGCCAGTTAGATTTTACAATATTTTTTAAAAATAGCATGTGAGCGCAGTTAGGTACAATTTTCTCCTTTCACATATAGGTAGATTTCAATAAAATACAGTGACCATCCAAAGGAGAAAATTGTACCTAGCTGTGCTCGTATATTTTAAGGGCTTCAAAGAGTGGGACGGAGTCAAAATTCAATGGGAATTGGATATAAACGTGATACCCCTACCCTAATAAAACATATGCAAAAGATGCAAAATTTTTGCCATTGAAAACAGCTCGTGTACTTATATGATATACTGTAAGCATATACTTTGCTAAATTAAATTGATATCTTGAAACTGTTACACAGACAATATCGTGTTATTGCCATTGTGGGTGGGAAAATTAAATTTCAAGCTATCCAATTGGGACAAAGCACAATTGCTTGGAAACATGCATTAATTTTAAACACAATTGTCAAGACTGACTGCACTTGCACAAAGATAAGATTATTTTTAGCCAAGGGGAATTCCCCCAATTTAGATGGTATGGTATTTCCATTATTGTGTTAAAAGTTGTTTATGGGGTACATGCCAGCCCAAAAATATTAAGTGTCAGCAGTTTCTTAGTTTCTAAAAATTTCAACGTATATCATGCCAGGTGAGTACTTAGTACAAAGCTATAGTACAAAATCTAAAAAAAGAAGGTGGAGAGGTCAGGTCGCTAGTTTCTGTATTATTATCTGGAAATGCAGAGTATCTGGAGGTTTAAATTGTATGACTGATAACACACAGGCTTTTGTGTTTTTTATTGAACTTGTATGCATGTGGTTGACAACCATTTTCTGATAAGACATGAAATTTCAAATGCTTTAAAATTCATGTTTGAAATATTTCTTCCAGTGTCATGTTTTGTTGTGAAAAGAAAATGAAATCTTTTGGTCAATACATGTTCTGACTTTTTTCTGAACTGAAAGTGAACTAGCATGCCATATGATATTTGATTAAGAAATAACAGGTAATAAACATGGTAAATATTGATGACATACAGTATATTTATAGTGCAATGAGTAAGTGTACTTATGTTGCTTCCTTATACATATGACTTATATCAGTATCAGTCCTTAATATTGCATGTCATCTATTTTATTTTTATGAGTCAGTAAAACGGTAATTAAAAGAAGAGAAACAAAGTATTATTGGTGAAATTATAGATTCTTATTTGGTAGCTGTTTTCTGATATGCACTGTGCATTTGGAAATATTTGAAAGTAGGGGACAAGATTCAGCAAATATATCTCAAGATTTTATCTGTGTCATTTTAAAGACCTATTTAACTCTGCATTACCATAGACATCCCTGTATTTTCTGAATAGTCATCTTTGTCCTTTTTGACATCAACAAAACATCTTTGGTCCAACTTCCAGTGTGACTTTTGACAAAAGAGAGCAATTGTCCACATGAAAATTTGTTTGCCTAAATACTATTTGAATTTTATTTTCAATCATGTATATTAGAGTTCAGTCGAAGCAAGCTTATCTAAAATGGTTATGATGTCTGTTAGCAAGCATCCAAGAAATGCCCAGATGTTGACTGTAAACCTTTAATTTGCCAAAATATTTTGCTTTTGTACCTCAATGTGCAATCAATATTGCAAAAACAAAAAACATGATGCATTTTAGGAGTTTTTTACTTAATAAGAAATACTGGAAACCAACTTTTATCCGTGTGCGAGAAATATTTGTGAGTTTCGCAACATACTTTAATTCACGAATTTTTATAGCACGAACCATTTATTTTACAATAAATTTTCCTCATCTTTTTAATGGTCCTCTGTGTGGCGCAGTGGTTAGAGCATCTGTTCTAGAGTCGCCAAGTAAAGAGTTGATCTAATACATCACAGGTTCGAATCCCACTGTGGGACGTGGAGACCGGTTCTTTCGGATGAGACCGTATAAACCAAGGTCCCATGTCGCAGTAGGTGCTGGCACGATAAAGATCCCTCCCTGCTCAATGGCCCGGAGTGCCAAGAATAGGACAAAATTTGCAGCTCTCCACCCGCAAATGGTGGCGTCTCCATATGAGTGAAAATTCTTGAAAGAGACGTTAAACTATATACAATCAATCATCTTTTTAATGATACATATATCAAAAACATAAACCTTCCATTAAATGGGTAACCTTTTCAAAACTTTTCAATTTCAACTGTTACTTATATGTATTGAAATATCCAGCTTTCTTATTTCTTAGTTTTTCAGAATGTATCATTGTAATTGTAGGTATTTAAGGAAATCTTAGAAGAGTTAAAAGAACAGATAGAAGAAGAGAGAAACATTGCTGCTAGTGTGTCTGCTAAGGAAGCTAAGCCTATAGAGGAGCGGGAACCAGATAACGAATGGCTGCAGGGAACCAATATTAACATAACCAAGGTGAAGATAAATCTATAAGGAGCATTTCTTTCTACCAAGATGAATTGTTGTTCATACAGGGACATGTGTTTGAAACTAATTAATACTTCTTTCCTTTGTAGCAAAGTGAAGCAAGACAAAAGATGCCATCAAAGAAAAATAAAGGTTTTTGCAGTTTGTACTTTACATTGAAAATCTTTGTTAATTATTTCATTGGGGAGATGATTGCATTGCAAATATACTAATGTATATAAATTTGGTTCTTGCTTTAGGGAAGTCCCCCACAAAACAGCCGCAGACTAATGGTAACATTAATAATAACAATGCTAAGACGTTTGTGAAGTCCAGTCCAGAGATCGGGAATGGGGACGTAGATGATGAGGAAGTTGAGTCGGATGATACAGAAGGCTCTGATGATCGGCTCAGTGAGGATGAAAACTTTGTCAGTACCTTCATGAACGTCCGTAACACCAAGCTGGTCAGTCCGGGACAGAACTTCCACCTCAAGTTCCCAACAGCTGTTGATGTATCAGTAAGTAGGATACTCCCAGTCAGTGTGATTATGTTTTTCCATTAATTATTCCTTTAAATGAATTTTAGTTGTAAATATTTGGGAACTGTCATTTGTGTATAACTTGGATCATTATTTTATTTTGTATCTTTATAAAATGTACGTCTCTTTTTGTAAGGAGCCGGTCCAGAAATCCACAGGATCCATGGGATTGGATTGTTTCTCTCCTCCAGCTGGTATTGTTATCTCTTCCCTTTGTTCTCTGAATATATAAGAAATAAGTGCAGAATATCTTTGACAGTAAAGTATGAATTCTTTTAAATTTATTTAAACAATATGAAGAGATAAGTTCTTTTTACAATAGCATTAACATGTCTAGCATACATACAATTTAAAATATTTTTTTCCCTTTGCTTAAGTTTGCTATTGCATAAATGATTATGCATATACTGTACAGCAGGAAATTAACTCGCGGAGTTAATATTCGCTATATTCGCGGAAAAAGAAATTCTGCGAATTCAACATACAGTGAATAATTCTTGAAAAGATTTATAAAGATAAACTGAAATTTCATCTGTGATTAGATGTAGACTGTCATTATAATTATGAGAGTGTATACAAACACGTAGTTGTTGGTGTTTTGTAAAGCTTATTAATTGTTAAATTAATTTCTATAGCTAACGATTACGGTAGTTTTGCCATCTAGTAGACGTGCAATGTAATTATTTAATTATTTAAACAAGCTTGTATAATTTCACCCGTGCGTATCACTCAGTCATTACCTTTAATCAAGGCACTTGCAAAGTAAACAGGGTGAAGACAGTTAATTAATTTCAATTATATGATGAAAAGTTCAACAATTTGACTACTATATATTTTTTTTAGTCGGACTCGGAAATAAAAAAATATTCTGAATGCGTAACATTATTTTGACTTCAAATCGGGATCAGTCCGGTGTTTCGTTATTATTTAATCGGGCTCAAAATTGACACAATATACATGTATAGACTTGCCTTTCCTGTCTGATATGCGCGATGTACATGAACAAACTTTCGTAAGATAGAAACTGAAAATAAAGGTTCACACAATATATACCTAAAGAAAAATGCTTGCAAGTAATGTTTAAAAAATGTATGATTGGTTTTTTCCTTTCCGCGAATTCAAACGACCGCGATTTGCTGAAAATTGAACAAATCGCGATCTTTTCCGACCGCGATTTTAACCTGCTATACGGTAAGTGAAAATTGATCTGACTTGCTTCTTTTGAAAAGAAGAGTAAAATGATTACTCAGATCTACATTTACTTCAGGAAAAATCCCAGCTAAGCCAGATTTTCCTCGGAGCACACCAAATATTTCCAGTTCTGCCTCATCTCTGTCGTCTCGGACCTCCACACCTAACCCTAAGGCAGTAAGCCAGTCAGCCATGAGTGAGATCAAGAAAATCAAGTTCCCAATGGACGACAACTATGACTGGAGGCTAGCCTGTAGACAGTGCTTTGTTAAAATAGGGGAAGGCATCCGGGGGTTTAGATACAACATGAATTTATCACATACATGTGCCAGGGACATATTGATAATAAGACTGAGAAAGGAAGGAATGAACTGGATTAAGATCCGACCACGTCCAGAGTCTAAGTTCCAGCAGTTTGTAAGCTATAAGATCTGTACTCACTTCAGCAGTTGTAACCCTTGTGCTGTCGGGGAGGAAAAGTGCACTTTTGCTCACAACACGACAGAGAAAAATCTGTGGAACATGGACAGAGATCCTGAGGAACCCTTTCTGCTGACAGAATTCATCAGCAAACTCCAACAGTATAAAATAGGTAGGTGGTGGTTCAATTGAAATATAGGAAATCTAAAAGCAGAAAAAAATGTCAAAGTAGAATATAAATTACGGTAATTATCCTTTTCTCAATTAATGGAAGGCAGTTTTGAATCTATAGATTATATTGCTATCATGCTATTTATATTTTTCTATTTATAATTGTAAAATGATGTTTGGTTTTTACAGACTCAAATGAGGAGCTTGCCAGACTTCAGTCAGTAGACTCCAGCAGTGATAAACAGACAGACACTGCCATACCAGGTTTGAACTACAAATCTAAACAGACGAAGCCCTCACCCCCTGGACCTGTAGATCACATGGTGTCTGCACTGAAGCAACCCCTCCTACCCACCCCTCCAAGGGGACCTTTACCCCCTAACAATCTGCCTGCTGCCCCCATAATGAATCGGCCACGAATGCCTGGACCCCCACCCCCGGGCTTCATTGATCCTTATTACATGATGCAGCATCCTCCCCCAGGAATGGGTCCTCCGCATGGTATGCCATTTCCACCACACCCTATGATGAGGAACAGATTTCCTGGGCAAGGTAATAAATTTTTTTTATACACTCAGCTTAAAAAGTTTTTTTTATGTGTCATATTCACTAGATATTTAGAATAATTTATATGTTTTATGGTATACAAATAGGTCCACCAAGAATGATGCCTCCATTCACTTCTCCAACTTCCCAGGCCCAGATACGACCTAATATGATGAGGGCACCTGCACCTAAGCCAGTGGCCGACTCCACAGCTTATGATGATTCTTCTGATGTAGTGTCTACGTACAACCAGGAATTCCCTCTGTCCTCTACACATGATTATAAACTGGTCTGTAAGAACTGCTACAAAGTCAACCTTAGCACTGGAATGTATGTATACCAGCCAACTCAGCACCAGTGTGATGAAAATATTATGGTGGTGAGACCGAAGCAGTCTAATGGACAGTGGTTAAAAATCCGTGAGAGAAAGAATCACCGGGTGTTTACTGGAAAATATATCATGTGTAACAGTATTCACGTGGGGGGCATCTGTAAGTACGGTGAGGATAACTGTAGCTTTGCTCATAATGTTTGCGAACAGACCTTGTGGACATTGGAAAAGGATGAAAAATTTAATATAACAGAGTTTATCATGCAGAGCAGATCTAAGAATATGGAGAAGGGTTACTCTATTGCCGATATTCTTGAAAGACATTCTGGATATCTTGGTTTTGTCTGTAAGGCTTGCTTCTACAATCAACCCCAGATGATAAATCGTGAGGGGGCAGAAGGGAAATGTAGTGGTAAGGCAAAACATGATTGGTCAGACTACAAAATCTTGGCACATTTCAGCACTAATGGACCAGTCACTATTATAAACCCCAGGGGATTCTCACACAAGACCGCTTTCTTTAAAATCTGTAAATGGCTGCATTATTGTCGGAATAGAATTAATGCAGAGTGTAGGTTTGCTCACAGTATAGTTGAAAGAGACTTATGGATGTTCGAAAGAGACACCGATTTCTCCCAGGAGAAAATTGTAGAATTGTCCAATAAAGAATTGGGTATCTCCACTAATGCCCCCGAGACAACAAGCTACACTTCCGAGATCACTCCCTCAGCCACCCTGTACCAGCCCTTCACCCAGCAGTCTCTGGCCTCAGCACCAAAAGCAGCATCACAGGTACAGGAGTCCAAACCAGTGGCCAGTCTGGATGAAGAGGAAGATGACCTGTGTCCTTATGTTATACAAGAACTGTGTTTAACCTGCTGGAAAAATGGGAAGAAGAGTATTCAGGACGGCACTAAGGACAGATGTGTGAAAAATCATTCTAACTGGAAAACTAATCGGGTTTACCTAGCCTCCCCCTCCAATAAGGAGATTCGAGTCCTGCCCAGGAAGATTCCGTCAGGGTTTCGGTTCATTTTGTGTAGTTACATTGAGAAGCGTGGGAAGTGTGGTTACACTGGGGGTGGGCCGTGTCAGTTTGCCCACAGTCAGGAGGAACTAGAGATCTGGCAGTGGATGTGTGCCCATGATAGTAAGGCTCAAATTTCTCATTGACACTTTATTTACTAGGAATTGTTTTCTGACTTCATGTACATAAGGGTAGATCTTCATATTCAGAGAAAAGTTTGAATTTGTGGTTTCAGGATCAGTTAGAATAATTTTTTCAAGTTTTGACTTAAGATGTGTACTATTGAATGAAAAAAATATCTGCCAATTTTATAATTTTAAAGGTGATGTTTGTTATGTGTAGACGTACATCACGTTTTTCTTTTTATATAGTTAAAAAGCTAGAAGATCTGTATAAAGCCAGTAAAGAGGCCCAGACAGTGCGGGCAGCCCAGACTAAGAACAAGGCCATCAGTGGGGAGTCTGTGGTGTCTGTCAGTAAGAGAGTGACCCTGCCTACACAGGTCAAGTTCAGCATGCACTACTGCTCCTACTGTGGTAAACAGTGTAACAGTGAGAAACAGTGGGACGAGCACTGTGCCTCAGAGAAACATAACTTCAACGTCAACTCCGATAAAGAACACCAGTGGAATTACAGACAGCCACCCTGGGGACTGCCAGGCACTAACTACGAACTCTGCTACAAGTAAGTCCACTCAGTGGGGCTTTATCCTCTCTCTTTAATGTTATTTGTAATGTAATATGTAATGTAAAATTTAACAATTGCCATTTAATTAAAAATGATAATTAAAATGTATTTTCATAGAGATGTAAAGTAGATTATGTGATATCTATTATAAACTGTTAAAAGGTGTTTTTTTCCTAACCTTTTGTAGATTCATAAAATGCATAGTATTTATACGTTGAATTTATATTGCACAAATCAGCAGTAATAAGTTGAGTATTCATATTAGTAAAAGGTCATTCTATAAACATGGTTTAGTTTACGTTGTGTTATTTTCAGACACATGGAGGGTAAGAAATGTCCGTATTCACACGTACCCGACATGTACAACATGTGTCAGTATGCCCACAGTGAGGAGGAACTGGACGAGTGGAAAGAAAGGTACGAGTGGCGACAGATGAAGCGTGACATGGCGCGGCAGGAGAAGGTGTTCTCCTTCATGGATGAGTTACTGGAGGAGTACCAGTCAGCTGATCAGGGGATTAGAGTGGTTAGTGTGATTTCACCGTTTAGTGATGTCTTCAGTTAATCAATGTAGTCATGATTTATTGGTTTGTGGGCAATATTTTAAATGGATAAGGTGTGAATGAAATGGGAATTCATTGTTTACAGATTTCAGAGGATATACCAGATGTAGTTGTTACTTGTGAGCAGGAACTGACAATCTACGAAGAAGAAAAGAATGCTGTGTTTACATGGATATTCAATGTGAAATCAAGGGTATAATATTTTAGTTTTATGTTCTTGATATAAGATTTTGAAAAATGTTCTCTTCAGTGTTATAAAGCTTCAGTATTTCAATTTTAGTGTGACTATAAAAATGCCAAGAAAGTGTGCATGTTTATGTTCAGTAACATCCGAATATTCAAGGTCATTGTTTTGATACATAAGTTCTGGGGAATAAATTGTATAAAGAGTGTTTAGGTGCTATCCTTTATATCTACCCATGATTGAGCTTGAGAGGGATTTCTATGTTTGTTTGTTTTATTTCAGAGGACTCTGGAGAAAGTTGCACTGCTGTACAACAAAGACCGCCTCCACTTCTCCCTGAAAGAGAGTGACATGGAGAAGAACACCCAGATAGCTCCAGGGACTTCATTCCAAATCGACAACCACCGCTACCAGGTGGAAGTCCAGTTCACAGGAAACATGTTTGGGTCATTCAATCAGTGGGTCATATTTGACTTTGGCAATCTGCCAGTGTTGGTAAGGAAGTTATATGTAGAGGTAGGGACAATCGGGACACACGAGAAGGTCAAATCTCTGAGGGAGAAGCTGAACTTTGATCGCTGGACGGCAGAAAACCGTGAGATCATCAGATACGAGGGAGCTAATGTTGACGAGTTAGAAAGAAGGCTGACCAGTAAATACAAAGCCCCGATCTCATCGGAGAGCGTGATCAGCCAGCACAGCGTGGCCACCGAGCTCAACTGGAACAACTACCATCACAAGATGCACCAGCTGCTAGAGATGGAGGAAATGAAAAGACACCAGATCATATCCAGGTATTAAATGTTTCATGTTTTGGAATCATGATGAAGTAGGAACATACAGACTTTTATTTTTGATAATCAAAAAGCAGAGATAGAATTTTTTTTTAAAAGTCAAAGTAGTATTTAAAAAAAAGCTAGGAACAATTCCATTACCATTTTAGTTGTTGTGTGAAAAACATTAATAAATTTCTAATCTTCACAGTTACAACTTGTGCAAGACAATCACAATACTGGAGTCCATCCAGGAACAGGTGTATGTGTACCCACAGAGGGGAGAACTGTTTGCTAAGGTCCCCCTCGCTGAGTACCTGACAGAGGACACAGATGCTGGGAAGCTGATTCTGACCAGTGTCCGTAATGTGCTGCTGGCCCCTCAGGACCGCTCCACCCAGAGTGTGTACGAGGGGGTGATTGTCAGGAAAGATAACTTTGATTACGATGGTCGAGGCAAGGAATACATGTACCTGTGTCTCTCCAGTAAGTGTGTGAAGGGCCTCAATCTGAGACACGGAATGACTCTGAAGGTGGAAATTCAGTTCCAGATGGACAGGATGTGGTTCTGTATGATGCATTATGCTGTGGATCATTTAGGCTCAACTGATGTGGTGTTTCCAGATGTCTCAAAGATCAAGCCTTTCCATGAGAAATCAACACTGAGGATTAAGTAAGTTACAAATAGATGTAACATGACTTTATAAATCTAAATGTATTTCTTGAACACTTGAATGTTAAATCCTGATCTGTTACTTTTTAGCTCATCCGTTTTGAATCCTGACCAGTTGACAGCTGTCCAGCACATAGTGACAGAGAGAGTGGGCTACAATCCTCCATTTGTTATCTATGGCCCTTTTGGTACTGGTAAAACAGAAACTATTGCACAGGCTGTAATGGTGTTAATCAGAGAGAGACCAGACTCCAAAATCCTCATCTGTGCTCAGTCTAACAGGTAATATTGAATAAGTTTTGGGAAAATGAAGTACTGTTTAGTATGTCATGATACATGTACATGTATGTATCACAGTATAAGTACAAATGATTAATAAAAATTGCTCAGAGTTTTTAATCTGATTACTTTGCTTTTGAAAGAACACTCAAAGTAATTAATACATTAATTTAGAGGCTCGATGAGGGCCATACTTATATTTCATTATACTTTCTTTAATAGTGCTGCAGATCTGTACTTAACCAAACATCTGGATCCTTTCCTGAGGAAGACAAACTTTAACACAAAGATAAGAAGAGTGTACTTCAAAGAAAGGCGTGTGAACACTGTCCAACCAGAAGTCAAGAAATACTGTATGTTAAACTCAGATAGAACAGCGTTTGAGTTCCCGACCCATGATGACATCATTAAGCACAACATCGTGATAGTGACCCTGTCCACTTCTCTGTTACTGTCAGAGCTGGGACTACAGGACTACTTCACTCACATATTTGTGGACGAGGCTGCCCAGACCCTGGAGGCCGAGGCGATAATGCCGCTGTCTCTGGCCAGTGAGAAGACGTGTGTTGTGTTAGCAGGAGACCATCAACAGATCAGTCCTAAGGTCTACAGTCCAGAGGCTCGTGAACAGAAGTTTGATGTCTCTTTGTTAGAGAGACTGTTCCAGTACTATGAATCTTTCTCACATAAAATTGATCAGACAAAACCATTGAACATTCTCCTGAGAATCAATTATAGAACCAAGATGGAGATCTTGCGATTTATCTCTGCCATTTTCTACGGTGGTCCGGAGAAGTTGGAGTCCCGTGCTAACCTCCCCTCGGTGCTGGAGATCACACCTCTGATGTTTTACGCTGTCCAGGGTGTGGAAATTCAGGATTCAGACAGCATCTCTTTCTACAACATGTCAGAAGTTCAGGAAGTAGTGGAGCGGGTACAGGAACTGTATGCAAACTGGCCGGCTGAGTGGGGGGAAAAGAACCCCAAGACTATCGGGGTCGTCACTCCTTATTTTGACCAGGTGAGAAATAAGGCATGGTGAATTACAATGTATGTTCCTTTCTATTGCTGATAATTTTAAAGCTAATCACATCTCTTTGGATTGCAATTTTGATTTAAATCATCTTTTGTTAAAGGTTCAACTAATTAGGAAAGCCTTAAGAAAGAAGCATCCTGACTTGAAGAACATCACTGTTGAGAGAGTAAATAATGTTCAAGGTATGATAACTGTTGCATATGTATTTGACCACCTTTTTAATGCATTTAGATGATTGAAAATATTTTGAAAAAATTCTTCTTACTTTTAGGAAAGGAATTTCGAGCATTATTCATTTCGACTGTAAGAACCCGAGGCTTGATTGACTCTCAGTATAAGCCCGAGGGAGAGTGCGAGGGAGATGGAGGGTATTATGGCTTCCTGTCGGATCCTAAGCTTCTGAACACGGCCCTTACTCGAGCCCAGTCCTATGTGGCAGTGGTGGGCGACCCTGTGGCCCTGTGTGCTATTGGAGATTGTCTTAACGTATGGAAAACCTATCTTAAACACTGCCAGAACATGAAGAGTATCCATCCAGCGACCCTGACCCTGGAGTCCATTAAACAACAGGTGTCTAATCTGGCTCAGACCCCAGCCAGGCAGAGGATGGTGGAAATGAGTGGACAGAACAAACCACATTTATCTCTACCACAGGAACACACAACTCTTACCCAGGGACAGGTCCTGCCACCCCAGGGTCTGTCACTGCCAGGTCAAGGTCAGTTGATGCCAGCTCCACTCACTCATCCTAGTCTACAGACTGGAGCCTGGAAGCAGAATAAATCTGGGGAGTCTTTGTTAACTAATGCTTTTGCTAGACCAGCAGTTAAGCCCCTGGCTAGGTCAATGTCACACTTAAATGAGATTCGCTGTAGGCCCATACCTCATCCACAGGTGGATAGAATAGTGTACTCTTATGACTGGAGCGAGTGTTATGATACTGCTACAGATGACCTGCTTAAACAAATGGCAGAGGAAGCAATCAGAATGGAAAGGGTAAACAAGCAGAGAGACAGACCTAAGGCTACCACTGGACCTGTGTATGTGGAACTTATTGACTTCAAAGAAAGTAATGGTCATGTGGAGCTCTTCTATGCTAATGATTCAACACAACCAACCAAAAATGGTGATTTTAAGGAAATTCAGTTATATGATGAAACCTATCTCCAGACCATGATGCAGAAGTACCCAGAGAGGTTTAAGAAGTGTGTGTTTAGGAAGGATTCGGATAGAATGTATGTAGAACTTGTTGGTCAGGTATCCATTCACAGCCCTATTGAGATCGGTAACGTGCGAGATAGCGGGACAGCTATGGACGGTGACGAGGTGGTGGTGGAGATTCTGCCCTCAGAGGACGTAGACGAGCTGGACCTAGATAACATGGACACGGGTCATCACGGCCGAGTGGTGGGAATTCTCAACAGGAAGATTGATCCGGAGTATAAATGTTTTGTGTGTTGTGTTGATCCAGACAATACTGGTATAATGATCCCCATAAACACTGGAGCACATAAAATGTACGCCTTGTCAGCAGGAGGGGAGATAAGTAGTGATGAAGTCCCCGTGTATCAGATATCAAAGGAGGGCAGGGTCAAACAGAGTCGGATAGTGAAGATTAACCCCATTAAATGTCAGGACACTTTATTTGTGGTAAGGTTCCTAAAGTGGCATCCTAATCTTTATCTCCCTCTTGGTATTACAGTAGGAGTGATTCCAGTAGGCACGTCATACCAGTTAGCTCTCAATATTCTTAACCTGGAGTACGATGTCAAGAAGGAGGTCAGTAAAGCCGTGGAACAGGAGGTGCTGGCCAGCTTTTCTACTAACTACACTATCCCTGTGGAGGAGTACAGTAAGAGGCATAATCTACGAGAAAAGTGGACGTTTTCCATCAGTCCAGGAGACTCGGAAGAAATAGGTCAGGCACTAAGTATTGAGGAAACTGCCGAGGGGAACTATTTTATCGGTGTACATGTTAGTGATGTGACTTATTTTGTGAAGATGAACAGTAATGTTGACACAGAGGCTAGAAACAAGACAGAGTCTTTTGTTCTCCCTAATAAAGAGACCATTCATATGCTGCCAGAAAAACTCAGCACAGACCTCTGTAGCATAAAACCTTGTGTAGACAGGCTAACCTTGTCTGTGTTCTTAACTGTATCAAAGTCAGGAGAGATAATCAGAGCCGATCCCAGGAGGTGTATCATCAACTCCAAGAAAAAATTCAACTTCAATGAAATAGCTGACATATTGGTGGATCCAGATGCTGCCTCAGACTACCTGAAGAGCTGTATTATAGTGCTGTTTCACATGTCCAGGATCTGGCGTAGACAGAGACTGGGTAACGCTAGCCTGTATCAGGATATAGACATAACACATGGAGATAAACACTCACCTGAGGCTTACCTAATGCTGCAGGAGTTAATGATTCAAACTAACCACAAAATAGCCATGTTTCTGCTACAGAGATTCCCTAGTATGGTCCCCTTGTATTGTCAGGGCCCTCCTAATGAAACAGAAGTAGAGAAGTGGAGACAGAAACATGCGCCAGATGCCATTAATTCTGTGGCTCTAACCAAACCTTTCGAGGGAAACAAAACTTGTCAGTGTAAGATGGCTTGTACTTGTATAATTAACTACATCAAGCGCACTAGCAATATTAAGGTACACGATTGTTTTGACATATCCCAGGTGCTGTGGCAGGCCTTGTGTGAAGCGACAGAGAGTGGCAATATGAGTATGGTTCAGAACATCATAATAGCTGCAGAAAGTCACCCACAGCTGTCTGTAGCATTGAAGAAGCTTAACTCCATTCAGACTAAATCTAAGTATGTATGTTCTGGTGACGGCCTAGATCTCGGGCACTACTCCTTAAATCTAGCTCCTTATGTCCACTTTGTGAATCCGATCAGTCGTTACATGGATCTTGTCACACACAGAATGGTGCTTGCTGCTATAGAGAAATCACCAGTCTGTTACACACAGTCCGATATTACACAACTCTGTTCCTATCTTTCCAATGCCAGTGATACAGTTAAAAAGTATCAACAAGCTGTACAGGACTTCCACCTCTCTCTCATGCTCAAGTCTAAACCTCTGATTCTGTGTCCATCTATAGAAAGAATTAATGAAGAGGAAATTATACTCTGTTTCCCACCAACATTTGGAGGTATTCCAGACTTTAAGAGGAGAATAAAGATGAACTTACTATCTCTGAGGGAACCACCTAAACTTTTAGATAAAGCAGTGCAGATAAGCTGGCGAGAGCAGGTTTACGACCCAGTGGCTCCGGCAGAAGAGATCAGTTCTAATGTAGAAGAGGAACTCAACCCTAATCAACACATATACCAGATCCAGTCTTTTCATTGGCAGAAACTGCTAATGGCTATAAGAGATGAAAATCACGACAAGCTACAAACTACTGTAATGTCAGTCAAAGACCAAGTTAGAAATCCTGCACAGAATAAAAATTACTCGTCTGAAATAACAACAGAGCGACTTGTTAATGGGAAGATAGTTCCGTACACTGATTTCATGATAAAATTCAATAATTCTGCCTTGTTAGAAGTACAGGTGGCAGCGGAGAAATTTAACGGCCTGTTGGTGCCGATGATTCAGCTCGTGAGTGTCATGCCTAATTTGGACATCTGTCTGGAACACAGATCCGACTCCAGACAATGTTTTGCTAAGGAGCCTGTTCATTATGCTTCTAAAGAGAGTTACAAGCAGGAGGATGATTATGTGGATTCCTGGTTAAGTGTGCTAAATATAGAGGCAGCTGAGACTGCTGTTAATGAAGCCAATTCTATTCTGATAAGAAATGTATTTCTGCACTGGAAGTATGAAGGGACGGGAGAAAAGATGTATACCGCTCAGTTTAGTTTACCTTTGGATTTCTGTAAGAAAAGAAACATTAAGTTCGGCAGTGACACAATGTTAGAAGAAATATTTGATCCTGAGAACATTCACTTTGCAGAGAGCTACTTACTAGATTTTATTTGTGTGCGATACTCGAGTCTCCAGGTAACTGGTCGTAAGCAGGACTCGGATCAGGTGTTAGGTGGTGAAACAGCCGTTAAATGGGTCGGACACTGTGTGGTCACTTCAGTAACAAGGAATGAGAAGGAGTTAAAGGTCAGAATACAGTTACATCACAGCATTGTGGAGCCACCATCCTACTTACAGAGTCCTCAAATAAGCAAAACACCATGTACCATAGAGTGGATTCCTAAAGCTATAGAGACCAGGTAAAAATTTACTCATATTAGTGTATATCTTAAACAAATGTGCCCAAAAGTTAAACTTCTTGATTTTGATATTTCAAAGAATGATAAGTTCTTAATTTTGATTCTTTTAGACAAATGGAATGTGCCATAAGGACAGTTCCTGACAGTGGACAGCTGGCTAAAGATATTGCTCTAGGAAGAACACCTGTACCTACAGGTATAGTTAAATTGATAGCTTTTTATCATATTTGCAAGTGTGTTCCTATTCTTAAAAGAAATTTTCTGGAATTACTTTTTGAACAACAACTACTTGACTTAATTCAACTATTATCACTTGATAATTGATTTCCTTGCATTTTTGTGAATGAGTGATTTAATGTTTAAAATTTCTATTTATTCAGTTGACTATAGAGATGTAGAGATCCTTCGACAGTTCCCGGCCCCAGGATTACCTGCCCTTGACCTTTCTCAGGACCAGGCAGTCTCCACAGCTATGAAGCAGCCATTTACTGTCATCTGTGGCCCACCTGGTACAGGGAAATCCCTCATTGCTGCTCGACTAATATATCTGTTGTCCTTAAGAAATAAAATGGTTCCTGTTAGCGGAGGGAAGCCTCAGATCTTAGTTTGTGCTCCTACGGATCAGTCATTAGATGTACTAGTGGGTAAGTACTGGGAAATGATAATGAAATAAGTGGACCTACATGTACAGTATAAGAGAAAAAGTTTGCCAAACATCTGCATGTTCCATTGTTTCTTGGTTTACTGTTAATGTTTTATCTAAATTTGTTGCAGATTACTTGAGTCACCTTGGTCAGAGCTGTCCAAAGATTTTAAGGGTGTATGATGAGTTGATTGAACAGCAAGAGTTCCCTAAACTAAGTAGGTCATCACCATTAAAATGGACTGCAACTAATGCCAAAATGAGTACTGTTGTCCAGGAAAAAATAGCCCTTCATCATAAGATAAGGGACCCAGAGACATTGTTTGGTCAGTCCATTAGCCAGTATGATTATCTGTTTGCACTGTACCCTGACAATATCACTGATCAGCAGATAGAGGAGTATGTAGCCACCGTTAAGAAGGCAGAGATGATAGAACTGAGCGAGGCGGAGATTATAATGTGTACCTGTACTGCCAGCTCCAGGTCCCAGATCAGAAACGGCTGTGATATCAACCAGGTAAAAGAAAGGTGTAATATCAACCAGGTAAAAGACAGGTGTATTACTAGACAGGGCAATCATTTATTGCATTGATGTACATGTAATTTGATCGAAAATGGTTCAGCCAATATGAACAATTCCTTGGGAAATTTTCGCTCCCATTTTATTTCTACCCCCTTCGTCCTTGTCACAAGTGGGCCAATTTAGAACGGGGCAAATTCAAAGTATATAGTATAATTTCTTAAATAGAACTGTGATTGGGGGAATTTAAAACGGAACAAAATTGTTAGCAAGTGTGATAGGGTGAAAATAACCCGGTATACAGTATTTGAGAGGAGATTAAAATTCTTATATTATCAGTTATACATGTAGCTAGTTATGGCTTTATATCCTTTATATTTCAGGTTGTGATAGATAACTGTAGTATGGCGTCAGAACCAGAGTGTATGATACCCATTGTAACCTTTGACTCGGTGAAGCAGGTTGTTGTCCTGGGTGACGGTCAGCAGGTGCCCCGTAAAGTTAGTAGTCCTGTGGCCAGGACCTTAGGACTGGGGTCATCTCTATTACACAGATACAGGGACAAGGCTGTCCAGCTTCACACCCAGTATCGCATGGTAGGTAGACTATTACTGTAAACGTGGAAATTTTGACGATGTGTTAATTTTGACTATATTGACGATTTTTCTTTTCTCGTCAAAATTTACACTCGTCAAATTTCACATCATACATGTGGCCAGGACCTTCGGGTTTCCCCTATTAAAACTAGATCAAAGTTACTTTTAATTTCTGTTGTTATTAGTTATGAAAACATAGTGATATATAATCACATTTTTAAAAACCAGTGTATCAAATACTGCACACAGCCTAATTACCAGGGACAAGGCTTATAATGAAAACCAATACAAGAGGGCAAATTATTTCATCAAATCTTACACACTTAGATAGTTTGCACAATCTTACATACCGTGGATGGTTTGTACAAAAATTAAATTTAAGTGACTCCTTTAAGCTGCCTTTGTATTCCCGTGAATTCAAGGATATGATTAAAAATTCGTCAAAATTAACACTCGTCAATTTTCGTAAACAAAAAATCGTCAATATTTCAAATATACCATAGATCAGATATAAAAGAAGGTGTACTTTTTAATGGAATGGTTATTTTACATGATACATAGTTTATCTTTTATTCAGCAACAAGATATAGGTGATTTGGCATCACAGGCAGTATCAGGGGAGACCTTGACTTGTGGCAGTGAGGAGCAGAGACTGGGTGTAACTCTGTTCACTAATGACAAACCCGTGACATTCTGTCAGTTTTATGGGAGGGAGGAGGCAGCAGGACGGGAGATCATTAACCAGGAGGAGTCCAACCTAGCTGTAAGGCTGTAGTCCTGTGTATTTGTCAGTTTACTAATGTAATGTTAATGGTGTCACAAATATACTTATAAATATAGAATTTCCTAATTAAAACTGTGATTTCAAACACATGCATGTGAACATTCAAGATTAAGAAAGCTAATGATATTTATAGTTCATTATCTGTGCAATTTTCATATTGAGTTTTCTTATTTAGGTTGCGATTGCTTCCAAGCTGGTAAATCGTCACCGTCTGGGAGAGGAGAGTGTTGTTGTCCTGTCCTTTTACACAGAACAGTGTTCTCTGATTTCTAAAAAGCTCCAACAAAAGGGACACAAAAATATCTCTGTCTGTACTGTGGAGAGCAGTCAAGGTATGTGACATATATCAAGGTGCCAGGTATGAACTACGAAATTTCATTTCCGGCTGGCATTTTACTTACAGATTATTCAACGTTTTGCATATTTGATATTAAAGCTTTATAAGCAATGGATTAATAAGTCTAATACTAGGCAGTTTCAGTTGGATTTTAAAATGAGTAAGGATTTTGAAAATGACTACAAAACTTTCCAGCATAATTAACTTGTGTAAAATTAACTGTGTATTATTCATTTAGTAGCAAATCACATAAAACTGGTCATGAAATAACAAGTTTTCATAGCATTGTGGTCTATGAACAAATGTACCCCCTTTGTAAGGAAATAAGAAAAGCTTTGACAAGAGTTTGCAAAGCAGCCTTTTGAAATATTTGTGAAAAAAAATTTTTTCTTCATATTGTTGGTTGTCAATCCATGTAATTCATCGTGTAACTAATAATTTTAATGCCTCTGTAATATGGACTTTTTTGTACAGGAAAGGAATGGGATAATGTCATTCTGTCCACTGTCAGGACAATGCCGGGCCACAAAGTAGAACTTAGATCCACCACTCATTGGAAGGAGCAGCACCTTGGTCAAGTAGTAAATCAGGGCCAGGTCAGTCAAGCACTGACCAGAGCCAAGAAACGACTCATTATTTTAGGTGAGTATTAACTTGTGTACAGGTACTGGGTTTAACAAAAATAATCATAATTCAAAAAGAGGGGGTATTAAAACTGGGTTTTAATAACATGATGAGAGTTTTAGTAACATGATGAGAAGCTTTAGTAGTATTTATTAGGTCAAAAGCAATCAAAGAAGAATTTCTTATACGGTTATAACGAATTACGGATATAGCGAGTAGTTTCATATGAATGTTTTTGGTATGAATTTCAATGTTTCAAGGGTTTTTAGATTTAAATATTGATTTAATTTTTCTTTGACAGGAAATGATAACTTGTTGAGATGTGATGCATTATGGGAGAAGTATATTCAGTTGTGTCAGAGTAAAGGACAGGTTGTGGATGGAAGACAATATTTGAAATGGATGAATTAAATCCTTATAACTTCACAGAGGTGTTAATGGAAGACAATATTTGAAATGGATGAATTAAATCCATGTAACGTGACAGGGTTAGATTACATGAACTGCATTTAAGAATTTTAAAAATGTTAAACATTATGCACAAAAGTTGAACTTTATGTTCCTGATGTACATGTATGTTCAATATGTATACATATACTTTTTTGGTATTCGAAATTTTTTTAAAAGATTGATGTCGTTAATATTTAGATTATAGCTGTGTGCTTTATTTCAGTATATATGTATAATGTACAAGTATTAGTACATGCATAGCTTATATTGTTTTTTGTTTGTTATTTTGTATTAATAATTCAACATTTTCTTTGGTTTCTTGTAATTTAGATGTACTAGTAAAGACATACCCGTACTCGGAGATATTTTCTATGGAAAGATAATGAAATGAAATGGTTACATGGTTAGATTGGACAAATATTTGGTAAAAGTAGGTTTTATCTTGGAGGCATGTTGGAGGAACATGTACGTGTAGACTCAGGTTACAGAGACCACATATTGTGTATCATAGATGTCTGTTTGTATTATAAAGCTACCCATATTAAAATGTTCAGTATAAACAAACATTCAGATTTTAATTTGAATTATTTATATGTACTGATATATATGTTTGTTCTTGTATACTAATCTTAACAAAAATATTTGAATTTCACTTTAATTTTTTTTTAATTTTAAAACTTACTATAAAGTGTATGATTTATACAACCAGGGATGCCATTTTGAAAACAATGAGAAAGAATATAAGGATATTTTAGCATTGGTAGCATTTTTTGTACCGTAATATGGCTGCAAAACTTTTGTATTCTAATATCTGCTTGCTAGTTTATATAAACTGGAATGACTGTTGATGAAACATATATTGCATACCATGTTATAAGCAAAGTAATTATATTTAACAATATTGGATTTTTTTCTATTGTACACAGTAATATTGGGGAATTACTAAGAATGGATATTCCTCAGTGCACAGTTCTATATAAAATCTGTATCACTATACGGTAACACTTTACCCTTGTCAAATCACGGTTATATTTATGACATATTCAGATTTTCAGCAAGTTAATGAATGCACGAATATAGTAAATGTAAAGACAGGGAAATCCCCACCCACTCACTGTTGGGTAGCTGCAATAATGTAGCCCTCTCCCTTTTTTTTTTTTTTTTTTTATTTTCGCCAGAAAACATCAGAATAAAAAAAAATCGGAGAGGGCTACATTATTGCAGCTAACTGTTGGGGTGAAGGAAGCGATTTATGTTTGGACATTAGAGTAAGTTTTGTCTGTAGATGAGCTGGTAGCTTTGTCCTGGAGTGAAAAATATTTAGCCCATGTAACTTTATTTTCTTTGTAACTTTTTTGGTTGAATGTTTGATGTGGCTTTAATTTCAAATAGAATAATAAGTAAACTACACTCTTGTTTTCCTTTCTTTTTATATTAAAAAGGAACTTGATCAAATATTGGTTATTACTGAGATAAGACCAAGATTGATTGATATAAATCTTGATGATCTTTTATCTGAAGTAAGAAATTTTTCTCAGCAGTATAAAATACTAAAGTCAAAGTAAAGAAATGTATAAAATTGGATTAGATTTTACTGGTGCTATGAAATTTAAACGTACCTGTATAAAACCTAATCACTCACAAGATAGACCAATCTCAATCAATCTAGGCAGTATGATGGCAGTTTAGTAGTCAGTCAATGATGTGAGCATGCATCCTTGGTCAAATGACTCCGTCAAAGATTCTTGCATACTCAAGACTGTTGAGAATGTTGTACTTTACCACGATGAATGTGAATAACTTTTTGTACAGTTTAGATTAGAGTTCGAATCTCAACAAAGACTATTATGTCATGAAAGCCCCTTTGGGTTACCTCAGTGTTGAGAATTGAATGAATCAAGATGGGAACAGTTTGTTAATAAATAAATTATATAAAAGAACTGTAGTATAGAAAATATATTTATTATATAATAAATTATATAAACAGGATGTGTTTGTGAAACACTGATGCACCCATATGGCAGCTTGTGACAAGAGTTGAAGTTTCTCATATGAAAGTCAAACTCCAAAGATCAAGGTTAAATTGTTGGCATCCAAGGTAAAAGTCTTCTCAAAAGGAATACACCTGTGAAATTTGAAAGCTTTATCAACAACTGTTCAAAAGTTATGACCAAGGTCAAAGTTACTTGAAAGAAGGTCAAACTCTATATATGGTCAATTAAGGTCAAAAATATCAATCATGAAGGTATTGTCACCAGGAATACACCTCTGAAATATGAAACACATAGTCCCAACCAATCAAATTTATGGTTATTTAAGGTTAAAGTATTTGCAGAAAGTCAGACAGGGCAAAAACTATGTACTCCCAAGAAATGGTATTTAACTTTTCTTTTGAACTTAACCTCACTTTAAAAAATGTGCTCACTTGTCAAAAAAACTTGTCCCATTTTTTCCCCAAGCTACTGGTATATCTGCTGATATATAATGATGAGAGCTAATGTATACAGAAAAATTTTCACATCCATTTTATCTTTGCCCAACTCTCAGTTGAATTCCTATTTCCGACACATATTTCTGACCCAATGGTCTTTAAAATGTTTTGATTACCCTATTTACATCTTTTATATTTTTTTCTATTTGGAAGCTGGTACATGGTCTTTTAGAGTTTTCCAAGTGGTTTGGACAATACTTAATTCTCTGTCACAGATTAAAAACAAGATGTATTTGTGAAACACTGATACCCTCGTATGGCAACATAGCAAAGATTAAACTTTTCTTCAATGCAAATTAAATATGTTCTTCTCACAAAAATACAGTTGTGAAATATGAAAGCTCTAGCACCATCTGTTCAAAAGTTATGGCCAAGGATAAGTTTTTGAAAGGTACGAGGGTTGTTCGAAAATTATTGAGACATTGTGTGTATTTTGCTTTCTAATGAACGTCTTTGGGTGAAATTTTGCATGTACGTTTGACATAAACTTAGAATTAATAAAAGCAAAAAATATTTTACAAACATTAAATATTTTCTGTACAATGTTACATAAATGCGTCAATAGTAGGGGTACCCGGAGCAGTAACGAAATCAGATATCGAAAATATGTAACACCAACGTTCTAACTCTTCGTGGACCCATAATAATAGCGAAAATAATTCAGTTTTATTTGTATAATTTTTCAGCTTTATTTCAAATTCATGTTGTGCAACTTTGTTAGAATTTTGATCACAAATACGGAGATCATTAAAAAATTAAGCGCGGTAGATAAATCTGCAAAGAACGAAAAAATGGATTTTGACGTCAAGGGCGGAGCAACCAGCATACCTAAAATTTTGTGTATCGCAATTTAGAACTCTTTTCCAGACTGGACGACCTGCTAAAACAATAACAACGAGAAAAAAATAATGTGCTCGGTTTTTTTTATTTCATTGATATACAGTTTTTTTTTTACACTTAATTCAACCAGAGTAAAATCAAAAGCACCGGACAACCATCAGTTATTACGTACGATATTAATATCGTTACGGTATTTACTTCGTTGACCCGCGTTGCATAAATCGGCACTGCATGTATTCTATAAAAATCCTTTCCCACAAATGAAAATTTCACACTGGGGTAGCAATGCCATACAATTTTAAAGAATAGTTTGAGAAAAGAGACTGGTTGATTTTTGTAAAGTTATATGTAATAAAAAAGACGGAAAAGTATTAAACGCTTTGCGATCGTTTTACATGCAAAACCATCTCCGGGTGACGTGACGTTAAATGACGTAGCGATGCTGCTTTTGTGAAGACATATGCATGTTTATCAATTCACCGAAACTTTTCTTATTATCATAGGAGTTAGAAATTTTGCATAATTATTTTATACTTTCTTTATATAATGTTGATAAATTTTCATGAAATTATCTCCGTCCTTTATGGAGTAAATGTAATTGTCTCAATAATTTCCGAACAGCCCTCGTAGGTCAAACTCCAAGGTCAAAGGTTAAGAAATGTGGTTTCTAAGGAAAGGTCTTGTCACATGGATTATATACGTGAAGTATGAAAACCAGAGCCTTAGCTGTTCAAAAGTTACGGCCAAGGTTAAATTATTTTTTTAAAAGTAGGCCAAACTACAGTGCCAAAGTTCTTGGTATCCACTGAAAGTACTTGTCACATGGATTAAATATGTAAAGTATGAAAGCCCTAGCATTAACCTTTCAGAATTTATGGTCATGGTTTGTTTTCAAAGAGTATATCAAAATCCAAGGTCAAGGTCAAAGACTTTGGTATCAATGAAATGTCTTCTCACAAGGATCACATATGTGAAGTATAAACGCACTAGCCCTTACCATTCAAAAGTTATGACCACAGTAAAAGTTTGGAATTTTGGGGTAAAAGGGTCATGGTCAAATTTGGTGGTACCCAAAGAAAGTTATTGTCACAAGGTTACTTTTTTGTCACATCAATAATATTCGCCAGATATTTCAATCTTTGACTTGTTTCATTTCCCAAACTTAGGAAAACACCGAATACACATGTGAAAAACAAAGTCATAGCTCCACTAAATCAAAACTTATGAGTAAGGTTCAATTTTTGCGGACAAACAGACAGACAGACGGACACGACAAAAACTGAATCTTCGATTACGGGGGCATATAAACTGGTTTCATCACATTGCGTACAAATAGGTGTAAACATGTGACCTTTGGCATTTCTGGGCTGTCGTAATCCTTCAGAATCTACACCACCGCTAGGTGGCGCTTGAGTGCTGTCGTGTCAAGTATGGCTGCTCCCGCAGAAAGCATGACCGAGGAGAGTCCGACTGAAGATGTCCCTCCCGAGAAAACTTTCACAGTAGAAGGTATAATTATTGGAACATAAATGATAAATTTTAATACGCTAATGGGAAATATTGCTAATGTGTGTGTGCCTTTCATAATGGCGGAATAGCAGGCAAACAGGAGAAATGATCTGGCACCGGTGGTGGTTGTCCATCTGTGAAATAGCTACAGCAGTCCGTTATTATTCATAAATATAACTGTGTATTGGGAGGCTTAGTTCAAGCATAGTATTTTTACGAATAAAATATGTATGTTGAGTCCTAGGTATTTCGGAGCTGTCTTTGAAGTTGAAATGTACACACGTTGTTCTCCATATGTTAGGCCTGCTATGTATCTGAGATTTTGTTGCTGTTCACAGTTGAATGTAATAATATTGCTTTGTAAACATAATAAAGTGATTAAAAGGAGACAGTTTCGTTCTTCAGTCTTAAGCCATGCTTTTATTTCCTTTGGAATAAGGTGACGAAGAATCTTGTCTTCAAACAGTATTTTTAAAACCCTTCTTCAAGACTTGTCTTCATACTTCCAGTAAACTCTTTCAGCATATTGTTATGTTTTATTGGAAATTACACTGTTGAATCAACAATAACTTTTAAATTTTCCTGCTTTTGCTAGGTTTTATTTTTTGCAGGTTAATTCGTAAAATTTATATCTGATTCATGTATATTGGACTTAATTTTGTGTATTGTTTACAAAAAGTGTGACATTACTTACAATCTCACAATGAAAGATCAGAGAACTAACCTTTACAACACAAATATAAAAAAAATGTAAATATATGTTTTCATGGACATTGTAGCTTTTGTAATTTTATGTTTGGGTCATTATTGCTTTAATTAACATTTATATGTCATATAAATATTTAACAGATCTTATTTCATTACAGAGACCTCTATGACAAATGTTTTTAAACTAAATAATGTCAGACAGATTATTTCTTTCAATTTCTTGAATTCTGGTCAAATTTGATAATAGCGAACAAAATTTTCAAAAATAGAGTAGAAATTTTCAGTCCCTCCTGAGTTCTCCTATCCACTGCTCTAATTTCAGATACTTTCAAAATATTACATGTATATATCAACAGACAACTTTGACAACACTTAGAAGTTATTGTTTTTCAGTCCCACATATACAGTTATCAATTAAATGTATGATTTATCTATAACATGACATTTTATTTTCATCTAAAGGGAGATAACTTAGTTGTCACCATACTTCCTGGTGTTATTACAGTGTCATATAAAGGGAGATAACACAGTTTTCACCCAGAGAATCATGATGGAGACATCACAAATTTTCTCCCTGCACGTGATATGCTCTAGACTTAGACAAATTGAATATACCAGTAATCAATCTGATTGATTGATTGATTGCACATGTATTATTTTGAGGATAACTAAACTTCCTGTTTGAAACTTCAGAAAAATATATAGAAACACAGATTTTCAAAAACCTTTATGATTGATATAATTTAAGCTTGCTTCCTTTCTTTTCTACTAACTGGCATTTATGTTTAAAAAAAAATCATATAGGGTTTCTTGAATTTTTTCACTAAGAAAAAATATTTTGTGTTCATCTTTCTTTCTAGAAAAAGGGGAGGTGCTGGATTGACCCTTACCATTAAAGCTGAACACTACTCGAAATAGGCAAAGTCCGCCATATTTCCTGTTCTTCAATGCTCTCCCTACAACCCGTATATAAGGAGCAGATCGCTAATCAGTTCAAGGGACGTACATCTTACAATGCGTGCTACTCAATCTTGATGAAATTATCAAATTTTACGTATTTTTTCCAAAACAGGACAAAAGTATCATGAAACATACAGGTCAATATTATTTACAAACAGAAAATGCACATAAAAACAAGAAATAAACGCAAAAAATCTAAGACCACAAAATGAGTACTACATGCCGGCCACTAGTTTCGAGTGTGCAATCTGGTGTCAGGGATTGAAATTAACTTTTTTAACCACAGGCTAATTTTAGCCTTTACATATAAAATCTACAGGCTAAAATGAAGATCAACAAGCTAAAATTAAAAAAGGATTAAATGTCTTTTTCATGCTCATTTAAATCAATAATAATACAGGTCCTTCTTTAATAGGTCAGAACAGAATTAAGAACATCAATGTTATTACATTAAAAAAAAAGGTAATCTGGCCTAAAAAAAAAATTATTTCCTGTAATTCCTGTAACATTCCAAAAAAGAAAATCAATATGATCAAGGGATGGTAGGTTGGGATTATTTGCTACTGAATAATGGGGTCAAACATCCCAAACATAATTAACAAGGTGTGATATTTACAGCGGGCACCTAACATCATTACATGGCTGTCTAGATGCAGAAAACGATCTTCAAAAAGTTATGGGAGAAATTATTTGGTGTAAAAATAATGATTACTCTTTTTATCTAAGGTAAATTTTATATGTCAAATAAAACTACAATGAAACTTTTTGTATAAATTGCATCAGCTGATTGGGAAATGGTGAGAGAATCAACCGAGGATGTTTACCGAATGCATTGTGACTCTTTTCAAATTTCATAAAAGCAAGACGAATTACCAGAAAAATATGGATACAAGACTACTTGGGTCAAAAATCACCACTCGCTAAAAATTTCGAGTGTCTTCAATTTTTACTCGCTGATTTAAAAATCAACTCGCATTTTGCGAGTATTTCTCGCTAATTTCGAACCCTGGGTGTAACGAAATCGAACGGTTTATATACCCATTTGTCGGTGCCTATTTATGAGAAGTGTTCAACTTTAACATCAGGAGCAATTTACACGTAGAATATATTAGAATTTTTGTATGCACCCTATAAAAGCCTACTTTATAGAAATGCAGTGAGATTATTTTTATTGCAGTTTTACAGTTAGTGAAAGAAGCCCAACAGCAACATGGCATGAGGCATGGAGATTTCCAGAGATACAGGTCATTTTTGTCAAACTTCTTTTAAATACTAAAATTATGTTGAATGTTAGGAATGACTAATCACAAATGTGTGTCATCTTTGTACCTGCTCTTTTTAAAGTAGCTGCAGAACTGTAGCTCTCTGAAAAATATATTGATAGACCGGGGAGCTACAGTGCCACCCATTGAAAAAATTGTACATTTATTGCACACAAGAAGTTGCGCTTGTGTATGGATTAATTCTTCCAAATTCTTACCTCAATTGCAAAAAAATTAGAATTAAAAAAAATTCCATACTCTTCTATCAAGTACTTTCGTAGATGACATCTACACGAAGGGTGTTGGGCCGAATTATCTTACAAACCAAAATGGCAGTATAAACAGACGAAATTTTTGATGATCTCGATTTCAGGGCTAGGAGGGCTATAAACAACAACTATATGGTATGTTTTGTTGTGGAATCAGTGAAAGATTATGTTAGGAATACACTGTTAGTAATATTTTGAGATTATAGTTTTAAAAACATGGAGAAATAAATCGATAAACAGCACACTTTTTTGTGCGCAATAAATATACAGTTTTTTCAGTGGGTGGCACTCTAGCTCTCCCGTCTGTCAAATTATTTTTTTCGGAGAGCTACAGATCTGCAGCTATTTTTAAAGAATTTATACCCATTGCAGGATATGTATTTTCAGGATATCTTTTTTTTTCTAAAATCTGAAATTTTTTTCTCTTAAAATTTTCAGGAGTTACTGCTCTAGAAGAATTCGACGAATTAGAAAATCTTTGCATTTTCCTCAGGGAAGCAAACACAAAGTTCAGCCAAAGAAAATCACAGTAGAAAAGCTGACTGATGTTAGGTATGGAAAACTAAAGTATAATACAATATCTATTATCCTCTTGTCATGTGCTCTAGTAAGGTACATTAAAGTTAAAGATTGTGATAGAGTTCCAATTATTTATATTCAACACTGAAGACAATAAAAATAAGAGAAAAGGAAAAAGTTACTGGAATACACATTTCATTCTAGAACATAGGATAAAATCACACCCTATCTTTGCATGTTTCCACATTTTGAATATTTCTTTAGGTATGCATTGACTTGTCATATGTATTTCTTTGACAGGTACCTACATTTACCTTTATTCTGTGCGGAGAGGGCCTGGTATTACGCCATGCAGCTGAAGTCCGAGGCCAACACAGAGCCCCGCAAAAAATTCCACATGTTAGCTCGGATCAAGAAGGCTCTGATGTACGCTGAGGAATTTGCTACTCTGTGTGCCAGTCCAAAATGTGACGCGAGGACCAAGCTGGAGAGCCAGGTCTGTATAATTAACATCCAATGTGTGATTTGAATATAAGAAATTTACACAGGTCTTGTTATGCTTTACAGGGAATAAAATACATTTTAATGCTGGATAAATTATGTAATGTGTCATTCTTTCCTTTTTAGGCATATTTATCACTGTTAAAAGGAGGGTTGTATTTTGAACAAGAAGACTGGAAGGCAGCAATGGAGTTCTACACAAAAGCAAAGTGAGTTCTTGTTTATAGTACATGTAAAAGGTTATTGTACCTACCAATATACTCAGTACATATACCGGGCATACACATCTCCTGCAAGAACCTAACAAGTGTTGTGCATTATTTGTATCAGTCTGATTGATAAGTTATATTTTACAGGACCATTTATGAGAAGCTGGGCAGTGCGTTTACAGAGGATATCCAGCAGTTATATTTACAACAGGTGGAGGAAATCACCCCCAATCTACGTTATTGTGCGTATAACATAGGGGACCAGTCAGCTATAGACGAGCTCAAGGAACTCAGAAGGAAGGGTGGAGAGGATCAACTCACATCTCATCTCGATGTATGGAATCAAACTTATCGAAATCTCTTGTATTTAATTTCAAATTTTGCTTAGTAAAAGAAATGCCATCAACAGTATTCATTGGTGCAATTTCCAATTTTAGAATTTTTAGCTCACCTGAGCCGAAGGCTCAAGTGAGCTTTTCTGATCACATTTTGTCCGTCGTCCGTCCGTCTGTCCGTCTGTCCGTCTGTCTGTCTGTCTGTCCGTCCGTCTGTAAACTTTTCACATTTTCGACTTCTTCTCAAGAACCACTGGGCCAATTTTGACCAAACTTGGTACAAAGCATCCTTGGGTGAAGGGGAATTTAAATTGTTAAAATGAAGGGCCAAGTCCCCTTACAAGGGGAGATAATCAAGAAAAGACAAAAATAGGGTGGGGTCATTAAAAAATCTTCTTCTCAAGAACCACTGGGCCAATAAGGCTAAAACTTATGTGGAGGCACCCTGGGATAGTGTAGATTCTAAATTGTTCAAATCATGACCCCCGGAGGTTGGGCAGGGTCACAATGGGGAATCAAAGTTTTACATAGAAATATATAGGAAAAATCTTTAAAAATCTTCTTCTCAAGAACCACTGGGCCAGAAAAGCTGAAACTAATGTGGAAGCACCCTGGGGTAGTGTAGATTCTAAATTGTTCAAATCATGACCCCCGGGGGTTGGGCGGGGACACAATGGGGAATCAAAGTTTTACATAGAAATATATAGGAAAAATCTTTAAAAATCTTCTTCTCAAGAACCACTGGGCCAGAAAAGCTGAAACTGATGTGGAAGCACCCTGGGGTAGTGTAGATTCTAAATTGTTCAAATCATGACCCCCGGGGGTAGGGCGGGGCCACAATTGGGAATCAAAGTTTTACATAGAAATATATAGGAAAAATCTTTGAAAATCTTCTTTTCAAGAACCACTGGGCCAGAAAAGCTGAATCTCATGTGGAAGCACCCTGGGGTAGTGTAGATTCTAAATTGTTCAAATCATGACCCCCGGGGGTAGGGCGGGGCCACAATGGGGCATCAATGTTTTACATAGAAATATATAGGAAAAATCTTTGAAAATCTTCTTCTCAAGAACAACTGGGCCAGAAAAGCTGAAACTGATGTGGAAGCACCCTGGGGTACTGTAGATTCTAAATTGTTCCAATCATGACCCCCGAGGGTAGGGCGGGGCCACAATGGGGCATCAATGTTTTACATAGAAATATATAGGAAAAATCTTTGAAAATCTTCTTTTCAAGAACCACTGGGCCAGAAAAGCTGAAACTCATGTGGAAGCATTGTTGGGTAGTGTAGATTCTAAATTGTTCAAACCATGACCCCCGGGGGTAGGGCGGGGCCACAATGGTGAATTAAAGTTTTACATAGAAATATATAGGAAAAATCTTTGAAAATCTTCTTCTCAAGAACCACTGGGCCAGAAAAGCTGAAACTGATGTGGATGCACCCTGGGGTAGTAAATCATGACCTCAGGTGGTAGGGCAAGGCCACAATATGTATTACAAGGGGGAAATCTGGTAAAGAACAATATGACAAAAGATTCTCAGGTGAGCGATGTGGCCCATTGGCCTCTTGTTGAAATTACCGTAAAAGAATTGATTTCAAACAATTATTTTCATTTTAGGATCTGCTCTCTCAAACGAGAGAGAAACAGACAGCCACACTGTCAGAGGTCAAGTGGCAAGGTCGTACGGTGCCGGTGAAGAATGAACCAGTGAGGATATTTCTGTTGAATCTGCAGGACAGCACCAAAGAGATAGCATCAGCTGAAGGTGTTGATAGCAAAATATCGATCTATGAAAGTGTCCTAAAGCAGTGTATTGATGCACAACAGGTGTTACGGGACAGTCTGCAGGATGATCAGGTAATATTTCCATTTCTAATTTTTCTCTCTGTGATAACTCTTTGAAAGTTAGCGGATTTAATTTTTTTATAATTCTGCCGGAATGTAAATTAGGCTGGTCAATAGTGCAGGAGCTAAGAAGGCCTAAAATGCATGCAAATATCGTGTGCATCTGTCTCTAAGTCTGACGCTAAGGAGGCCAATTATGCAGGAAAATCTCGTGCAGCTGCCGTTGTGTTTGACGTCAGTGGGCGAGGGCTATTGAAATTAGAATGGCAATCCTCGTGTAATTTAAATTTATGTCTGCATTTTTAAAGTCTAAATCTACGATGTTATTTCACAATTAAATGGAAATATAAGGAATCACTGTCTAGTTAGTATAGTATGCCAGGGACATCAACAATAGTGGGAAATATGGGATAATTTATGCATAACGGTCTTCGCCTGTTATGCAAATTATCCCATGTTTCCCACTATTGTTGATGCCCTGGCATACTATACTAACTAGACAGTGATTCATTAAATAAATCCTCAATTTAGAAATCTCTTTCATAATTTTTGCTCTCACCTGAAATTTTTGAATGTATTGTCTCACTGACTTGTTCATTCTCCCCATTTCTGTTCATTAGAGAAATGTGTTTATTTTTTCAGAATTTTAAATTGGCCATTAGAGGACAAGAAATAGATGGCAAAGTATCCAATCAGCACTATCTCCATACGTACCTGACCTTCATAAGACTGAGTAAAACAATAGAACGTAACCTGCTACTGATAGAACAATTAAAGGACTACCTCCCAGGCAAGAAAGTGGAGGAGGGACACAAGATCACAAAGCCCCAGGATTTAGTCCGGCTCTATGACATCATCATACAGGTGATTAACCTTTATAAAATCAGTATAGTATAATACAGATTATCATAAAAGTCAGGTGTTGTCCATGTCATAATTTAAGAGGTACAGTTAAGCACAAAGTCTTTTCCTTAATTTTGGTGGATGATTTATCAGTTTTAAGAGAAATAGACACAGAATTGAAGTTTTTACTTAAAAATCGTGGGTAGAATTTGGTGACTTAAATTAACAAGATTTTTATTACAAGTTTTATTCAATATTATTTTTATTTGAAAAATCAATTTTAGTAAAAAGGAAATAAAGAATTGAACAAAAGAAAAAGAAATTAACTGTTTCTGAAAATTTTGGATGCATGCTGTCTGGTTTTGAAATCTCTGATGTATTTCTGTAATATTTTCATAATTAACTTGTTTTAACTTGTTCTTTAATTATCATAGGTAAATTAAAAGTGTCTTATTTTATAAGAATACATGATAGCTTTATTGAGTTAAATCATGTATAATAACTGTATAATTGTTGTAGAATTTGAATGAGATCCCCAATTTGACGGGGGTGGAGGGAGATACCAGTCTCTCTGAGGAAACCGCTGTCAGGGTGCAGGGATACAAAGCATTTAGGTAAAGTGATTACCTGTCCTCACAGATTCTGATTACTGAAAGCAAGAAACTTATAGTGAAAATGTCTCTTTTTAAAATCCCATTAAAAATATCATTCCTACAAATGTACTGGCTATTCTTGAAAAAATACAGCTGAATTGCATGTTATGTCAGATAAATTTTGATTATATGCATTTATGAAAGATATAAAATATCATTATGGATTCAATTAAATCAGATTGATTTCCTTTCAGTAATACGTGTAGTTACTGTGATAAATATTTTACAGGTCCTATTACATTGCCCAGTCCTATCTGGGAGCCAAAAAGTGGAAGGAGGCAATATCTTTGTATGAAAGAGTTCTACAGAATGCAAGGAATGCCTTAAAAGGTTACAAGTCACTACCCAAAGTTCAACAGACTCAGTTCAAGGTCAGTCCTTATCCTACTTTCACTTTGATTGGGAACACATTGTACGTATACAGTTACAGTTGTGAGCTGTATAGAACTTTCATTTTATTATTCAATATGACATTTTTGTATATATTTAAAAAAGGATTAATACCCATTTCTAAACCCCTTGTTATTTATTGAAATAGAAACCTATACTTTCAGCGAAATTAAAATGCTGTTTTCTCTTGTAGATGGAAGTAAATAATTTAGAAGAGTTGGTTCGCCATGTTGACGGGGAGAAATATTCTTGTCATGCGTCTAGTGTTCTGGACATCAATGATGTGACGGATCAGATGGGAGCCATGACAGTCAATCCCAAACAGGTGAGCTTAACAGGCACTTGGGTCATGATGAATTTAAGCAGTCCCAAACGGGTGTGTAATCAGGCACTGGACAGTATCTCAATCTCTGATATCTTGGAATACCATGGATATGTCGAAGTACATGTAATTTGGAAGTCCCAACAGCATATTACTCTTGATATCTGAAATCTTTAGATATTTCAAAATATTTTCTTGGTCTTATTGAGTACCGGTACAAGTTAATAAGATTTGACTGTATATTTATTAATAACTATGTAGCTGTTTAGTGTTTACTATATTATAACGCCTTTTATTTACAGCCCCTGATGGATCGCCTGGAGGACTACGCTGACGACTCGTCGCTGACCAGTAAGAAGCCTAACCTGGTGTCCTTCCCACCTGACTTTGAATCCATTCCCTGTAGACCATTGTTCTTTGATTTAGCTCTGAACCATATAGACTTACCCTCTCTAGACAAACATTTAGAACAGAAGGCTGCCGCTAACCCACGAGGTCTGACTGGATTCGTCAAAGGATGGCTCTGGGGAGGATCCAAATAGTCGTTTTTTGAGAAATTTACAATGTTTTTTACCCTTTATATTGTTATGGGGAGGTAACTCTGTCAGCTGTGTTCATTTGTACATTATGTAACTCGAATGAAATGTTAATCGTGGCATAGCCTTCTCTTTATTCAACAACAATATTTCAAGTTAACTTATGAAAGAAAAATAGTCAAGTGAAATCTGAATGGTATAGAAATTGTACTATAATTACTACAGAATGACTTGTACATGTAATTAATTTGTTTTAAGTGCAATTTTATTCACTAGAGCAATAGTGTTGTTAATACTTAGTAAGTTTTCTATATCATGAAAAAGTGCTGTTGTACTTTTTAATTAATATTTATTAATTCTAATTTACCATCTCTTGGAAGCTGAGGATAATTGATTTGTGGAATAAAGATGCATGTAATTCAATTTACAAATGTGTTTTGATGAACTGAAGCAAAATTCTTGTCCTACTGAATGCTAATGAAATGTGTGTTTATAATATTCTATCAGTTGTGAGTGAGACAAAGGCATCCATGTCACAAAGTGTTGTGAGGTATTTTAATACCCATTTATGCCCTGCAATATAAAAAGGGATGCATTTAGCTTTGAAAGTACAGATTATAATAATGTCTTTTAAAACCAACATTGTACTTAAATTGTTTATGAAGTGCATGAAACAAACATCAGATAGATTATACGATTGAATGCTGTCAGATTATGGAATTATGAAGAGAAAACTTTAAATATACATTTTATAAGGGTGCAAGTGAACTGAGACTTCCAGGATTTCAATCTGTGTGAAACGTGTCAATTCTTACATCTGCTATCTTATAGGTGGGAGTTGTGGGGTTGGAGGTTTGTAGTTTATATAGTGAATAAAAATACTTTGTTATACCCTTATAAATAGCTTTCTATATATTTATTACGAATAAAAAGTCCAACAAAAGAAATGTTTGTTGCATTGGTCTAACAATTTCACTGTTGACTGGCCTGCCAGTCCAACATAAGAATTGTTAAACCTCAACGTCACTGCTACGTCACAAGTAATTAATCATCGTTCAATATCGGCGGCACGGAAATAGCCGAAGTTAAGAGCTGCAAGAGTTGTTGCTACCAGCAAGGTAAGGAAGAAGGGAAGAGTATGTTCTTTTATAAACAATTTTTGTTATATAATAAAAATATAATTAATTTTGTTCTTTCTCAGCTATTGTTTTATATTTACTTATTAAGCCATAATTTTCCATGTAAAGTAATTGATAATATAGTCTGTATTGATTAAATCTTAAGTGAGCACTGAGGGGTATAACAAAACAGTTATAGACTGGGATTCGGGCAACATATGATTTGTTGGACCTGAAGGTGAAAATGTTGGCCTGCGGCCTCGGGCAACATTTCCACCTTCAGGTCCAACAAATCATATGTTCCCGCTCATACCCAGTCAATAACCACATATAATAATAATATTCATGTTACGATCCGTCTCTGATTAGCAGTAAGGTCAAGCTAAAATAGGGGACAAAAAAAACCCAACGAAGTAGGCAAGGGTGGACATAAAAGAAATATTGTACAGAAAATTATGCATTATGCAAAAGTAACAATATTTATACCATACATGACTATCTACTGTGATGAGAAGAAGGAGATTTAGACCTCGAAAGAGGTAACACTACGCGATTTGCTTCGCTTTTGAGAAGATGTACGTATTTGTAAATATGACCTCAAATGACCATTGAAATAATAAAATTTAATAAATATCAACTCGGTTAATTATTTCAGTGAACAAAATTTAATCACTACGTGATGAAGCTTTCGCATAAGTTTCACTTTTTATTGGCCCTGTCGTTCCTGAAAGATATTTTCAAAGATGCCACTAAATTTTCATTAATTCTTCAATATCACCCATTGTAAGAGGGAGCGGCTCTTCATTTGAACAAACTTGAATCCCTTTCAAGTTTCAGTTAAGGATGCTTTGTGGCAAGTTTAATTAAAATTGGCCCAGTGATTCTGGAGAAGTCGAAAATGTGAAAGTTTTAGGAAGGACTGAACTTTTTATAGAATTTAGCTCATCTAAACGTACAGTTCAGGTGAGCTTAAAAGTGTCCGCACTTCGTCGATGCCATCGTTCGAAGCCATCGAGATCGAGTTTCTCTTGTTTTTATTTGTCAGAACTGCAGCTCAAGGAAAACTGCGCCAAATTATGATTCAAAGATCTGTCCATTCCAAAGGAAATGTTTTTTCTTCAAGATTTGAGAGTAATATACATTTCAAATTAATACAATCATTCATAATTAAATTGTGTGCTAATGACTTCGGACCTCATATATAAAACCAGACCTAATCTCGGCGCTCATCTGATTCTGACGTGCCTGATATGCTGTCTAAACACTAAAGTACACATAAATTTATAACATGTCAAACATCTGACAAATATTTAATACCTCTTAAAATAAAATTTGAAAGGTTTCTCGATTCTATGTCTTCCACCAATTTATCCTAAACTTAATGTAGACCTGTACAAATACGGTAGCACAATATGTAAGTATACCACAGATTTTATTTACATAATGGGAGATTTTGTTGGTATCTGTCCTAAAACGCAAAATAGAGTTTAATATTCTCAGATCAATTGATGTAAAGGTTAAGGCGGTCATTAAACACTGAGAGACGTCTACCGACACCTGTGGGAACTTGTCGCAACATGTCGGTAATGCGCATAATTTGAAGATTTTTTCTTAAAAGCTGTGATTAAATCCAAGGACGTAGTAACGGGGGTGGGGTACGTGCTGACCCCCCTTTCTTTTTTAAACAAAATGTTTCACAACCCCTTCCTCATTTTTGTAGTATAGTCAAATATATTAAAAGTTTTTTGCCCCCCTATTTAACTTATCGAAATTTTGTTTTTTTGGGGTGTCAATTTTTTCCCTGCACTTTGTAATATCGATACTTTGTGCCTAAATTCATGTATTAATCTGAAGGAAGTCTGAAAAGCCTAAACTTGTCCTAGTTCTTTTTTCCAATTGTTAATTACTAGCATCCTTTGCTCCTGCTTGAAATATGTATGGAAGCACCATCCAAGTACTGTTAGGACTTGAATTCAGATCTCGCGCCAACCAGAACTTGAATTACAGAAATTCATTAAATCATTCAAGATTAATTTGGAACCCTATATGTAAAATTGCTTTTAACAAACAAAAAGTCCAGAATCTGTTTACTATCTTGTACTTTTTTTCTTTGTCCGCCAGTGCGTGTATACTTTTATTTGACGAGAATGAACCAGTTCCATGCACTGAAAGACAAATGACTAAATTAGTAACGAGACCAATGAATAGGATCGATTACTTTCTTCTCATATTGAAACAACGCCCAGCAATTACCCAGAAGCAATGCCTCTAAAATGGCATGCTATGTATTGGATTATTATAATCCTGATTCATGCGGTTGATTTGCTGCTACTTCAGCCAAGTGATTTGACTTTTAGATATAAGAATTGAAAAATCCAATCTACCATTTATAATATGCTTATGCTATTAATTAAAAGCAGTGACAACTCCCAGAAAATTTAATCAAATCAGTAGAAAACACTGTATACGGAGGCATTTTATCATTGCAGATTCCCTGTTCTTCATTTTTTGCAGAATAATTCTATCGACCTTTATTTTTGCTGTTTATTGTTCCTTAATCCCCCCCCCCCCAAGTTTTGGTCTTTAGAGAATGACATGTTTATTCATTACTCAAATATCCCAGATTGAACAAGTTTACTCCGGAGAGGAATGCTTGAATTAAAGGCCTTTCACTTCTAAAGATCTAAAAATTAATCGATACCAGAGAGCACTAACCCGTAACCATTGCAGATAGAGTATCCGGCCATCTTGTTTACATTGGTGACAGCGCTGTAAGGTTTTGTGCTTGCGTGCAGTTTCGCTTATTGAGCATTTAAAGATAATAACTAGTGCAGTGCAGTTACGTTTATCGTATTACATTATAGGTAATTTGTGTGGCTTTTTGCCCTCTTTGAGATTAGTATTAGTATAGGAGGTTTATCGGTGTGAAGCATCATTCTGTGTGACAGTTTTGTTTTTTGTTTTTCCAGCCCTACCTCTAAAATCAAGCCATGGCTTCTGCAGGAGATGATTATGATATTGATGAACTGACGAAGAAACTGAAAAGTTTCGCCTTGACGCAGACCAAAAAGGATGATAAAATGGACAGCAAAACTTGTGGTAAAATGGCAAAGGAATGCTGGCCTAAGGCGTTACAGACTAGAATAGATTCCAGCGTCTTCCCCAAAGTCATGAACAAAACGACCAAGTAAGTATCCAATTTTCAGCTTACTCTGTGATTAAACATTATCCTTCACAGTAAAACTTTGATGATAAATGTCAATATATAGTGTTTGCTTTATAGAAGGAACAGTATATTGCCGTTAGGTTATCAAAGCTTTGCTGAATTTAACAATTCACTACACAAGTTTGTATCTTCCACTTCTGTTCAGTGATTCATCATTGTATATTATAAATATTATATATGCAATGTATATTTAGGTCTAACGATGACTTTATGTTCCATGTCTAGTTGACTAATAATTTATCTCTCATGTCTATCAATGACTATTTCATGACCATGTCTATGCCATTTGAAGATTACTACAGAAAATGTCTTCCACATCGAACATGCAGGTCTATTTATCATTATTTATACGTCTTCCATATCTATTGTTACACTAATGTTGATATTTATTCATTTATTTTACAGATCTATTGACCTTAACAATAAGGACCAGATCAAACAGTTCATTTCAGAGGCTGCTATCCAGTATGATGACGTCACCAAGAAAACTAAAGAATTCAAAAAACACGAGAAATTCTTGGCAGAAAAAATCATCAAAGGAGACACAGGAATCAAGAAAGCGGTATTTAAACATGAAAAATCAACCAATTTATTGCCACGACATGATTTATACTATAGTTACCTTAACCGGATCATATACGATTTGTAAATCGTGTTGCACTTTAAAAGATAGTTGAATCAAGTTGATCTATTTTTGTTTTTTAGGCGACCTCGTCTACTGGAGGCGTAGACAGAATGACGGACACTTCTAAGTACACAGGGGCACACAAGGAAAGGTTTGACGAGTCGGGGAAGGGCAAGGGGGCGTCCGGACGGGTAGACAAGGCGGATAACTCTGGATACGTGGGTAACTACAAAGGGGAGGGAAGTTACGGCAAGAAGTGAGTTGTCAGCGGAGGTTCACCTTCAACGCTGGAAGACCTTAATTTATTTTACATAAAAATATACATATATGGATATTATTCTTAGTGTAACTTTGTGTGTTTGTTGGTAGTTTTTCACAGGCCTCCACAACCCTGTTGTGAGTTTTATACATTAAGCTATACTGTTGTTATATTTTCGTATAATGCAGCATTGATTTCATTGTCTCCTTTATAAAGCAATGTCAAAAATACATAGTTATACACATGTAATTAAAACCAGAAATATATAATTTTCTGTGCAATATAAAAGTTTGTGTGTAAACGTGAAGATCGTTATTTTATTTTGTGATTTATTAAACAAACCAATGCGTTTTCCGTCCAAATAAGTTTTATTCACCGCATCGTCCAGAATATTTTGTTTACGTTTAATAGTTATATATACTTTCTGTTATTTAAATATCTGCAATATATAAATGTCATTGTTCTGTGTTTGTCAAGTGCGTCTTTAAACTGCTGTATTATATGAGAGCCTTGTTCATGTTTACATTTTATGCACTTGAGTAAATCGATAATGCAAATCAAGATGGAGTGTGTGTTCTTGTTGTCTATAGCAACTTCAACAATAAAAATAAGTTAAGTGCGAATAGCCGTCAACTCCTATTTGAATTTGTTTTAATTAGCAAAATAGATATTAAATGTTATGGCTGGTGACTAAAAGGTAAATTAAGGTTCATATAATCCCTCTTTTCACTCATATTAAATATTTCTGTAACTCAGAAAGAAACGTATTTGTTAAATAAAATACAAACAATTATATCATAGCTTGCGGGGCAAAATTAGACAAAAAAGACACTTCAACTTAAAAGTTGATAAAGGAATAATAAACCTTTATGTCATTAAGAATTATCTCTCTTATCAGAGTATCGATGAACCATAAATATTACAAATACAATTCGCTCCATCCCCGATGTACATGACGTACTTGTATGTTACAACGCTGAGAAATTCCCAATATTGACAATTATTTGTTCCCTTTGATAACAAAATACATATAAAAAGTTATCTTAGTGCACCTTATTATCCCCCCACCTCCCCAAAAATATGTGCACTTGTAGAACCATTCAAAGATTTTTCATATTCGCCATTTTGACATCGGCTGCATTTCATTTATACGGTGGATGCAAATACTGCAAATTTTGACCTATACTCCGCAATCAGGGCCATTAAGCAGTGAGTGATCTTTTTCTTGCTAGCATGTACAGCAACACGGGACCCCAGGTTTTACGATCTCATCCGAAGCACCGGTCCTCACGTCGCACAGTGGGATTCGAACCCGCGATGCAAGGATTATATTAACTTCCAGTTACTCAGACGCTCTTACCACTGCGCCACCGGTCAATATCACGACATTTTATAGGTCAGTTTCACGCCTTAGTTATTATCTCATTTGCAAGATTTAATTTCATGTATTGGTATTTCATTCTCACGAGATATAATGTCGTTTGCTTTGCTGACTCATTATCTCATTCGCAAAACTTACATTATCTATGTATCTCGTTTGCAACAGATATTTTGTCATATTTATTATTTCGTTTGCATGACATATTATCTCATTCGCAACCATTAAATTACTTTTATCTCATTCTCACGAGATATTATGTCGTTTGCACGACCTATTTTCTCGTTTGCACGTGATATTATTGACATATTATATCTTTTTCAAAGACATAGCTTTAATTCTATGCATATGTTTTTTTCTGTTAAACAGTCAGCTCTGTATAGGAAAACCATTTTAAAAAATCTGTTAAACCGTCCTATAAATTCAGGTACGTAGCTATGTATACATTTAACAAGAGGTCCAGGGGCACCACGCTCACCTGAGCACATCGGCTAGGAAAAAGCACATATCAGATCAGAATTGAAAGTTTACTGAGGTGGGGGGGGGGGCTTGAATTTTAATACTTTTTGAGAATGCATTCATATCAATATAGCATATGACTTTGCTGTTCTTGATAAAAAGATTTCTGTTTAAACATTTTGTTCCTATATATTGCTTCGTAATAATTTGAAATTGATTCCCCATTGTTTCCCTCCCTAACCCAAAGGGCCATAATTTGAACAAATTTAAATCTTCAACGCAAACATAGCTTTTCTGTTCTTGGAATTTTTCTCTATATTTTTCTATGTAAAACTTTAACCAATTTTGCGCCACACTAACACAAAACATTTAAACAATTTAGAGTCTACACTACCTGAGGATGACAATTTAAATACATTAATCATGGCTTTGAAGTATTTTAAAGAAGATTTTTTTTAACCTATATATTCCTATGTAAAAGAAGGCCATTTTAATCCCTGGGGGTCATGATAAACAAACTTGAATTTACACTAGACAGGATAATTTCACATGAGATTAGACCTTCCTAAGGTATTCAATGGCATAATGAAGAAGATTTTTAACAATTTTGAATATATTTTTATATGTAAAAATGCCATTTTGCTAGATAATGATAAAAGTGAAATATACTACCAAATTCACAAAATTCCTAACAGTGTGAGAAGAAGATTTTTAAAGATTTTTCCTATATACTCCTATGTAAAAGGTTTTTGAATGTTATCATACCCCCGGGGGTTGATGATTTGAACAAAATTGAAAATTTTTAATGATTCCACATAATTTCATCTTTCCTGGCCTAGTTTTAGAATATATTTTAAAAAATGACATTAAATTTTCTTATGCATATTTTCACCAAGGGATTTGAACAAACTTGAATCCCCTTTCAAATTACTTTGTAGCAAGTTTGGTTGAAATTGCTGCCCAGTGGTTCTTGAGAAGAAGATGAAAATGTAAAAAGTTTACGACAACGCCAACGGTGCAATACAACAACAACGACAATAAACAATTTTTTTTTTAATTCCTTTGGTGGAGCTAATAAATGTATACATTACTTTGCACCTGCATTAATGGGGCGGTTTAGTAGATTATTCAAGAAAAGGTAGACATTTACGGTGCCTATACATGTATTTGTTGTTTTTGGCGAGGCTGGCCATTTGGATTGGCTGGACGTCAGAGAGGCATACTTTTGGAATTTCAGTTTTATCTCAATATTAAGGGTACTAAGAGACTTAAAATCATTAAACTTTATTATTTGAAAAAAGGCCTATTGGTCACAATGCTCACCTGAGTTAATACGGCCCTGTTCTTCAGCAGCAGAATTCAGTTCTTCCAATAGATTCCTACCTGGTATGTAAAAATTTGATTGATTGCCCATAGTGGCCACACCCTAACCCCAGGATCATGCTTTGAATCTGTACTACCTGAGGATTCTTTCTATAAAATAATACTAATCAAGGCTTTGTTGTTCTTGAAACGAAGATTTAACAAGCCAAGAATGTTTCCTTTTTATTCCTTTGTAAAACTTTGATCACCCATCGTGGTGCCATTCTACCCACCAGCCGGGGAGGGGGTCATAAGAAGGCTTCCATATAAATATGATTAATCATGGCTTTGCTGTTTTCAGAAGATTTTTCTAACATAATCCTCAGTAAAACATTGATCCTTCATTGCAGCCCAAATTTACACCTGGGTCATGTTTTGAACAAACTTGTATTTACATAAACCCATATGAGAGTCAGCTCTTTTGACAAAGGACATTTTGTAAAGATCCAATTATCTCCCCTTGGAGGAGGATGTGATCCTTATCTGAACAAATTTAATTTGGCTTTACCAAAGGATACTTATTGACTTGTCTGGTTTAAATTGGCCAACTGGTTCTGGAGAAGAGGTTAAAAATATGAAAAGTTTACAGACTGACAGATAGATGGACAAAATGTGATCAGGAAAGCTCACTTCAGCTTTCATCTCAGGTGAGCTATATGTTTACACACAAAACAAAAGGTAATAGCACTAGCTCTTAGACTCTTAGACTCAGAAGAGACAAAATGTAACAACAAATAGAAGTTCCTTAATGACAGACTCTTGTTAACAGTACAACCTACATAGATGTTGAACACCATACGATGATGCATACTATGGAAATAGGAAGGCTCAATCATATATATGAAGGAAAGTTAGGGATTAACATGCATCTTTTTCCCAAGAATTTGTTAGTATCAGTATGTAGTGAGGCCAGTATGGGGGGTAGCTCATTTTGTCAGAAATCTCTCTGGATCTTACAGGACCCTGGACCAAAATCCTTGATTAGTTCACCTCACCCCATTCTGTTTATCATCATACACTGTACAAACATTTTGTACAGGAAAAGCTGACAATTCTATTCCATTTATTTTCACTGTGTCCTCATCTGAGAGAACATTCATTGTTAAGTAGGAAGGGAGAAAACTCTTGATTCTGGCTAATTCATCCTCTGATCCTTGCCTATTAATGATATTGTAACACATCCCTTTCACAGAGTAGATCACTTCTTTCACAGTCTTGAAAAAATTAATCAGATCACTTTTAACATTTTTTATATACAAATAAACAGAGAATCAAAATCAAACAGTCAAAAAACCCACTGATCTCAAATACACTGCTTGGTCTTGCCTATAAAAATCCAATCATACAGTTACATCTACACTGTTAGTACAAAACACACTGAGAAGTTCTAGCACACACACACAATCCGAGTAGTGCCTCTCTCGGGGCCTATGGTGGCTTTAGCTCTTCCTCTTAAGAACCAGTGGTCCTACATTGTCTCCGGTCTCTTCGTTGTGTTTGTTGTGGCTTCCATCACACAGGGGGAACTAGAGACAAAATTTGATAAAGTTACATATCACATATCATATACAAACAAAGAATATTCAAATGTACATCACTTTTGATTAACAAGAACTTTATTTTTGCGTAATTACGCGAGACAGTTTGCTCGCAAAAATTTCATTCTTGAGTATAATAGCATTCCATAAGATTATAAAGAGTAAAGACCACAATTTGTGAAAATTTTGTCTTAATAATAAAGAGTTGATGGCAATTTCCTGAAAATAAGGTGTCAGGAATATTTAGTGATCTACAGTACTAAAACAACCCATATACATGTATTTAAATGAATATGTCAGACATAATCAACAGTCAAGTATCTTTATTAATGTATTCAAGATTTGCAAAAAACTTATTCCTTGCAAGAAAAAAAATTAACACTCTTCTTTAAATGATGCAGGCATTTCACTTTAAATGGGGACATGAACTAGACACATATCTGACTGGTAGATTATCACAATCATATCTTCTATGAACACCACTAACTTAGGTGTCCTTCCTACCAAGGGGCCCGTTTTACAAAAGAACTTACGACTAAGACCAAAAATTTTAGTTGGTTATAAAGTTTTCAAAAATTAATGATTGAGTTTAAAATTGCTATCACAAAAATATCTTTTTACATCCCTTATAAAAAGTTTAAAACCATTTTCAATTGAATGCAAATAAGAAAGTTATATGCAGAATAAATTTTGGTTTTAGTCGTAAGTTCTTTTGTAAAATGGGTCCCTGACCCTTGAACACAATCTTACTGTCTTGACAGCAATTAAAGTACTGTAGAAGTACTTTTTTCCGCGTGGTATTAATTTACGCTATGTACACTGTCATAAATTTTCCGTGGAAATTTGTCCAAGTGTACTAAATATAAATATAAGACATATTATAGTTACAGTCTAAGAAATCCGCATAATTTTCTACCTGCGGATTAAACAGAAATTGAGATTCTGTGGAATTACGACCCTGTGGAAAAAAGTACCTCTACAAGAATCAGGTGACATTCTCATCTTGATCTTCAATCTCAATCTTACCTTCTTGAAATGCCAGCACCTGCAGTACTGAGAACTAACTGCTCAAATACTAAATCACTGTCCTACCTTCTTGGAACTCCAGCACCTGCAGTACTGAGAGAACTAACTGCTCAAATACTAAATCACTATCCTACCTTCTTGGAACGCCAGCACCTGCAGTACTGAGAAGAACTAACTGCTCAAATACTAAATCACTATCCTACCTTCTTGGAAGGCCAGCTACTGCAGTACTGAGATGAACTAACTGCTCAAATACTTAATCACTATCTTACCTTCTTGGAACGCCAGCACCTGCAGTATGTAACCTTCTCTCCCAGATCCTCTATGTCCACCATATTGACTACTTTGGCTGTTTCTTTCTGTATTTTCAGATTAACTGGAGTTTTCTGTGGTGGGGGTTTTGGTTTGAATGAGTGCACACTCATGTATACTATAATCGAGACTGCACCAACAAATGGCACCAAGGAAGCCCATTCTGTAACTGAAAAAATAAAACAAGAGGCCCATGGGCCACATCGCTCACCTGAGAAGCTTTGACCATTCTGTTCTTTACCAGATTTCCCCCTTGTAATACATAATGCATCCCCACCCTACCCCACTGATCATAATTTAGACATTTTGAAATCTACACTACCCCATGATCCTTCCATGTGCACATAAGTTTCAGCTTTTCTGGCCCAGTGGCTCTTGAGAAGAAGCTTTTCAAAGATTTTTCCTATATATTTCTATGTAAAACTTTGATTCCCCATTGTGGCCCCACCCTTCCCCAGGGGGTCATGATTTCAATAATTTAGAATCTACACTTTACCAGGATGCTTCCACATAAGTTTCAGCTTTACTGGCCCAGTGGTTCTTGAGAAGAAGATTTTCAAAGATTTTTCCTATATATTTCTATGTAAAACTTTGATTCCCCATTGTGGCCCCGCCCTTCCCCCGGGGGTCATGATTTGAACAATTTAGAATCTACACTACCCTAGGATGCTTCCACATCAGTTTCAGCTTTTCTGGCCCAGTGGTTCTTGAGAAGAAGATTTTCAAAGATTTTTCCTATATATTTCTATATAAAACTTTGATTCCCCATTGTGGCCCCGCCCGTCCCCCAGGGGTCATGATTTGAACAATTTAGAATCTACACTACCCCAGGATGCTTCCACATAAGTTACAGCTTTACTGGCCCAGTGGTTCTTGAGAAGAAGATTTTTTAATGACCCAACCCTATTTTTGTCTTTTCTTGATTATCTCCTCTTGCGAGAGGATATGTCCCTTCATTTTAACAATTTAAATTCCCCTTCACCCAAGGATGCTTTGTACCAAGTTTGGTCAAAATTGGCCCAGTGGTTCTTGAGAAGAAGATTTTCAAAGATTTTTCCTATATATTTCTATATAAAACTTTGATACCCCATTGTGGCCCCGCCCTTCCCCCGGGGGTCATGATTTGAAAAATTTAGAATCTACACTACCCTAGGATGCTTCCACATCAGTTTCAGCTTTTCTGGCCCAGTGGTTCTTGAGAAGAAGATTTTCAAAGATTTTTCCTATATATTTCTATGTAAAACTTTGATACCCCATTGTGGCCCCGCCCTTCCCCCCGGGGGTCAAAATGTGAACAATTTAGAATCTACACTATACCAGGATGCTTCCACATAAGTTTCAGCTTTTCTGGCCCAGTGGTTCTTGAGAAGAAGATTTTCAAAGATTTTTCCTATATATTTCTATATAAAACTTTGATTCCGCACTGTGGTCCCATCCTTCCCCCGGGGGTCATGATTTGAACAATTTAGAATCTACACTACCCCAGGATGCTTCCACATAAGTTTCAGCTTTACTGGCCCAGTGGTTCTTGAGAAGAAGATTTTTTAATGACCCAACCCTATTTTTGTCTTTTCTTGATTATCTCCCCTTACGAGGGGATATGTCCCTTCATTTTAACAATTTAAATTCCCCTTCACCCAAGGATGCTTTGTACCAAGTTTGGTCAAAATTGGCCCAGTGGTTCTTGAGAAGAAGTCGAAAATGTGAAAAGTTTACAGACGGACAGACAGACAGACGGACGGACGGACGACGGACGACGGACAAAATGTGATCAGAAAAGCTCACTTGAGCCTTCGGCTCAGGTGAGCTAAAAATAGAAAATTTAGATTGCTCTAACTTTCTTCACATAAAGAAGATCATGGTCCTATCCATGATTTTTTTTTAACTGGTGTAATAGTTTCTATTCAATAGTTGGCTGCAAATACCTAGAGAATCATGAATGTATTCATGTTTATTACACACTTAATAATAAATACGGGTTTTTTTCATATGAGATATGGCTGAAGTCACAATAGCCGTATCAGCCCTGCAGGGCTGATACGGCTATTGAGACGTCAATATCACATCCTTAGTAAATTAAACCACAAAAACAGTACTTGTGATCATACACAATTTTTTGGTGGGTTCATATTCTCTCAATTTTATTATTATATTTATCAAATTATGGACCTAGTGCATTGAAATAGAAGTAGAAACAAACCCAAATCGTATAAGACAATAGACCATGTACACGTATGTAAGAAGTCTATGCATGATTATTTAATTATTTTCTTCTCAACTTTATGCATGCTGTATTTTATTACTAAGTATGTAATAAACATATTAATACATACCCTTTTCCACATCACATCCTGTATCAGCCCTTGACCAATATCAGCCCTCAGGTCTTCGGCTCTCTGGCTGATATTGGTGTCTCGGGTTGATACAGGATGTGATATTGAAAAGGGTATATATTATTCTCTATGTACATTTAAAAACATTTGCCATGTGAAAAATGCAGTATTTTTGTATCTTTTTGTAAAAAATAATCTATGCAGCAAGCATCTCTACGAATAAACCTGTTGCGTTTTATATGTGTCCTTCATTACCTAACAAAGTGTGGCGTTCTAATTCTTGACTGTCACATCATAGCATCAATGATCAAACCCATTATGTTTAAGTACAAAGTCATGAAACATCAATGTAACTGATGTGAAGAACGCATTTATATACTCTACGAACATTTCATTTAAGAAAATGGACATAAGGGGTGGGCAAAAGAGCATGTGCACTGATGCAAAGTCGTATCGGGTGACATGGTTATGAAGATGCACCTCCATAAGAACTTCACATTATATACTAGCTGCTTTTATGCACTGGATAAATTAAACCATACCGGACAATCTTGCAAATCCAAACAATGATTTTGGAACAGGCAAGTTCTTTAAATAATCAGGTAGAGATTCCGTAACGAGTCTGTTTACCACCTCCATTGCATTTGGCAACACTAATTACGCGAAGTTCTAAATATCTGTCGATGATTTTTTAATTATTGTTTCATTTCAGATGAAACAATAAACTTCCAACAGCGATTTTTTTTCACAATCCTGGTCATATCTATTAAACCATTCTATTTTAAAAACTGTATTTAGAAGTGTTAGAAATTGGATGCAAGCGTGACTTTTTGGTGATTAGTCAACTCTTTAGATGGTGTGTGTAAATTTAGGTCCCATGCCAAGCTCCCTGTGTATTCCCAGACACAGGAGTTTCTGTAATGTGCACTGTTGTTCTTAGATGTTTTAACATTGTATAATTGTTGTGTGTATCTGGATATCCTGAGAATAGTCCTAATGGTTCTGAACAAACAACAACTCCCAGAACACTGACATTGTTAAAATATTTCAAAATACCAACAGACCAGCAGTATGGCCTTGAAATTAATTGCAAAGGTTTGTAAAATGAAATATTTTCATATTATTTTAATTTGTGTCAATTACTTATACATTTATTTTTTTATTTTCACATTGTATTGCATAATGCCATGAAGTATTACAAACTTCAAGTTTGACAAACTAGCTGTGCAGTCACTGTATACATGATAAACATACTTAATTTTCTGTTTCAACATCAGCAACTAGAGGAACTGTATCAGGAAATTCCAGAAGACTGTGGCTTTACAGCGGGTCCCCTGGAAGATGACAGTAAGTACTTACATGATTTATGGACAACAATTTTCTTGGAATACTTTACAGTTACAGTCAAACCTCTGTATCTGGAACTCAGTGAGACCTTGTGAAACTTTAATGAGATATACAAGAATCAAAATAATGAGGGTTAAAAAAAAATTATTAGAAAAGCTCATCCGACAGTTGAGCTAAAAAAAAATGATTGGGGCTGTCAACTAACTTCAATATATATGCATTATTCAAGATATCAATAGTTATGAACTTTAACTGTACTTGCTTACCAAGTCCCTTCCGAGGCTCTTTTACTTCCATGCTGGTCGGTCTGTGCATGTACCCAACTCTGAATCAGGCCCTATGGACAATGTTTCTCTTTTAATAGATCTTGTCCTATTACCTTTCAATCTTTTAAGTTGGTGTCCATCTCAATGCATGCAACCCATGGAATGGAATTTTGTTGTAATCTGCGTATGTGGCCTATCTACTGGCATGTTCTTAATTTCATGAGACATGGGAGTGGTGTAGTCCTTTGTTACAACTCTTCATTCAAATTTACCAGTAATAAATTCCTTTTATTAAAAGTGATTTAAACCAGAGGCCAATGAGCCACAGTACTCCGTGGGCAATACAGTTCTTCTACATTAGTTTTTTTCCCTCTTAAAAAAATTTAATATGTAAAACTTAGATTAACATAAGAATACAGTAAATGTTTTCAGTGAAGTGCAAGGGATGAACAATTTTGATTGATTATGAACTTATTTAAGAAAATCCCTTCTTTGGAAGGATGAAAAACTTTTTAAGAATGTTCATAATATATCTGTGTTTTACTGTATGACAGAGAAGTCTGTAAAAATCTTTTTCCAAGTAACATCAAAGTCATGATAAATCTTGCCGGGGGGAGGCAAGCACACATTTTCTCAAGATTGCCCCACCTTCACTTTTTGCATCATTTTTTTCAGTGCTCCATTGGGAGGCCTCCATCATAGGACCAGTAAGTCTGTTTGACAAATCTATATAAAATGAAATTCCTTTTACCCCATAAACCTTGTTCTTGATGCTTGAAATGTATTTGCATTAAATTCACCAGCTGTGATTTGTTTATTTGCAGGAGGACAGTCCATACAAGGGAGGAAGATTTTGGTTACGAGTTGACTTCACAGCAGACTACCCCTTTCGACCTCCAAAAGTACAATTATCAACAGTAAATCATAAATTCGTATTTAAAAACTCACTGCATAGTGATAGTTATCATGGACTCCCTTTTATTTACAGATATTTTTCCTGACAAAAGTGTTCCATCCTAATGTGGAGCCTGATGGTAAAATCTGTGTTGACTTTTTACAAGAAGAGTGGAAACCATCTTATACCATTGGTTACAGTAAGATCACTTGTGATTTTTTTTACTTATGTACATATAGTAAAGAGAATCTGTCAAAATTATTTATGTCTTTTGGTAATTTGCATGCCAAAAAGGGGAATGGTGTGAATTCCTTACGTAAATGTTACATTTAATTACTGTATTTAAGAGTTATGTCCCTTAATTAAAAGATGTATCAACATTTACAAAAATATCAAAATGGAATAATAAAAAATTTATCTGCCGAAAAACTTTCAAATAAGCAATTATGAAATATTCAAATATACTTTTTTATTTGTGGTCATGCAAATTCACTGCACCTTGACCAAACTTGTCATTACCATATTTTTACTATTTGTATAAAACCATCTTTATTATTCTTCATCAAAATCTGATTTCAGTTTTAATGGCCATTTGCTCTCTCTTACTGCATCCTAATCCGGAGAACCCTGCCTCTGAGGAGGCTGCTAACATGTATATCAGTGACCCGGAACAATTTAACAAGACCGCAGAGGAGTGGACTAAGCTACATGCCCCCCTTGATGTCTGACCACAGGCCATCTTAGTTTACCATTGCCATAACACAAGACACTTTTACGTTTTGACTTGTATTTCAATGTTATACATGAATCAGTTATTGGACAATTGCTATAAACTAGCTGCAGAACTGTAGCTCTCCAATAAAATCTGTATTGACAGACAGGAATGTAGCTCTCCGAAAAAATCTGTATTGACAGACAGGAGAGCTACAGTGCCATCCATTGAAAAAACTGTATATTTATTGTGCACAGAAAAGTGCGCTCGGTTCTTGGTTAATTCTTCCAAGTTCGTACCTCAATTGCAAAAAAGCTAGATTTAAAAAAAGTCCTTACTCCTCTATCAAGTACTTTCGTAGTTTACATCAGTACGAAGCACCTTGGACCGAATTATCTTGCAAACCAAAATGGCAGATTAAATAGGCGAAATTTTCGATGATATCAATTTCAGGGCCAGGAGGGATATTATAAACAATTACTGGGTAAGGAATGTTTTGTTGTGGAAACAGTGAAAGAATATGTTAGGAACACACAGTTGGTAATATTTTGAGATGACAGTTTTAAAAATATGGAGAAATACATTGTAAATCGAGAAACGGCACACTTTTTTGTGCGTAATAAATATACAGTTTTTTCAGTGGGTGGCACTGTAGCTCTCTGGTCTGTCCAAAAAAAAAAAAGAAAATCAGAGAGCAACAGTTCTGCAGCTAGCAATACATATGATTAAACAGATTCACTATTGTGTTGTACCTTTGCAAGGCATTGTATATTTCATGAGTTATTATTTATTTATGTACTTAATTGTTGAAATTATGATTAAACTTTTATACTTCAAAGCCAAGTTGTAGTTAATTCAAAATCAAGTCAATCCAATATGAATACCTGTACATATACATTTTCTTTAATTTCATTTTGGTCTTTCAATATTAATGAATAGTAAAGTCTTCTTTGATTCAGTGTTGAAAACCCACAGTTGGTCTCTCTTCTTTTAGGATGTCTTTGATTGTTTATTTAAATAATTAGATTTGTTTCAAAGTGAGGGAAAACATTCATCTGTTATAATTTTAAATACTTGTACATGCTTGTAATTCATTCAATGAAAAAGCCAGAACTGTCCATCCTTTTCTTAAAATAGACATCACACAGTATATGACTAGTCTAGGATATTTTATCATTTTATACAGGTGTGACAGGATGCCTATTCCCCTATGGCACCTGATCCCCCCTCTGATATGATCAGGTCTGTGTGTGCTCTGCTCCTGATTTGTATCGACTTAGTGGACTCTTGAGCTCGACTACTGATTGTCATCTCCATAACTAATGGTCAACATACAATGGACACTAGAGGCCCAATTCTATCATCTACCAACTTTGTGAGCAATATGAAAAATCAGCAAAGAGAACAGTCTTACTTTGTAGTCATGTTTATAATACCCTATACAATGATGTGTTATGTACATACACTTTATTACACATTGTATACCCAACTGTGAATCAGTCAATTTCATATACTGTTGATTTAACGCAATCATGTGACATATCACCACACTGGTTTTCTGAATCCATATCTACACCCTCTGAGACTGATGAGATAGTACGCAAATAAAGTATCATGTATTTCTCTTTTAGTAGATCTAATTGCTTTCCATTACAAGTCAGACAGGATTATTCTATAATTAGACATGGGTGTGTATGGCACCATAACATAATGTATCCTGCCCCTAATAGAAATCTTGAAATTTCATTGGTCAAGAAGAATAATGTATTATGCTGCCTAACAAGCTTACCGGGGTACATCTCTGACATCCAATACAGATTTTTTTCAAAGACTCCATATGTTGCAGTTTTAATTTCTGTCTTAGGACAAGTATATAAAAAGTTATATTAAAGCCACATAAAATAACATAAAGGAGGCTGAACAAAATTTATTACATTTTAAAATTATACCACACAACATACTGAATTAATTGTGTATGAAATGAAAACTTTTTCGTCAGCTGAAAAAAGTCTTTATAGTGAATTAAAAAATGAGGACGAAATTCAAATTGTTAGCAAATGAAAAGTATTATTAATACAGATTGGTCTCGATTTAAAACTCTCTTCTGTGGTATTGGTCTGGGTCATAGTATGAGGTCACCACGACACGATTAGAGAACTTTCTCCCAGTCAAAGCCTGCTGTGCTTTCTGACAGTCGATGATAGAATTAAACTCCACAAAAATCTATAAACAACAGAAAAGTAATGTAAATTGTACAATATGGTATGTTTTTTAAAGTATTAGTATGGATTTAATTTGAAAGAAATTTTGATTAATGGGTCATTATTTAGTGGTCAATATTTATAATGGCTGAATCATTATATTCAGTGCAGTGTTTGCTAGGTCATAGCAAACCATAGTGATAATTGCTGTAATCAGTTCTTGTTGGATCATTATTGAGTTTTAGAATCCTTTATGCCAAGTTTGGTTGACACTTTGTCCAACGGTTTTAGAGAAGTTGAAATGTGAAAAATTAGACATAATGCACTGATTAATTGCCTATAAAAGAATGCAGCATAATTTTTTTTTCAAAATTTAATACAATTTGAAATAAAATTAAAATACTGCACCTTTCCACACCCTGGAACTTCCACCCCTTTGATAGGTCTTGGGACTTCAATGCTTCGCACCACTCCATATTTCGAGCACTCCTCTTTAACGTCTTCCAAAATGTCTTTAAAAAATCATCATTAAAGGTATTACTAAAATCATCGCAGTCACTTTGTAATCTTTAATTACTTATCATATTTCAATACAGTAAAACTCGGTTATAAAAAAAGTCACTTGGATCTATGAAATTACTTTGCTATATCCGTAATTCATTATATCCGTATAAGAAATACATTAAATTTATTTAGCTGGGGATCCCAGATAACTTAGCTATATCCGTGAAATTGCAATATCCGTGTTCGTACTAACCAAGTTTTATTGTAATAATAGGTAAACTCTTTGTTGTAGACAACATTAAAGTAAGTGTGATGTAGGTGTTCCTACCTTCATATTCCTCCTCATCCTCCAGCTCCTCGGGGACGATCATGTTCATCAGACACAAAACCTCTGTAGGAGGACCCGCTCCCTGGTTCAGGTTCAAACCAGGAATCTGGAGCTGAACCGGCTACAATACAAGATAGCCTCATACACAAACAAACCAAGAATAGAATACACAATATACACAAAAGAGCTTCAAAGTTTTATTCAATTCTGAAGTGAGGTCTTATGAAGAATCATCTATTTTTTTCATGTTTACAAACTCTAAATCAATTCTCTTTTTCGATGAATATGAAAAGTTGTACTACTTTCATTCTCATAAAAAGAGTAATAAACAAATTAGGTTCCCACAAATAAAATCAAATTTACTGTAATACAGAAATGCTAAGCTATTACAAGCACTTGAATAATTATAAAACTTACCACTTGAGAGTTCTTTGCACCTAAACTGGCTCTTTGTACAATTAATTTTTTATCTCCTAGCTGCATACCATTCAGCCCTGCACAGCCCTGTTAAAAAATATTTATACAGCAGATGTACATCAAGTTATGCATGGTTAGTGAAGCTTGGGGTACACCAGCATTCTTTACAGAGAACATCCACATCTTATAATGCAGGTTCTTTCTATGCAAGTTCCTTATTACCAGACACAAGCTTCATAACAAATTGAACCCTGTGTTGATTGATTTGTTTTGCAGATATTAGTGTAAACAGTTTGTAAACTGACAAACCTGGTCTGTGACATTGGGGTCTACATATTCACAGAAGGCGTATCCCTTAGACAAGCCTGTGGCACTGTCTTTTACCAGGTTAAAGGCCTTCAATGGTCCAAAGGAGGTCAGCAATTCCTTCACCTACAAAAAAACTACTCCTTTCAGCTCAAGAAGTCAACAATTTATTTCAAATATTTTTAAAAATGTTTTCTTTAATTGAACTTTATTTTTTTTAATTTCATTCAATAAAGTGACAATCTTACCTGTTGCAAATTGCACATCTGAAGATCCTATACTAAATGAGTAAATTCCCCCAGAAAATACATTATCTAATTTGCCAGTTTTCAACCAATTTAACCTGCCCATCCCATCAAAGCTCCATTTCCCAATTTTTCTGGTTGTAAACCACTCAAAACAGAAAAACCTTCTCTTTAAATTTCTGAGTACCATGACTCACTTTTTCTGAGTCAACTGATCTAAACATCTCTTTTGTCAGAATCAAATTCTGTCTGTGTTGTTAAACACCTAATTGTTCCTCCACTTTTTACCTTTATACTGGGTTTTCTAGGGGATCTACCTTTATTCAAACTAACACCCCACAGATCACATACAAACCAAGCAGTCTCTCCCACTATAATGAAGACTTGCCTTTTGTTGCTGATGTGCTTAATTAACCATGGGAGGAGCAACCTCTTCCCCTAGGCTAGGGAACAAAGAGGGGAAGAAAAATAAAACTCTTATCAGTCACGTCATACATGTACATGTTAACAACTGTCAGAAATTTCTATCTTATTATTTCTTTGAAAATTTGACTAATTTTAACAAATTTAGAATACATTAACATATAACCATTTACAGAAAAATCTGCCAAAATAAATAATTCTTTTTACCAAAGCTGAAAAAGAATCCCTGCAAGAAATTGCTGAAAAGAAAATTTTGACTGCTTCTAGGGACTGAAAAAGAAAACCCTTTTCCCACCCACAAGGATTTCCCCGGGGCTTTAAATTTCATTTAATAAAGTCTAATTAAAAAAAAAATCTAGGTATGGATGGGAAACTTGGCTGAAAAAATAGATGGGAATTTTCTGACAGCACGGCAACCTTTTGTAGAAAGTCCAGTCCGCTCAGGACCATAAACAGGTCACCTACGAAAAATTTAAAATGGTGACCTACAAACATTACCTGCAAACAGAGACAAGTCTTTTCTATCTTTTGTTAAGCTTTATACCTGATCCTCATTCAGATAGTTGGGCAGTCCACCAATGAAGATTTTGTGTGGTGAGTCCTGTACCACAGTAGATACCACTCCTGTTAACAAAAAACAACAATTTAATATCAGGCCATCGACTCTGATAATATTTTAAATTACGAACATACAAGTATGAAAAAATATATGTAACCCTAAAGACTTAAATCTGTACACAAGGGCAAGCACTTCTCCGTATTAGAAAAGAGATCATTACTTATAATTACAATGCATTTGCTGTATGTCTAGGAGTAGAACAGATTTTGCAAGACATAATGAATATTCAAAATAATTAAACTTAGAAACAACTCCAGAACCATTCAGTAGAAAATGGAACAAGACTTTAAAATCTTTCGGTAAAACTAATATCACTCCTACTGGGTTGTGGTTAACCACTCGCCCACTCGCCAATGCGATTAAAATTTCAAGTGGGCGATGAAGAAATTAAAATTTGATCGCCCGCATGGCGAGCGTCTTGTTCCCGGAACATGACCGTGCTTTGTTTGTATTTTTATAATCCACTTCCTTTTTTCATAACAAACACTACGCTAACCATGACTTTTGGTGTCGTGTGCAAACTATTACATTTGTATACGATACAAGCACTTGCGTGACCTAGACGTATGCCCTAGTGAAACCAATAATGTGGCGGTTTAGAAAAGCAGCATTTTCAAATATATTGTTGATGAGGTATGTGGGCCCGTAAATCACATTGTGGGCCCCTAAACTTTGAAAAGTAAGGGGCCCACATGGCTCCTAGGATGTAAATGGTTAACCACAACCCTGTCCTAAATCATCTATGTGTACTAGATTTAGTTCATAAAATAGCCAAGAAAACCAAGATATCCTTAAACCTTGTATGGTTTGCTGCAGTTTTTCTTGTAGTTTATCCATGACTATTTTGTTTATACTATTTATCTGAACTACACATGTAAGTCCTTCTTTTCCAAGAATATTGTCAATCCATAAAATATAAAAATATTCTTTAAAGCTAACGTAAAGAATACCTGGCACATTGACGGAGGGGGTTTCTGCCATTCCCGGGAGGGGCTGGTAATCTCGGGGGCGTCTGATTTTTAATGACTGACCCTGGAAGTTGATACCATCAAAAGCCATGGCCTGGGTAGTTTCATCCACAGAGCGGAACTGAAATCATCAAAAACTGACATATAAAGACCTGTCTATCCTTTTTATTGCAGCGGTCTAACCTAAACACTAATTTTGGTAGATCTTCAGAGACAGAGGCATAAATAAAGGTGCATTATTCTTCGTAAGAAAAATACTGACATAAATCCTTTGTTCTGAAAATATACACATTTTGTGTGATACCACAGGCCACACACACCAGCTTAAAAGCTGGATCTTTAGAAAAGGTGAAAACAGGATAAATTTTCTTAATTTTTTAGACCATCAAATATGTCATCATTTGAGCATAATATGTAAAATGTATAACATTTATTAGTAAAGCTTCAAATTCTTCAAGAGACTTGAAGCAGATCTTGTCTTAGTATGCAATATTAATAAATTAAAAAACATGATTTTCATACCCCCCCCCAAAGTTTTCAGCATAACCATAAGATGTGTAGATTTATTGGCATAAAAGTGTTAATGTGATAAAAAGCAGAAGAAACACACCAAAAAATTGAAAACCAGAGAGTAGGCAGATCTGTACACGATTTTTTGAAGAATAAATTGAATAATGTACTGATCGAATATGAATTAAACAGTGATCACTTAATTCTTTTGCTTAATAAATGCCATGAAACCAACCTCCAAGAAGGCAAAGTTCTTGTCCAGGTTGATCTGGACAGCAATGACCGGACTTCCTTCAGCCTGAGCTAATCCTGTCATCTTCATTTGGTGATTAAAGAAATCCATCATGGCTTCCTAAAATACAAAGATTAAGCATTCATCCCTGACAGTACATAAATATAGTTTCATTTTCTAATCAATTTCTCAATTTCTTTCAACCAGACCAGCTGATAGATACCTCAGTAACACCAAATGGTATGTTGCCCACATACAATCGTCTAGCTTGTCGGCTGATGGCACTGCCAGCAAAGGGAACTGTTGTATTAGTCAGGGCTACATTCGGAACAGATATAGCCTGTGGAATTTGGCCAGCACCTACAATCACATGAAAATACAATATCTATAGGCTACTGAACTATGACATGTTTTAAATTCACATCTTTAAATAAAGCTGTTTCTTTGATTTAACAAAATTGTATGAACTTCTCACTTTGCATAGCTTTATACTGCATTGGTGACATATGTTCAAACCCGGCAGGGGGGACATCCCAGTACTTGTAAGGCTTCTTCCTCTTTCTGCCACGCTCCCTTGATCGACTGAAATAAATGTATTTTTAGAAAAATTCAGCAGAAGTTCTTCCTCAGATATATGTGTGAATAAATCCTAATTATTTATATTTTACCTTCTTGATCTTCGCTTTCTTTCTCTATCCTTAGATCTGGATCTTTTCTTTTCTCGACTTCGTGACCTCCGACCTCTGGAACGTGACCTTGAGCGTCTTCTGTTGCTGCCTTTGTCTTTTTCAATCTCTGCTAGAAACAAGAAAAAAATAATGTTCAGCAACTATAAAACTTTCTGTTTAGTATATAACACAACAATTCACAAAACTTAAGACAAAGTGTTTCTGTGTGTTTATATAATACAAAAGAAACAATTACTTTCAAAAACAAGGAAGACAAAACAATCTGGCTGTAACTCTGAGGAATGTGCTTCTGCAGAATGTGGGTATGGATAATAACAACTTAATCCCCGCCCCCTATCTAGACACTTTGTTAGCATAACTTTTCAGATTTTTTTCTTTCAGAGACTCAAGGTTTTGAAGACTTTCAATGTATTGGTAAAATGCTAACTTGTCCAGTGGGACAAGTCTACTTACTTTTACTAGTCTGAAGGCATTTTCATGGACCCATAATCTCGGTGAGATTGGAAGGGACTAAAATTTTGGTCTGGCAACCACTACCTATCTCAGAGCAATCCCATATGTAACTCATTTTTTTCCCCCCGACTTCGACCTCTCATTTCAATCAATACGGGCTGAAATGAATTAGCTGCCTGCTTCAACTTTTTCCTTGAACATCCCTTTAAGTTTTTATCACTATAAAACAAACAATAGTCTGCTTTGAATAATTCATTCTACTTCTATTTCTTATAGGAATGATCTATGATCTTGAAACTAGCAGTCTAAGCCAGGGCAAAAATCCCCAAGTCACGATGTATGGGATTGCTCTGAGATTGGTAGTGGACGCCTGACCAAAATTTAATCCCTACCAATCTCACTGAGATTAATGGGGGAAAAAAGGTAAAAATGAATACTTTGTAATGGGTAATTAAAAATTAATTGTAACAATGTATCAGTCCAAAATATACTTTCTCCCACTTTTCTTAGAGAATGGACAAGATGCCAAATCTGTGTAAAAAATAAATCCTTGCAAACCACACTGTACTACTGTCTGTAGTTTCTTCTTCCATAAGCTGTTAAGGGTCACTGATATGGCATTACTCTCTCTTGGTTAAAAAATGTGTGCAAGAGTCTACACCTCTATTTAAAATTTAAAAACGGATAGTCATGATAGTCCTACTCCTAGTTTACATTAAAATTCTCTCCTAAATCTGAAGCATATCCAATTACTGGACAGAGGTCAAAATAAGTTGTGTATTTGCCTATTTGGAGTTGGAGGTTTTTTTTTTTGTTTTTTTTTTTAACTAGGACCTATTTTCAATTTATTTATGAAAATCCATGTTCTTGATTTGAAGCTGTTTGATTAAAACGCAGAAATTGAATAGACTGTTATTCCAAACAGAATGATGGGTAACATGCCAGAATGATGTATATTTAAACATAGCAAAAAGGAAAACACGCTTTTGTTTTGAAAATGGAATATTGAACGGGAAGTATCGGTTTGTTTCACTCTAAGTCCCTTATCAAAATTTGCATGAAGTCATTCTTTTATTTTGGATTACAAAAAACAATATTTATGACACTAACCAGACCGATTTTCTGCGAGCTGACGCTCAAAATCTTGGAAGTCGTTATCACTCATTGCGTCCTTGTTCTAAACAAAATGGCGTGGCCTGTTCCGGAAGCGCGTTGGTAAATAAAAAAACAAGGTTCGGCAAGATCAATCCGTATATTCCCGGTTAATAGTATGGAACACCAAATGGGTCATGTGGAAACTATACATTTTTTTTGGGGGGGGGGAGATAGAGTGATAAAAGATTACCAGGAGAGAGAGTGATAAAGATTACCAGGTAAGTGAATTCCAGTTTGATCAAAACTAGCATACTGTATGAAACAAGTGCCTTGATTTACCTACCTTGTCATTGATCATTTGATACAACTTTTTCTATATCGATAGGTATCACGATATTTGCAAAATTAATTGCTTATAAAATTGTTTTTGCATAGAAATAAACAAATTATTTCTTTGCAAATAAGAATAATTTATTCAAAATAGTTGTTAATATATTGTAAACCAAAAATATTTTACTCAAGTGGTGTAAATTATTATTTATTTTACATCTATATTTATATTTATCTTATTTACTTTATATATTAAACCCCAAATGTTTAATAAACAAAGAAAAATAGATGTAAGATTTTTGGGGGCGATATTTCGATATTTCTTCATATGTATCGATATGCGTATCATCCTCACATGTATCACGATATATCGATATCTCGATATATCGTCCCAGCCCTATAAAAAACATTCCAATTACACATACCAGTACATTGTACTTTGAAGTAAAAAATCAAAAAGATGCTCGAGTTCCTGATTGACACTGTGGTTTTTGGAGACTAGGTCTTCCAACAACCTATTGGAATTCCCATGGGTTCCAACTTTTCTTCGTTATTAGCAGACTTGTATACATATAAAACATAATTTGTTTAAAGTCTTATATGTGAAAAGAAGAAAATACTTGCAGTGGCCCTCATCTAGACATTTAGATACATCCACAATACAACAATGGTTATTTCCATTCTCATGTCCACATATATCCCCATGACCTTGTAATGAAAGATACCAGAGTCTAACAAATCCATTTCATATTTGGATATTAAACTAGAAGAATATGTAAATGGTACATGTAATCTAACAACAAAGCTGATGACTAAGCTTCAAATCGTCAACTTCCCCTACTTATGCAGCAATTTACCCTTATCACCTCAGGATTGGTTTATTTCTCTCAGGTGATTCAACATGCAAGAGCTAAAACCAGGTAAGTTATTGACAAACAAGTCGATGAACCAATATCAACAGACTCATTTTAAGTTATCATTTTGTAAGATCTTTGGTAGAAACAATGACTTTGTCAGCAAATACAATCCATCTATAAACATCAGCTTTAAGTAGCAAATTCTTTGTGGATCACTGAAAAATAAGGAGCTCAACTAAATTCAATAATTTTTTAAAATTTTTATTTTCACAGATGGAACGTTCTCAGTGATATTGAATGTCCAATGGTTTCACAATCTAGTTCCAGTTCTCAGCGGCGGTGCCACCCCATTCTGGAGCACCAGGAGTGGGGGCGGGGCCAGAGGCAGCTGCTGACCAATCATCAGTGGTGGCTGACCAGTCCTTGGTGGTGCCTGAAGGCATGAAGGGCTGAGTCTGGGCTACAGGCATGGCCTCGGAGGCCCAGTCTGTGACCTCCTGGGTTTGCAGTGGCTGTGTGGGGATGTCAGTTGGGGCCCATTGATCCTGACTCTCATCCTTGACAGGTGCTTTTTCAATAGCTCCTTGTTCCTCCTTTTCAGCCTACAATGAAAGAGTGAACATAACTTATCCATCCTCAAATATAATAATGTTCATGCCAAAATAACATTCTCCAAAACAATGTTACTTATTTCTACAAATACTCAACAAACCCTACATATCACTTTTCCATACTAAACGACAAACCAAATACACTTACAGATTTTATTTATATGCATATATTGTAAAAGCAGAAATATTTTGTTGGTGATTATATTTTGTTGGTAACAATTATCAATGAAAATAAATCCCCCAAGAAATTTTTATATGACAATCTATTGAATAGGGCTACCTTTAAAACAATGAAATTAAATGCATTCAAAATCCCACAGAAACTTTATCCCCACAAAAATTTGTGCTTTTACAGTTCATATATTAAATGTTTTAATTTGGTCCTGAATATAATTACCTCCTCTGGGTCTCTGTAGAAGTAGAGATCCACCATTACATCCCAAGGATGGTCACGACTGATGGTTCCACGCAGGCGCAGAACCTCACGAGCCAGCAGCCACCACATCAGACCAACAGAGTGTAAGCCCTTCACAACAAAATCAATCATTCCTCAAGTTATTATTTGTATATTCATAGTAGAATAACTCGGCAGTACAGTAAAATTTGTAATGTTTTACCTTGTTATTGCAGGGAATGGCAATGTCCACATATCTGAGTGGGGAGTCGGTATTGCAGAGAGCAATGACGGGGATGTTGACGTAGGAGGCCTCGGTGACGGGCTGATGGTCAGTACGGGGGTCCGTCACAACCAACAGACGAGGCTCACGGAAAGCAGCCTGTAAACGAAACAAAATTGATCAGTTCACAAAAATATTAAGATTACAATCAAAGGTCTCAGTCCATCTGGATATTTTTTTTGGTACCTGAATCTGATTGGTGAAGGTTCCTGGTGTGAAGCGACCAGCAATAGGTGTGGCCCCAGTGGCAGATGCAAACTTCAGGACGGCACGCTGACCATATGGCCTAGCCGAAATGACACACACATCTGCTGGGTTTTCAATGGCTGCAATGGCACGGGCAGCCAACAACAGTTTCTCCCATGTTTTCCTTAGGTTCAGAATGTAAACACCTGCAAATCACAATACTTGTATATAGATTTATTTACCAACAGGTTAAATCAAAATAATTTTAAAGTCAAATCAAATATTTTTACAGAATGAAACATGACACATTAGTATATACCATCAGGCTTCCTCTTGAAAACATACTGTTCCATCTGATAGTCAACATTAGTGGCTCCTAGATGGGTGTTACAAGCCAAAAACTTTGTAATATCTTCTTCGCCGAGGGCGAGTACATCTAGTCCTCCGGACATCTTAGCAATGATCTGAGTTACGGCGATCACCCTGAATAATAAAACAAACATGAAGAAAACACTTTAAATACAAATATGTTTTGAAATACTGTAGAAGTACTTTTTTCCGCGTGGTATTAATTTACGCTATGTACGCGGTCACAAATTCTCCGCGGAAATTTGTCCAAGCATACTTAATATAAATCAAAGCCATGTAGTGACAGTCTATGAAATCCGCGTAATTTTCTAAACGCAGATTCAACAGAAATTGAGATTCCGCGGAATTATGACCCCGCGGAAAAAAGTATATGTACCTGTATCATGAGAAAACTTTTTCCTTTAAATATGTCTGTGAAAAGTTGGGTACAATTCCCCCCATTGGTAGACACTAGACACATTACAACATGTGTCCATCTTATTGCAGGAGGGTCATCCCTTAGAATTGAAATAGCAAGGGACATTTTAAAAAGTAGAAATGGGTCTGAAGACCCTCCCCTAACAGAGGGTAGAGGGGGAATGCCAGAAGAACTTGGGGATTGCATCATTTTAGGCAGGGAAATTCCCTGGCCCCCATTCCACCATTTGTCAGTCACTCAATGGAGAGTTAAAAGTTTTGATATATACTCAGCACTCAAAACCACTGTTTAACAGTGAGGGGTCTTTATAGTGCCAGCATCTACTGCTACATGAAACCTTAGTTTATACAGTCACACCTTAAGGACCAGTCTCCATGTCAAGGGAAGGATCAACTCCTTTCGCTGCAACTCTACAGCAGAAGCTTTACCACTGCAGGAGACACTTAAGTTATTCTAGTCTGTAATTAAATAATGCAGCTTGGGACCAGGGAGGTATCTAAATTGAGGAAAATCTTCAAATTGATATTCATACAATCATATTAAATATTTCATGGAACAAGATAAATTATCCAAAATACACGAGGATCTACAAAATACTGGTCTGCAGTGCTAAGAAAGGATTTTTATGTGCAGTATTTCTTTCTGTGAACTCAAGATTAATTTTTTTTCCTTCATTAAGACTATTGTCCAAGTTATAGAGATTTTCTTGCATACAGGCAACTAGTACCCCCACATCTTTTACAAAGAATTTAAGGGGGATGGTGACTTTCTCCATATGTAAACTCATTTTCATTAAAATTTAAGGACGGTGTTTCTTTTATTTAAAATAGAAAGTATACTCCATTTCATTATAAACTAGAATAAATACAATGATCTTGATTGAATATCTAGAAAAAGAGGGAAAAACACTCTTTCTCTTACAGTAGCGTGCGATGCCAATGGAGTGGGACAGAAAAAGGAAGCCCAACGTGTTTTGGGGTTTACATATTTCCGGTTGTTGTACTACGAGCCCGATTGATGAAAATGAAAGTAGGATACAAGTCCATGTTACTGTAACATTGAACCAAATGTAAATAATTATAGGTAAAGTATGTTGGAAAATTAATATATATACTGACTTAATTAAACCTTGTTAATGTCAAACGATTTACATACATACTGTGATACAATATTTCATTTGTTTAAAAAAAAATATCAGTATTTTCAGGGACTTATCTTCTAGCTAAAGTTTATGACTGTTAAAGCTTTGAATTATATACCATAGTGATACAGCAGCATATAGCTGCTCTGACTTACCCCCAATCTAGTCACCACCCTACCTCCATCAATTTACATCCTGAAAATTGATAACTAAATTGTCTCTGATAATAATAGCTAAATATAAAAATTCACCGGTGGCAGTGTGTTTTATCAAAGACATTTTACCTGTTCATCATCTTTGTTAGGGTCTGTGTCCAGGGTTTAATATGATGTATAGCATATGTTGGGTACAGGTAAAAATATTTTATTTTTGTCAACATTTGCGCAAATGCTCTACAGGTTGTAGCTGCAGAATTGTAGCTCTCTCTGAAAAAATATACTGAAAGACCAGAGAGCTACAGTGCCTCCCATTAAAAAGTGCTCTGTTTCTCGCTTTATTTCTCTATGTTTTTTAAACTGCCATCTCAATATATTACTGTTCGTAACATATTTTATATTCTTGTACTTTTTCCACAATAAAACACTCTGTGTATTAACAATTGTTACTTAGCCCTACTGGCCCTGTATTTCAGGCAATCAAAAATATCCAACCAAAAAATAGAAGAGATTTAATTACCTTATTTAGTAATCATTTGGAATGATTTTACATATATGCCCTTGTATTATCACTGTTTGTTTTACCCTCTGTCAACCTACATGACCTAATTAAATAATATTTTAATTTTAGCTCAACTTAGCCAAAGGCTTAACTTAGTTTTCTCTGATCAAAACATAGGTAATCAGAGCTTACAGAGCTCACCTCAACAAATGTTGTCTTTAAATAAGGCAAAGTCACACAATTAACCAACAAAAAATGTATATCTCAAAATGCAACATTTATGCAATTTTGATCTGATATTTTGGAATAGACCTATGTAAAAACTTCAAACTAGTTCTTCATCTTGAAAACATAATTAAAATCCAGCATTTGAAGCAAGTCTGGGAGTTTTCATCCCTTGATGCATCATTTGTGCAACTTTGTTTTATATAAGCCTTATTTTCTTGGTAATAGACCTGCACCCACAACTTTTACCAGGTCCATTATCTGGAAAATGTATGTCAAATTCAGCATCTGAAGCAAGTTCATTAGGGTGCATCCTAAGATGTATCATCCATGCAAGTTTGCTCAACATAGGGCTCATACTTACTTGGAAATGAAACCTGTATAAAAAAACTAACCTGTTCACTCAACCAGAAAATGTAGGTCAGATTCAGCATCCAAAGCAAGTCTGGTAGTATGCATCCTTAGATGTATCATCCATGCAAGTTTGGTCATTATAGTGCTCATAGTTACTTGGAAACGAGACCTGCACCAAAAACATTAACATGTTCACTCAACATGCTCAAGCGGAAAATGTAAGTCAGATTCAGCATCTGAAGCAAGCCTGGTAGTGTGCATCCTTAGATGTATCATCCATGCAAGTTTGGTCAACATAGGGCTTATAGTTACTCAGAAATGAGACCTACACCAAAAACTGCACCAAAAAATGTTAACCTGCACCAAAAATGTTAACTTGGTCATTCCTTCGCTGAAATTGCAGCATCTGAAACTTTGACTGGTACAATGAAACACACTAGAAACATCTTCCATGCATCTATAATCAATATAGGACATAGAAGTACTTAAAAAGAAAACTGCTCCAAAAAACTTAACCTTAACCTGGGACAGCGACACCGAGGGTATTACATAAGCTCCCCCCAACTTCATTGAGGTGAGCTAAAAAGTGTTCAGTGCATGCATACATGCCAACTTTTGAAAATTTTCTTGGGGGAGATTGCGCGTAACGACATTTTTAAAAGTTCCTAATTCGCGGCGTTTTGTCGTGAAATAACTTTTTGTAATGTTTTTTCTACTTTGTCAATCTACTACCTTAATTATATGTATAATATATTATTACTACTTCAAAAAGTGTTTTCTCCTCTATTAACTTAAAGAAAAGCACAAATACAAATCATTTAAAATAAAAAAAAAAAGAAAAGACAATTCTATTCAAAATTATTTAATATGTTAACATTAAGATAAATATACCCTCTGTCTTGAAGAATGTGATACACAGAGTTAACATATTAGTACATAAAATATGGATGTTAAACTTTACAAATAAGCTGAACTGTTCATTGTGTGTTGGTAAATTACAAAGTTTATAAGGCTACTGTTATACAAAGTATTGTTAATTTTTTTTTCTTAATCAGAGGGAATATTAAGTCACTTTAACTTTTCTATCAGTCTGCAAAAGGCATGGTCTTTTCCTTTCTTTTTTATTTTGATCACTCTTGGCAGTCCTAATAGTTTTCACTTGCAGGCACATTTTTTCAATGTTGGATTTTGGCAGTGTATTTTCCATGAAGTAGATTATAATTTAATGAGGAATGCAGTATTCCAAAACTTGAACACATTTTGTAAATGGTTTAAACGAATATTGTCAAAGTTTGCTGCAATGTGTGAACTCTCACAAGTTTGTCAGTTTGTATCCAGTGTCGTGTGTATTTCTAAAATTTCCACATCTGGCATAATTATCTCGGTTACAATACACTGTTAATGAGGTTCAGGAGCAATAAAAACCTCTGTAATGACTGGTAGCACAGTTGACACCTTGTTGATTACCTGTTATCAGCGGCAATAAACAGATATCCTACCGATACACATTGCAGCCATGTTTTCTGTACACGGAAATACTGTATTACTCAAAGCGAATCGGTAAAAATTCCGGATTTTCGAAATATCGGTAGAAATGGGAGAAAAAAAATTTATCGGTAGACAAGCGGTAGACAGGGTTAAAAATCGGTAGACTCCCGAAAAAATCGGGAAAGTTGGCATGTATGTGCATGTATATTGTGTGTCTTGTATTAGGTGTTGTCTGTAAACATTTTTGAAATTCTCTTTTTCAACTTCTCCAGAACTACTCTGGCATTATCAACCAAACTTTCCAGAAAGATTCTCAAGAGAAATCAAGTTTGTTCACAGGAAGTGCCCCCCCACCCCTCTTTTAAGGAAAGACAGAAGTAATTAAGGATTGGTTAATATTGAGTGGTATGTATCTTTTAAAATTTCTTTTCAAAAACCATTAAGCCAGTTCTAAAAGTTGAACCATAGGTTAAATCTTCCTATTACTTAAAGTGATTCCGTTTTGATCAAATCATGACCCTCATGGTGGGGGAGGGCCACAATTGGAAATCAGATTACATGTATATTTAGAAATGATATAGGAAAAATCTCTAGAAATGTACTTTTCAAGAATTGGAAAGCTATGTATAGAATCATCATCAGCCATTCAGGTAATGAAGATTGAAGTTTGTTCAAGTTATGACCTCCTGATGTAAAAAGGGGCCATAATATGGGATCTAAGTTTTACATATGAATGAATATGCTGATCAAAAACAGAAGTGGCAGAGTTGCAGGTACTTGAGTGAGCATTGTGGCCCATGGTTTAATTTTAAATAACATCATCTTCTAGCTACTTTATAAAGATTGTTCATGAATAAAATCATGATGTATTTATACAAATTGTAGTATTGAAGTTTTCTGATCTTTTTTTTAAATACAAACTATGCATTGCAATAATAAGAGAAATATTGTTAGTAGGTTAAATGATTTAAGTTTATAGATATCAACAACTTATTATGAAAATGTAAATTTCATTATAATTTTTAATCTCTATAGGATACAAAAAATACTTTGCTCCTATCCATGAATATCTATCAGGTTTGTTATACCCATAGAATTTTACAAGGAATTAGAACTTTTCTTGGGATGCCAAAAAAAACTTGGCTTTATCCACATTTGTATAAATTAAATGAGTTTTACTGTAAAGGTTTGTGTATTTCAAGGGGAAGAACTCTTAAACCTTTGTGCAGACACGTTCAAGTCTTTATTTTAGCTGAATACACATGTGAATACACACGTACTTGTCCATTCATGCTTTAATGTACTGTTCTTAAACTTTAAATATATGGAATATAGAAGATAATTTGCTTGAAGTACACTTAGGAATTTTATTACACAGCTACAAAAATTTTGCAGCTTTGTCAGTATAAGAGCACTATTGATTCAATGAATATTTTATTTGGCTGCAAGAATTCTATATCCCAGAAAATGCAAGCAATATCACAAATGTAGCTGGAAATTTTTACAGCATTGTCAATACAATGGTATCTTGAGTGAAATATATTTCATTTGGCTGAACTTTGAAAATATAGGTGATATTCAACAATATTAAAAAATACAACTGTGTGTTGATTCAGAACTGTTTGCTCAGATATATTTGTTTAAGTATTATCAAAGTTTGGCAAATGCAGATTTTTTTTTTGAAAATTTTGATAGTAATTCTTCATTGGCATGGTCTTATCATTGTGTAATTTGTTATACAATGTCAATAAAGGACCTGCACTTGAGTCTGCTGATTATGGCCTTGTATAGAGCTCTATACTCTGTTACAAGCAGGGGTAGCCAGGGACTGTTTAATTGATCAGAGAACAGCACCGCTAGAATCACAATCTACCTATTTACAATAATCTGGCAGTTTGTCAAGTGAAAACGTATTGTCTGAGTGTAAGTATTTAATTTTTGTGTTGTTTTGACTTTCTGAAAAGGCATTAGGTTTCTTCAATTCAGTGCCTTTACAAAGAATTTAAATGATATTTTAATAAAATATTTAGGTAAGTTATTGGTTTTCTCCTTAATTTTCACATTAACAATTTTTTATTGATCAGATTTCAAGGTTATAAAAATCTAAGCTAATTCATGCATGGTGCAGACTTCCCCTTGCTTTGACTTGATTTCTGCATCTCAGTTTACCTATGTATAGTTTCTTGTTTTTATTTGTAATAGACATTGATTGAACAAGTTATAAATAAAGCTTTGAAAACTACTGGGCCATTAACACCTGATTGTTATGAATTAAAATGTTTTAAATTAATACCATTATTAGGCCATACAGACATTTAAAGCACAAACCAGCAGATAAACAGTGAAGAGCTCAGGGATTGGACCGAGTTAATGCTCTCTGAACCACCATAAGGATCAGCCATGCCTCTAATGGTTGAAGGCAAACACATGGGGGTGCCCCCCAAGTCCCTGGATGAGTTCCTGGAGCGCTACCCTCACTACAAGGTCAGTGACAATGCTGCTGGATTTGTGTGTTCTCTCTGAATGTTTACTAAGGAGGTGACTTGCAGATTTGATAATAGACACCCTTTAAAGCATTAAGGAAATTTGTTTATATACTTGTATGATCTATTAATTATTAGAAGTCCTAAAACAATTCACATGGGCCAGCGTGTAATATATTTTAGGGAAATCTTACTAAACCAAAAAATAATAATTTGAGCATCTTTTATATGATAAAATGAGTGCACTAGACTCTTGAAATATTTTTCATTCAAATATTCTACTTGACATTACATTTTCTCCTAGAAATAATAATACAATTAAATTGTGGAATCATAATTTGTTGGGGGTCATTATTCATGGGCACACAAAATGTTTCTTGTTTGTGAGGATGCAGTTTTGTGAGTTACATGTTTATATTGTAGTTTCAATATGTTTTTAAAATAAACATTAATGAATAAATCCCCTTCATAATTGATGATTCCATAGTGTGTGCATAAATAGAAGGGATCCCATGTGTGGTTCACCATAAGATTACTTATAAAAGCCTGAACCAGTTGTGTACATTGTATCAATGCTGTTTACAAAGTTAAAGTGTTATTTAACATTATCATAGCAATTTAAATCTGACCAGGTTACGAAGATTACAGATGATATTGGGACTTTTTAGTCTTTTCTCAGGAATTATGGAGGCCTTTTTATCTTTAGTGGCTATACATACCTTCATTGGGCAAGTTCTGATAAATTTCATTCCATGTTGACCATAAAATAATCCTTTTAACTTCTTTAGTGGTTTAGTTGTAAGGGAGGTGCCATTATTCTAATCTCAATCTATAGCTTTTCATGCTCATGTTTGTGGGTAAATGTGACGATGATCCCTATCAATTGCTTTGATTGAAGCCGTGGTTCACAACAATAGTATTCATGGTGAGAATTGTGAAGTTCTACAGCATTCAAGTGTTTATCAACAAATGTGAATGTCAAATGATTTTGTTGATCTGTCAACACTTAAATTAAAAGATTCAAAATAGATATGGTAAAGATTTGAAATTTTGGACTTTGATTTTTCACAAATTATTTTAGGAAAATTTGCCACTTCACTGACTTAAGAAAATGACTGTTAACCCCTTTAAAATGTTGAAATGTGAATTTACAGAACTTTGCTTGAGCCAATTGAAATTGGAAAAATCCTCTAAAAATGTGATAGAATAAAAATAACCCTGCATATAAAGTGAACCAAGAAATCCATGAAATTCTTTAAACCCATAGCTACCTCCTACAGTTTTTGTTACAAGGAGACTACATTCACTTGAGGACTTAAATTTTCTATATTAGGAGAAACAGTGATTAATAAATATTAGAATTTTCTATGAAAAATCATTCAAAATGCCATTCCTCTTTATATACGAAAGCATTGGCAAAGAGAGATAACTTGAAGATGTTCCCATTGTAAACTGAATGCTGCTCTCATTAAAATTGAGATGAATTAACCTCTGTCTGCAAATGAAGTTTGTTTTGAAGTTAAGTCAATTTGGAATGCTATGAACACTCTGAAATGTGGATTTAAATATAAATTTTTTAAATTTATTTTTGTTTAATAGTTATGATTTCATTGAATTCTAATAACAAGAAATAGATTAAAGAAGATTTTTTGATTTACTTTTTTCACTTTATGTTAATTCAAGAATATTATTAATTTTTAGGATTTGTTAAACCATTTATCATTAATACTGGAAAAGTTCTTATTGTAACTTTAGAAGAAAATGATGAGAGGGGTACAATTAATCCCTTGGGATTAATTATCTAGCCTGCTGCAGAAAATTTAGTAGGCTTTTCTTTATCTGTCACTTTAAGATTAATGAAAACCTTGTTTGAAGCCTTCATGATATTTGCATTCATTGAAGGCTGGCATTTCATATAACACAAGCTTCATAATTGTTTAAATATACATTCAATTTTAAGTTGTTCTTTACTGCCTAATGTAAATACAAGGATATTAGGTTTTTGAATATGAAAATGAAGTTGCTGTTGCTTATTCTTCATACATACCAAATATAATTATAGAGTTCAGCAATTTTTTTCAAAACACAGCTATGTACTGATTTTTAATTTTGTTAGTTACTGTTTCCTGGATACAGAGTATATGAAAATGAATGCTTGCTTACTTATACCAATATAACTATAGAGTTCAGCAATTTTTTTCAAAACACAGCTATGGTTTAAACAGTAGCTTGCTGGAGAGCAGCATGTCCACACTGAATTGTATTGATACGGAAGCATCTTAATTTTAATAGTGTAGATTCAGCTTTCTTTCAAGGCATGGCATCAGGTACTATGTTGGGACCACAATTGGGAACAATATTTTGTAAAGAAAAATGTTGAAATTCAGAAGAATTAACATGTTCCATGTATGTAAATTAATATTAATTTATTGAAATAGATGTACACAAGTTTTATTTGAAAATTGCTAAAAAAAGTTTTTTTTTTATACATATTAATCTGTGTCAGAATACATTAATGATGAGATTGATAACACATGTGAGTAATTATCTGATCTCATCAAAATTTTGATCATTTGGCTTATATTCTTGTAGAGATAAAATTCAGTTTTTCAGTCAAATACTTCTTCAGTTTTGCACTCAAATTGAAACATCTACGTGGGTTGTCCCATAAAATCGTGGACAAAGCGCTTCTCTCAAAAAGTAATGAATTTTTCAGTAAACATAAGTGTATCATAATGTTTTTGATTATATATATATTTTCACGGTAAAAATAACAAGGTTATATTAGAGACTATGCAAGTATTAAATCGTAATAAAAGTTTTAAATACACATTCCTTAATCAAATTTTGATCCCGAGCATTCGAAATTGGAAAGTGGTAAACACAATACACGAAAAATGGACGTTTATACGGCGCACCGGAGAACAGTTCAGTTAGATTAGGATGTTGTAATGACACATTAAGAGACTTTAAATGAATACAGAAGAAAGAAAATATGTAAAATATCACCAAATCTTTGAAATAAAAATGAAATAGAAGTTTTCCTGGCGAGTTTTTCAGACTCAAATAGCAAAAGCCGCTGTCATTGTCGACCGTTTGAGATTCTTTGTTAATTGAATGACTCATAAATTGAGATCGCAGTGTGCCACATTAGTTCCTTAAATGGTTATATACGTAGTATTTAAGTGGGGTTTATCAAACTTTACATTTAACAAACATGAAACGCGACGCTGTTTTAGACACCTTGACTTTAAATAGAAACAATACATAACATAAAATCTCATAATTTGTTAATTTATGCATATATCTATTTGAAATTTGCTATGTATATTCATTAAATATGTACATAAGGTTAGTGAAAATTTCACAACAATTTTCACACTAGACAACTTGTCCACGATTTTACCGGTCAACCCTCGTAAATTATAAGTATTAGTATAAAATAGGGTACTTAATATGACTTAATCAGTTTCTAGTTCATATTTGGATATTTTCATCAAGGAATACCTTTTCAATTAGCATCTTTGAGTGAAATTGGCAAATAATTAGGAAAAACCTGATTCAAGTTTTGGACGTAGGGTTGATATCTTAATCATGCTCTGTATTTTTTCTGGACAGAAAAGAACAATATTGTCCAAAGGTACATGTATTACATGTTAATGTCATTTGTTCACCATGTTCAAATGACAACTTTAAGGAACAAGATTTGTTCCTCTCTGGAATATGGGCATGTTATTCTAAGTTAGCGTGAATAAATTACAATGTATTTTTATCCCCTTGCAACAGATTTGGACGGGATATAGTAATACAATTGTGTGTGTTTGTCTGTGGGTGCTGAGGGGATGCTCTGCTTTGAAGTGTCCTATTTCAAATTATTTACCACTCCCTTTTGGCTATAAGTTAATTAGATTTAACATATGAATTTGAGGGAAACTGATGGATAAGATTGCTTAAAGCTTTCTGTGTAACATAGCTGTTCTTATTTTTCTACAGGAAACTTCTAAGAATCTCTTGGAACAGAAATGTCGATCCATCGTTCCCATAGGACTTCTGTATGTAGGACAGAGAGAGATGGCCGCCACCACACCAGATGATGGTAGGTGTCCAAATCCATTAACTTCCAGCTACTCTAAGTGTCTTCAACAAGTTTATAAACCAGAGGAGAGAATTTGATCCACTTATGACAGTATTCAATTTATGACTCTTCTGTATAATTTGTATCCATCAAACTTAAGTTTCACTAAGTTATATGCATACAAAACTAAGCAGCCATGACTAGCATTATATGGTTATTACTTTACAAACATGTTCCTTAGTAGACCTCATAAAAATAGAAAATGTCACATAACACTTTACAGCTTAGTGATAAAAAAGATAAAACAATGGATAGCAACATTAACAGATTTCATATGTACATAAATATGAGTCAGTGGTTGTTTATAATCATGTAGAAGAAATGAAATGATGTTGCATCTTATATAAACAGCTTTCATTTATTTGCCATATTGTGTCTGACAAAATAATTTTCTATAAATCTCTGACTTGTCATTTGTAATAAGGTGTATATCTATTTGAATATTTCTTTAGAGATGATACAGATGATGGGTACTGAGGATGCCACGACTTGTCACATCGCGATTCTACGCCATACAGGTGATGTTAAAACCTATAACTTGTCACATTGCAATTCTATGGCATACAGGAACGTGTAAAACATATAACTTGTTACATCGCTGCATGTATTCTAGGACATACAGAAAAAAAAAACATAAATTGTCATATTGCTATACTCCAGCATACTGGTATAAAAAAAAACCACTTGTCACATCGCTATCATGGTTTTATATATTCTTTTGTGAGGATTTTATTTCATGATTGAAGACATATAGAGTATTTATATATATTAATTTTTATAATTTTGAGGTGAACATGAATTTTTGGTTCTATCACAACACAGGATCAGGGGCTGTGTGTTTGTGTCACTTTGATTCCTGTGGAATTGAGACGGGATGTAAGAAAATGTTGGGACTGGTGAAAGAATTATCAAAGGATAAGTTACCAGGCAGGTGAGTGTTCTTCTGTCTCAGATAGAGGCATTTTATTTATTGTCATATAATAAAGTTCCTCAGTGGCTGCTCTTCAAACAAAGAGAGATAACTTCCATAGATCTGATAATGACTTACATTTAGGTGGAGACATGTGAAAGATACATTATTACAATTTTTATTGATATATTTATACCTTTGCTCTAAAGAAGTTGAACTGTTTTACCCTTGTGTGTCTGTGTGTGTCTCTGTCTGTACCAAATTTCTGTTGCAGTTTTTACAGTAATTATACACACATCGCAGATGCTAGAAATTTTAGGACATTCTTTGCTTTGGGGTTCCATATGATGGATCATTTTTGTACAAATTCTTTGTGAATGTCCTGTTTATAAACATGACGTCTTTCTGTACCATTGTATTCATATGAGATCATATATTCACATCAGAGCAGGGGTATTACTAGTGAGCCTAGGCTCAAAGATTTTTATACATTCTGTTACAACAAACATTTCATCTTGAACAGCATACATGACATTCTTTACCACCAGTATGGGTATGTTTTATGCCTTTATGGGTATGTTCTATGGCTATGTTTTAATGTTTACAGTGATGGACGGTAAGTTATCAATGATTTTTATCTCCAATAGAAGTGGCTTTTTTTTTTTCATTCAGTCCAGGTACTCGGCCTTAAGCTCTTATGGGTTTCTTACTAATAGTGTTTTTCTTCAATTTAGATTATTTTGTCGAAAGCCTTAAAATTTTAATAAAATTTAAGTGAAAGCTGAATAAATCTAGAGATATACTGAACATTGCGTACCTGCTGGTCTGCCCCCCTTTCCATCCCCTTACTTGGCTTTATCCTGGTGATGTGGTCTGTGATCTGTTAATAACTACATGCCCTATTCCCTCCTCTCATGTGGCATCTTTCTGTCACAATTGAAAAGTTTTAATTTTAGCTTTCCTTATTCTTGAGAGCACTTGAACCTCTGGTTTTGTTGGGTTTCTTTATCAATTATAAAAAAAGCTTTTATATAATAACATGTCTAGTTTTGGGGGTCTGTAAAAGTTGATGAGATTAAATATGCTTAAATACTGAGTGCATTTACTGTGAAATCACTAATTTTCGTTGGGGTGTAACTTTCAAGGTATGGTGAGACCAACAAATTTATGACTACCACAAAATGTAAAATTTCTTATGCATCAATACTAAACATTTTCCAACCATGAAATTAAATCCCCACAAACCAATAATTTTGTGATTTTACAGTATGCAAAATTTACCATGTCCTTCAACTATTAATTATGTTCACAGGATGTAGTCAAATTTATTTTTGAAAATGAAAATTAAAATTTATATTTAAAAAAAGATTGATCATGAACAGCAGGTAGTACAAAGTTAAATTTATCTGAAAGTAATTTTGGGGGAGGGGAAAAAAGTTTTTTTTTAAAATTATTTGTGAAATTTCAGGCAAAAATAGAACTGTAAACATATGAATAACTGTACCCTTCTTGAGCAACAAGCCTATTACTTGTAAAATTAATCCTTGTAAGCATTCATTATTATGGACATAGACTTTTGAATGGCCAGAAGAGAGAATATCAACATACTCAGGTGATCATTGTGGCCCAGGGGCATCACATTCCAACCAAGGACAATTAGTTGCAGTATTTATTTGTTTTTAATAAGCTAGAAATGTTTTGCTTGAGGGTATTGAGACATCATAGCTTATAGAGCTTACAGATTAATATACTTTGATGTCAGTTGTAAAGGCAGAGAACTTGCTGGGATACAGAGCTGTTTTTGTTTTTATTGAACTTCATAATGACGTAATATTTTAATAGGGAATGTCTCTCTAGCATACTTAGATAACCCACAGAACTATTAATGCCTACCTTTATCGACACTGCCTCAGCTGCACATGCGATAACCCTCATTAATTTGACGTATATATTTTCTCAGGATAGAGCTCCACCTGGCGGGAGGGTTCCGCGACGATAAGGGCATGTCAGAGGAGCTGTCAATCAAACTACTGAGTGAGTCTTCTATTTCATTACTGCTGGTAGAATATAAAACTTCCTGCGTACACTTCTAAACACTTATTTATTTTCTTAAAACTAGTAAGAATTTCAGTGAATTTTAGATTATGTCTTTCAAAAAGGACGAAATGTAAATCTCTTAAGCACCTAATTGTTTTATTTTCATTTCAAACAAAGAATATATGTTCACTAAGAAGTAACTTTTTGTATTATTTTCAGCTGCTTTTAATAATCTACCTGAGGAAATCCATTTACAGACCGCCTGTATAACAGGTAAATTCAGGGTACATGTATGACTCATCTGAGTACACTCTGAGTCCTGTAGAGAATCCTGGTTATTTATGTACTACTACTAATCATCTGAGTACACTCTGAGTACTGTAGAGAATCCTGGTTATTTATGTACTATTACTAATCATCTGAGTACACTCTGAGTCCTGTAGAGAATCCTGGTTAGTTATGTACTATTACTAATCATCTGAGTACACTCTGAGTACTGTAGAGAATCCTGGTTAGTTATGTACTATTACTAATCATCTGAGTACACTCTGAGTACTGTAGAGAATCCTGGTTATTTATGTACTATTACTAATCATCTGAGTACACTCTGAGTACTGTAGAGAATCCTGGTTAGTTATGTACTATTACTAACCATCTGAGTACACTCTGAGTACTGTGGAGAATCCTGGTTATTTATGTACTATTACTAATCATCTGAGTACACTCTGAGTACTGTAGAGAATCCTGGTTATTTATGTACTATTACTAATCATCTGAGTACACTCTGAGTCCTGTAGAGAATCCTGGTTATTTATGTACTATTACTAATCATCTGAGTACACTCAGAGTCCTGTAGAGAATCCTGGTTATTTGTGTACTATTACTAATCATCTGAGTACACTCTGAGTACTGTAGAGAATCCTGGTTATTTGTATACTATTACTAATCATCTGAGTACACTCTGAGTCCTGTAGAGAATCCTGGTTATTTGTGTACTATTACTAATCATCTGAGTACACTCTGAGTCCTGTAGAGAATCCTGGTTATTTATGTACTATTACTAATCATCTGAGTACACTCTGAGTACTGTAGAGAATCCTGGTTATTTATGTACTATTACTAATCATCTGAGTACACTCTGAGTCCTGTAGAGAATCCTGGTTATTTATGTACTATTACTAATCATCTGAGTACACTCTGAGTCCTGTAGAGAATCCTGGTTAGTTATGTACTATTACTAATCACCTGAGTACACTCTGAGTACTGTAGAGAATCCTGGTTAGTTATGTACTATTACTAATCACCTGAGTACACTCTGAGTACTGTAGAGAATCCTGGTTAGTTATGTACTATTACTAATCACCTGAGTACACTCTGAGTACTGTAGAGAATCCTGGTTAGTTATGTACTATTACTAATCACCTGAGTACACTCTGAGTACTGTAGAGAATCCTGGTTAGTTATGTACTATTACTAATCACCTGAGTACACTCTGAGTACTGTAGAGAATCCTGGTTAGTTATGTACTATTACTAATCACCTGAGTACACTCTGAGTACTGTAGAGAATCCTGGTTAGTTATGTACTATTACTAATCACCTGAGTACACTCTGAGTACTGTAGAGAATCCTGGTTAGTTATGTACTATTACTAATCACCTGAGTACACTCTGAGTACTGTAGAGAATCCTGGTTATTTATGTACTATTACTAATCATCTGAGTACACTCTGAGTACTGTAGAGAATCCTGGTTATTTATGTACTATTACTAATCATCTGAGTACACTCTGAGTACTGTAGAGAATCCTGGTTATTTATGTACTATTACTAATCATCTGAGTACACTCTGAGTCCTGTAGAGAATCCTGGTTAGTTATGTACTATTACTAATCACCTGAGTACACTCTGAGTACTGTGGAGAATCCTGGTTATTTATGTACTATTACTAATCACCTGAGTACACTCTGAGTACTGTAGAGAATCCTGGTTATTTATGTACTATTACTAATCATCTGAGTACACTCTGAGTACTGTAGAGAATCCTGGTTAGTTATGTACTATTACTAATCATCTGAGTACACTCAGAATCATTTATATTTCTTTATTTCAGGACCAAAATTGTGTATTTGTATTCTCGGTCAATATGGACAATATGGATATTTTTTTGGTGAATAACAAACTATATTTAACACCAAAAGAGTCCATTTTTGTATTTCTATCTAATTGATAATCTTGGAATACTTCCAAAAATTTTTTTTTCTGTTTTTTATTTTCAACTGTAAACGATGATTTAATGGCTGCAAACACTTAATCCATTGACACAAGAGTGGAGGGGGTAAAAAGGATGTTTACAACCATTAGATCAGCATTTATGGCTGCAAATAACAAATGAGAAGATCTAGTTATATATTTCCACTCCATTACAATTAATGCATGTTTAATTATTACATCAATTTTTTTTTTTTTGCTTTTTTGTTATAAAAAGTATGCCAGGAAATGTTTATAGATGTGTTTTGTATAATTCTATTTTTAGGTCACACATTAGTTTTTACTCTCACTGATGCTTATCTGATGTATAAACATACATGTACTGATAAAATATTAATTTATTTTCCAGATATAAATAATACAAAGAAGAACTCAGTTAACTTCCCTGTTATCTATGGTTTAGGTTAGTGCTTTTTTACAATGAAATAACATTTTAAAGAACTACAGTTTAAATTGCTTTACACTTTGTTAAACTGAAATGGTGATAAGAAGCTCCTTATCATATGCATAAAAGATCAATTATACAATCACTTAATAAATATGAGAGTTTCAAGAAAGATATTTTTTAAGAATTTGTGTAGGTAAGAATTATTAATTTGCTTCATTTTTGGGGTTTTATTCAGTGATACACCTTAACAGTGGAGAAATCCAGAAAGCTACATTTTTAGATCGGGGTCCGGATCAACCAATCAGATCAGCTCGTCATTTCACAGGAAGTGAAGAGGTCAGCACAGTTTTGAAAAAAGAGCTTTACAACATGCAATTTTTAAAGAGTAATAAATGATAATTATGAAATTATAAGATAAAGAAATTCTGAACTTGAATGTATTGAATTTGAAAGAAAAGAACATTGTTTCATAATTTGTATATTACAGATTATCAACATTTATGACCACAAAAAGGGCCTCCTGTCCATTGGTCCATTTAACTACAGTACTATGGACGAGATAGACCTTCTGTGTCGACTCCCAGATCAGTTCATTAGAGAGGTGTGTATTTTCCTAGATCTTTGAAAATGTATAGATCACAATACATTTACTTTTCTAAATCACATCTCCGCTACTTGATATGTTTGAACCACACTTTTATTACTTGAGCAGATCTGATCACAATGCATGTATTAGAATTGTTTAAATATTTTTTTGTTTAATTAGAAATGTTTAAATCTTTTTTGATTATTACTGCATGATGTAAAACTGTTTCAAGCACCCCTTTGCTTTCTGAACTGGTCCACATTTTGCTATTATCTGAACGATTCTACACCTTTGCTACCTAAACCATTCCACACTATTACTTTTGTTTTACACTTTTGCTATCTAAAATTCTAAATAATTTCACACTTTGCTTTCTAAACTGTACGTTTTTTCTATCTTAATCATTCAATACGTTTGCTTTCTGAATTGTTTTGCAATTTAAATTGCTCCAAACTTTTACTTTCTGAACTGTTCTACACTTTTACTTTCTAAACTGTTCTACACTTGCTTTCTAAACTGTTCTACACTTTTACTTTCTAAACTGTTCTACACTTTTACTTTCTGAACTGTTCTACACTTTTGCTTTCTGAACTGTTGTACACTTTTGCTTTCTGAACTGTTTTACACTTTTGCTTTCTGAACTGTTCTACACTTTTACTTTCTGAACTGTTTTACACTTTTGCTTTCTGAACTGTTCTACACTTTTGCTTTCTGAACTGTTCTACACTTTTGCTAACTGAACTGTTCTACACTTTTGCTTTCTGAAATGTTTTACACTTTTGCTACCTAAATCTGAGTTACTTTAACCCCCAAATTCATTCCATACTTCTGCTTTCTGAATAGCTGTACACTATTGCTTTCTGAACTGTTCTACACTTTTGCTATCTAAATCATTCCACACTATTGCTTTCTGAATTACTGTACACTTTTGCTTTCTGAACTGGTTTACGCTTTTGCTATTTTAAATTGTTCCACATTTTTGCTATCTGAACAGTTCCATAGTTTTGCTATCTAAATCATTTTACACTTTTGCTATCTTAATCAATTCACACTTTTCTACAGGGCGGTCCATTTTTGTTCCACATTATATCATACATTGTATTGTCATTCTGACTTACAGAAAGAGAAATACTTTGATTTTTGAAATGTTTACAATGGAATTATTGAAAATTTGAGTGAAATTGAAAAATTTATTACCACGCAAACAATTTTGAAAAGTCCGTTTAAAAACTATTACAGCACATTTTGGGATTTGTGTAAAGTTTCCCCCATCCCTCGTCATTTGCGTGCCGCAGTGGTTGAAGCGTCTACTGTAAAGTCGCGGAGTAAGGAGTTGATCCTTACGTCGCAGGTTCGAATCCACTGCGAGGATCTCAGACCAGCCCTTTGGATTAGGCAGTATAAACCGGGGTTTTATCCACAGTAGGTGCTGGCACGAAAAAGACTCCTCACTGCTCAATGGTCCTTAGTGCCGAGTATAGGACAAAATTTGTAGCCCTCCACCTGCAAGCGGTTGCATCTCCTTATGAGTGAAAAATTTTTGAGAGGGACTTTAAAGACGTACAACACACTGGGGGAGATAACTCTTACGATTTCAATTGAACGTTTGACATGACGTCAAATTTAACGTCAAAAATAAAGCGTCAAAATAACGAGTAAAACGATCCCGATGTATTTCGATCATTAAAGAAAAATGGGATATGGGGCTTGGCTGTGAAAATGCGTACCATACTCAATCAATAAGTATTTTTTAATTAACCCGATTAAACTCCGTAAAAAGCAAGTAATAGACATAAAATACCATCCCTTAATGTTTATTTCATTTCATTCCATATACAATAAATTGTAAACTTGATCAAAGCGCAACATTTTTTCTATTCTGAAAATTTTATTTTACATTGCCGAAATTCTCATTATGTACAATTGGCTATAATATAACATTCCGATTAATTAATGGTCTTCATTACAATTTGTGCATTTACGATATAGATATTGTTTTTCTTCTTTAATTAAATAAAACAACAATAAACAAACAAAAAACTTTTTACAATGTAAAATCGATATTGTTCTCAAACCCTTACTGATCAAAGAGGAACAACTCTGAAAAAGTAGGAGATGTTTATTTTCCTCCCTTTATTCACGGTTTTCCACAGAAATACATTTACAGCAAGACCTGATAAATCCGAAAATTGAATACTATAGACCTCATATACACAATGTAAGTATAGAATTGAAAAGAATTGTTCACTAGTACTGAAATTATCTGAATTTATGAATATCCTATTGCAGCAAATCGTTTGACTTTCAGTCACTGCCAACAATGCAATGTCGGTTCGCATTTCCTCGAATCAAAACAAAACGTAGCCTATAAGATTTTAAAAAATATCAATGTGCGATTTGATATAAATTGAAATAGATGAAGAGTTTAATGTTTGATATTTTGAAGTTAATGTGAACGAATACGGAATTTTCATTTTAACTTTAGAAGCAACGACATTGAAAGAATGCGTACAAGATCATGAGGGGTGTACATCTATGCAAATGTCGATGTATCCCCACGGCCACATATTGTCTCGTTTGAAATTAAAATGACATGAAAGAAACTACAATTATTCCATTTATATCACAGTAGAATTGAACATACACCATTATTTTTATAAATAAAATTAACGAAATAAAATTAAAAATCAACATATTCAAGTTCAACATAACTTGACACGTTTAGGTTTCATATGATATGGAATGCATAACGCGTACATATATGGACTTAAAACTAAAATCCTTCAGTAATTTTTTCCTGATACATATAAAAACAGTAGTCAATATTTATTCTGCATTCATTAATTTAAAAACTAATGCATACCTCCGGGATTCAAATAACGAAATACTAGTATATTTGCACTGTAAACCACGCTTCGTCAAACGCTAACATTGGTCTGCGACGCAAAAAAGGAAGGGGTGGGGTGGTAGGGGTATTCAAAAATTGCCTATAAATCTACATTTAAATAGGCTTTACATATAAAAACTTTTAAATTTGTAAGTTAATATATTTTTGAAGCAAAAGCAATATTTCAATTTGATTTTTTTTAAATGTGTATTTGTAGATTCAAGTAAAGTGATTACCACGCTGAAAGACGGGAACGTGATTTATTGAGAAAGGGGGAGGGGGTAATTTTCCGCTATTAAATCAAAACTGGTCGTACAAAAATTATACAAAAAATTATGAAGATTATTTTTACTACCAGCTACCTAAAGAAAGTTTTTTACGAAAATTAAACGACAGGTTTTTTCACAAAAAAATTTTGAATTTGAAAAATACACAATTTTCAAGGCTTAGATAATTCATAATTTTTCAGTTTAAGGTCTTTAAAAATTGTTTTGATGATGTGTATATAAAAAAGATGACTATGTTTTTGTGTTAAATGGTTAAAGGAATAAGTCAATGAAATTTGACATTTATATCTAACCTGGCTTTTTTGAAAACCAAGGTTTAAGTAGTTCATTGATTAAAAATTTTCTCTCCTTGTAAACAACTAAAGGGGGGTATCTTTTGGAAGTTCCTGTCCAAAAACCGCTCTTACGATTTTGTCCAAAATGTGCATACATGCAGTAGATATAGCCATGTACTAAATATACAAAAAATAACTAAAATTAAACAAGAGGAACTTTTGGGGGTAGGTGTGTTGTACATCCTTAAATGCAAAAAGTAATTCCCATGGCAAAAGCTTTATTATTGCAGAATTTTCCTCTTTAAAAATTTCTTTATTTCTGTATAACAGTATTATAAGAGTCCCCTTTTTCAATGAAGGTAGATATATAAAAAGTTGTACATAAAAACTAATGTTTATGTGGTACTATGAAACCCGTATAGGGCACCATAATTTATTACCACACATCGCCTTTTTGCGCGATGACACGATGACTTTGCGAAGTTTCCGCTTTGATAATACCGGGATGTGCGAAAGGGTGATGATGATGACGCCACGACGCGATAATACAGTAAGTATTGGATTTTGGAGCGATTACAAATTTTGCTTCATCGCCCTTGTTTCATTACAATCGTGTTGTCGACATGCATCGTATCAATGCGTCGTGTTCTATTGTTTCATCGTCAACGCCTGAAGATCATGGCATTATCGACACAAACTTCGACGACTCGCTTGCTTCATCGTCAACGCATGAAGATCATGGCATTATCGACACAAACTTCGACGACTCGCTGATGCGATATTTTAACTATGTGACCTTATAGGGATTCATTAAGGAAGAGTTGTTTAAGGAATCACTGTCTAGCTAGGAGAGTATGCCAGGGCATCAACAATAGTGGGAAACATGGGATAATTTGCATAACGGGCGAATCCCGTTATGCTAAAATTATCCCATGTTTCCCACTATTGTTGATGTCCCTGGCATACTTCCATGCCAATCTCAATAGTCCTCGCCCATTGACGTCAAACACCTAGGCAGCCGCACGAGATTTACATGCATATTTGGCCTCCTTAGCGTCAGACACAGTGACAGATGCGCACCAGATTTGCATGCATTTTAGGCCTCCTTAGCTCCTGACCTATCGACCTGCCTAATTTACATTCCGGCAGAATTATCAAGAGATAAACTCCGACAACTTTCAATGAGTTATCGCAGAGAAAAAAATTAGAAATAGAAATAGGAACTAAAGCATGACAGATGAACAGAATCTCACCGATCGAATTTTTCACTGATAGAAATACTCAAAAAACAATATTACATACTTTTGATTGGAACAAAAATATTACATGTACATGTAATAGCATTTATTTTCAAATCACTCAACTGTTCGAAAATCGGACCTGCAAGGTAAAGAGTAGATAAAGGGTGTCAGCTATTTATTTATAAATTCTACAAGGAATTAACAGTGGGATAAATTCCCATCAACTTGGGAACATTTCAAAATTACACGAAGGATAAAACCTGACGAATTCTGCATGGCAGACCACCAACTAAGACCTTTAGTTACCTTTCATCACAGCACTTACTCTGTGATGAAAAGGAATTGTTAAATACAAGAGCGCCAGAGACAGAAAGCAGTTCTCAACTGTCCCTTATTTAAAACGGTCTTAGAAATCATAAAGAAATGCATTTTGCTACACATTTGAATTGAGAAAAATTTTTGGCATTACACTAGATCTCTCGCAAGTTTCACTCTTCTTTTTGAGTCAACCCTCATATTTTTTATGAAAGTCAGATTAATTCACTTTTGATCTCAATCGCACATTTCCACTAAAAAATTCCATTTTGTTTGAGGTCAAAACATGAATTCGTCTTCTTAGTTTTTTAGGTCACCTGAGTAACTCAGGTGACCTATTGCTATCCGTTTTCGTCCGTCGTCGTGTGTCGTGTGTCGTGCGTCGTGCGTCGTGTGTTAACATTTGAACATTTTCAGCTTCTTCTCTGAAACCACTGAACCAATTTCAACCAAATTTGGTATACAGCATCTATGGGTGAAGAGGAAGATAAATTGTGAATTTCATGGTCCCTGCCCCCCTGGGGCCTGAGGGGTTGGGCCAAAACCGCTAAAATTGTTGCAATCTTTAAAAATCTTCTTCTTTACTCCTGGACATCAAGCAGGCAAACTGTTGGCATGAATGTATTGAGCATTGAATCCTTTACCAAAATTTTGAAATTCATGGCCCCAGGGTCAGGGGTTCTATCGGGGCTATATAGATTATATAGTGAAAATGCATGTTTTCTTTGAAAATCTTCTTCTCTGCTCCTGGGTATTAAGTAAACTAACTAAGTACATAGTTATGATGAGCAAGAGTGCCTCTTCCAGAATTGTGAATTTTGTGGACACACTGGTGTTAGAACGGGGCACTATTGGTTATATAGTGAAAATGCATTTATTCTTTGAAAATCTTCTCCTCTGATTCTGGGTATTAAATAAACTAACTAAGTACATAGTGATGAGCAAGAGTGCCTCTTCCAAAATTGTGAATTTTGTGGCCCCAGGGTCAGGGGTTCTGGTGTTAGGGCAGGGCTATATAGATTATATAGTGAAAATGCATGGTTTCTTTGAAAATCTTCTTCTCTGCTCCTGGGTATTAAGTAAACTAACTAAGTACATAGTTATGATGAGCAAGAGTGCCTCTTCCAAAATTGTGAATTTTGTGGCCCCACACAGGGTGGGGCACTATTGGTTATATAGTGAAAATGCATTTATTCAAAATCCTCTCCTCTGATTCTGTGTATTAAATAAACTAACTAAGTACATAGTTATGATGAGCAAGAGTGCCTGTTCCAAAATTGTGAATTTTGTGGCCCCAGGGTTATGGGTTCTGGTGTTAGGGCGGGGCACTATTGGTTATATAGTGAAAATGCATTTATTCTTTGAAAATCTTCTCCTCTGATTCTGGGTATTAAATAAACTAACTAAGTACATAGTTATGATGAGCAAGAGTGCCTCTTCCAAAATTGTGAATTTTGTGGCCCCAGGATCAGGGGTTCTGGTGTTAGGGCGGGGCATTGATCATATAGTGAAAATGTGAAAATCTTCTTCTTTGCTCCTGGGTTTTATGCCAATGATCTAAGAATATATATTTATGATGAAGAAAGGTGCATCTAGCAAAATGGTTAAATGCTCCCCCTTCCTGGGTTGGGGGGTGGGGTGGTGGTACATAGTCTGAAAATAAAATTAATGCTTTGAAATCTGCTCTTAGGTATTAATCAACCATTTTATGATAAAATTTGCAAAATTTTGAAATATGTGGCCCCAAGATCAGGGGTTCCTTTGGGATGATGTGCACAACTAGTTATAAAGCAGAAGTGCATTTTCTCTCTGTTACTCTGATCTACCTTTTGGTATTAAGTAAATAGAGTAAGCATGCTAAGTCTATAATTATGATAAGCAATGGTGCCTCTTTCAATATTGTGAATTGCGAATTTCATGGCCTCTGGTTTAAAACAGGAACCAAATTTAATAATTTGAAAGTTGTTGCACAATACTCAGGTGACCTATAAGGCCCGTGGGCCTCTTGTTGACTCATATACCAGTTGCTACTTCGAAGTAAGACCTGTAAGTAATTTATTTGTTACAAGGTAATACACTATTTTTTCCAGCACCTCTCCACGTCCCCTGAGCAGGAACCACCCCACTTTGAGGACGCCGTCCGGGCAGCTTTGGTTCAGATCCGGGACCACCCGGAACCGCTTAAAACAGTGTTCAAAGATGGCCGACCGCGCCAGTACAAACTGGAATCCAACGGGTCCTGGACCAACCGAAACGTGTGAAATATTGAACGCTTAACTGACTAAACTGTGATACATGATTATTTTTGTACATGAATCAAGCTATTTATTAGTTGTTAGTACCGATTTCCATTTGTTTATTTATTTAGGAATCACTTCCTGTTTTGTTGTCGGTTTGGTTAGCACTTTGTTGGACTGGAAAATTCGACTTAGATGTCGTTTTCTGGATACACTTTAGTTTACACTTGCCATTTTTCTATTGTAGGAAAAAAACGATGTCACATATGTAATTTCATGTATGTGATAAAAATAAAGAAATTTGAACTGTAGACTGTGTATCAGTATTTGTACAGAGCTCGTGTAAAGATTTCACTCCCAACATAGTCAAACTGTCCCTCACAATCCGTGGTCAGAAAGAATTTTGGGTTGTTCATAATGCATTAAAACCATCAGTGTTCTCTTTATGGATAATTGTGTTTATCATCCCATTAATTTTTTCCGTGAGTAAACAGAATTCTTTAGAACAACACACTACCGAGTTATTTGTCAAGGAGTATTGGATCATCACGTTGCGGAGTAAGAATATAATGTGTCTTCAGTCACCATTTTTGAAAGGCTTTTTTGAAGTTTTAATCGTAGTGCGCCCCTATACACTCAAGCAAAATTGATATATCGTTTGATCAGTTTCGCAAGATTTCTTAGAGAATATACAGGATCTTGTAAAAAAAAAAATTTTTCCATTCGTTATTATGCTTTCATCAATTTTGAAATGCTTTCATCATTTTTGAAACGTTTTAAAAACAATTTTCTAGTTCTAATTGATAACGCCTACAGGGCGATAAACTCATGTCCAGCGTATACATATATATATCTTGTTTCACTTGTATCTAGACGAGTACCTTTTAGCTACCCTGATCCAAAGGCTCAAATGAGAAATTGTCAGTTGTATGTCGTTGTTGACGTACAAAAGAACTTACACTTAAGACCACATTTATTCTTCATATAACTTTTTGATAAACATTATATCGAAAATTCTTTTATTCTTTTTAAAAGAAATGCGGTAAGATATTTTTAGACAAATAATTCTGAAGAGAATGATTAAGTTTGCAAAATTTTACAATCATCTGAAGTTTTTGGTCTTAGTCGTAAGTTCTTTTGTAAAATGGGCCCCAGAACTTTTGGGCCAAATTCAACCAAACTTGGCACAAAGGATCATTTGGTGAAGGGAATTCTAGTTTGTTCGAGGGACCACGTCCACTTCCAAGGGGAGATAATTACAAAAGAACATCATTGAAAAATCCTTTTCTTATGAACAAATGGACAAGGAAAGATGAAACACTTTTGAAATCATTGTCAGGAATTACAGGTTCAGGTTTGTTCAAATCGAGACCCCGGGATGGGGTAGGGTGAACGATCAAAGTTTAACATAGGAATATACAAGAGAAAATTTCAAAAATATTCTTCTCAAGAACAGCAAAGCTATGATTGGACATATTTATGTGGAAACATCCTCATGTGGTGTAGATGCAAGTTAGTACATATCGTGGCCCCAGAGGTAGGGTGGGGCCACAATGCACGAAGATTTAAAAAGTAATATACAGGAAAAATCATTTTTTTTCTCAAGAATATTGATGTGGAAGCATAATTAGAGGGTGTAGATTCAAGTTTATTCATCGCCCGCGTGGCGCAGTGGTTAGAGCGTCTGCTCTAGAGTCGCGAAGTAAGGAGTTGATCCTTACGTCGCGGGTTCGAATCCCACTGTGGGACGTGGAGATCGGTCCTTCGGATGAGACCGTATAAACCAAAGTTCAGTGTCGCAGTAGGTGCGGGCACAAAAAAGATCCCTCCCTGCTCAATGGCCTTAAGTGCCGAGTATAAGAAAAAATTTGCAGCTCTCCACCGGCAAGTGGTGGCGTCTCCATATGAGTAAAAAATTCTGAAGAGGGAAGTTAAACAATATACAATCAATCAAGTTTATTCATATCATGACCCCCTGGGAATAGAGTGGGGTCACAGTGAAATTGTAGGATAAAAAGGTCACAGTCAATAAATATGTAAGCATCCTTAGTAAAGATTCAATTTTGTTCAAACCACACTCACCCACCCCCTCTTCGGGGTAGGTCGGGAACAATTATGCATTTAAGCTTTTCAATTCTAAAATGACTTGCTTTTTTTCTAGCGAAAGAAAGTGTTCAGGTGAGCTCGGCAAGATGAAGTACCCCTCCTGCTCCCGAGAATCACATTCATTTACAATTTCAGAGGAAATGCAAGGGTAAAATGCCTTGTATATTAATCTACTTTAATATACTTTATGGTAAAACATATTTTATATGTTTTACATTAATTGATAAAAATGGAAGAAAAAAAATAGCTTTTTATAAATAGGTACGTTCCCTAAAATATACTCGAGATCTATCAGTATAAAGATAACAAAATGACATTGAACATGTAAAAAGAATTTGATCTTAATATATAATTTAAATTTATATCCCGGGCGTATATTGTTTTTGTCCTGTCTGTTTGTCTGTTTGTCTGTTGTCAACTTTAACCTTGGCCATAACTTTTGCAATAAGAGATAGAGACTTCATATTTGGTATGCATACTCCACTAATAAAGTCCTTTCAAATGACATCAAGGTCAATGACCTTGTGACCTTGACTGTGACCTATATGCTAAAAATAGCTTTTTCCACTGTTTGTCATAACTTTTTAACCATAAATAGGGACTTCATATTTGGTATGCATACTCCACTAATAAAGCCCTTTCAGTTGACAACAAGGTCAATGATCTTGTGACCTTGACTGTGACCTATATGCTAAAAATATACACTTTTTGCCATAACTTTTGAACCATAGATAGGATCTTCATATTTGGGATGCATACTCCACTGATTAAGTTCTTTCAAATGACACCATGGTCAATGACCTTGACTGTGACCTATATGCTAAAAATAGCTTTTTACACTTTTTGCCATAACTTTTGAACCATAGGAGATAGGAACTTCATATTTGGGATGCATACTCCACTGATTAAGTTCTTTCAAATGACACCATGGTCAATGACCTTGACTGTGACCTATATGCTAAAAATAGCTTTTTACACTTTTTGCCATAACTTTTAAACCATAGGAGATAGGGACTTCATATTTGGGATGCATACTCCCTGATTAAGTTCTTTCAAATGACACCACGGTCAATGACCTTGTGACTTTAACTGTGACCAATATGCTAAAAATAGTTTTTTTGAACTTTGTTGCCGCCGGGCGCATAGTGTTTCACAAACACATCTTGTTTAATTATCAAATTCTGTGCTGTCAAACTCCCTAAAAAATATAGTAATTGTAGCCCTTATATTCGGTAAATCAATATTCAATAAATATATCGACTTCACAGAAAAGCATATCGACCTCGCACTTCGTGCTCGGTCAGATACAATATGGAATATACAGTAAAACTCGGTTATATAACGAAGTCGGTGGGACCTATGAAATTACTTCGCTATAACCGTAATTCGTTATAACCGTATAAGAAATTCATTAAATTTATATAGCTGGGGATCCAAGATGACTTCGCTATATCCGTGAATTCGCAATATTCGTGTTCGTACTAAACGAGTTTTACTGTAGAATTAAATAAACGGAATACTTATTCAACCAATTTGGGCCCACAGTGGAGCATACAGATGATCAAATATCCAAAATCATCACAGTTATAAATACTAGAGGTACTGTGAGCAATGAGCTGACTAAATGATACCCCCCGTCTCCCATATGGTTATAATGACAAAGTCCATGTTTTGCTGTGGCTGGGAAACTCAAAATACGTGTCAGATCAAAAAGTAAAATACGAGGTGCACAATGGCAATATGTAATAAAGATTCTGTGAAAGTTTCGTTAAATTTCGCTCAGTGGTATAAGAGGAGTTGCGGATAAGAGATGGGTACCCTAAAGCGTAACAGACAGACGGACGGACGTACAGCTAGACGGACGGACGGACATACCGATTACAGTATACCCTCCCACTTTTCAAGCGGGGGGGGGGGGGGGTATAACAACTAGAGGTATTGTGAGCAATGAGCTGACTAAATGATACCCCCGCCTCCCATATGGTTATAATGGCAAAGTCCATGTTTTGCTGTGGCCGGGAAACCCAAAATATGTGTCGGATCAAAAAGTAAAATAGGAGGTGCACAATGACAATATGTAATAAAGATTCTGTGAAAGTTTCATTTAATTTCACTCAGTGGTATAAGATGAGTTGCGGATAAGAGATGGGTACCCCAAAGCGTAACAGACAGACGGACGTAAAGACGGACGGACATACCGATTACTATATACCCTCAAGCGGGGGGTTATAATAAACGGAACAAACAAACAATTGGAATGTATAATATACTTTTTCTGTGAATTCGATATACATGTACATTGCATTTATGAATTGGCTTCATTAAAGGGCTAATCCTATATTGTATAATATACAAATGCATGTATATAAAGGGTTCATAAAGTACATAGATTATCGGTTCATTTCAGTCAGTTTTATTAAATCCATTTTTACAATTCGCCAAAAAGAATTGTAACAATTACCAGCATGTAAATCCTCCAACTGGAATGATTTACAGTATATCTAATGTGGCGCTTCCTGTCTGGCAATATCGGCTCATGTTTGCATCTTTTTGGCTTTCAATCACATTAGATTTACTACACATCGCATCTGTTTCTATTCCAAGGTTGCACTTGGTAAACACTGTCAATTCATAGGTACTGTGGCAAGATTGGAAATAGCCGCATTCAACCTTATTTTTTCTTTATCTCCAAAACCCCGATGAAAATGGATATTCTGCACACTCTGTTAAAATGATTGACATATTATTGAAATCAGAGTTTTTAAAAGTTATATTTTTTTGTTTACAAACAAATTCAATACAATTCAATGCATGGAAAAGGTATAAATCGTCATTTTCCAATTGCTTCATTTGAATAAAATGTGTTCATGAAACACCGATGCCCCCGTATGGAAGTTTGCGGCAAAGATTAAAATTCTCAAGACAAATGCCAGGGTCAATGTAAAATATTTAAAAATAAATATACCGGTAGATAGCCAAAAAGGGGTCTTCTCAAAAGAAATATTCCTGTATGGAAAAGAAAGACCTATGGTACCAACCGCTCAAAAAATATTGTAAAAACATGTATTAAAGATTTTGAAAAGTAAGGTCAAGAGGTCAAATTGTTGGTATGCATGGGAAGGTCTTCTCACACGGAATAGACAGATGAAATATGAAAGCCATAGCACTAACCGTTTACAACTTGAAAAATGAACAAAGTAAAATT